TCACAAATACACTCTCACACATACACTCTCACAAACACACTCTCACAAATACACTCTCACAAACACACTCTCACAAATACACTCTCACACATACACTCTCACAAACACACTCTCACACATACACTCTCACACATACACTCTCACACATACACTCTCACAAATACACTCTCACAAACACACTCTCACACATACACTCTCACAAATACACTCTCACAAATACACTCTCACACATACACTCTCACAAATACACTCTCACACATACACTCTCACAAATACACTCTCACAAATACACTCTCACAAATACACTCTCACAAATACACTCTCACAAACACACTCTCACAAATACACTCTCACACATACACTCTCACAAACACACTCTCACACATACACTCTCACACATACACTCTCACACATACACTCTCACAAATACACTCTCACAAACACACTCTCACACATGCACACACCAAGATGACACACACTTACACTTCTCCCTACACGTCCCATGCACAGATCCCCTCTGGTCAAGAACGCCCTCAACTGGTACTCCTGGTCTAAAGCCCTCCACATGGAAGAGCTGATCCAGCAGTGTTCCCGAACAATCGCCTGGAATGCTGAACACCTTCTAAACTCCCCTGAGTGGCTCCACATGGACCTGGAGTTTGTCTCAGACATGCTACAGAACAGAGACCTAGTCATCTCCAGTGAGCACAGTCTCTTCCAGGCCCTGGAGTTGTGGCTCACACACGAGGCGCACGTGGAGAATTACGTAGAGCATGCCAAGACCCTCCTTCCGCTCATCCGATTCCCGCAGATGCAGGTGAGATTACTTGCTGTGGTGACCAGGTACTGTTGAAATTGATCAAGGCGTCTACTCATTGTCAAGGACAAAAGTGGTTGTCTTAGACAGTGCCATTATAATATTATATAGAGAACAAAAAAAATGCAGGGGGCGGGGGTGGGGGGTGGGTAGTGAGTGTTTGTGCGGGTGAGTGTCTTGGACAGGTGGCCATTAGAGCAGATTCAACTGTACAACTGTTCTCATCTTTTGGAGATAAAATATCACTTAGATGCATGTTGTGTGATATTTACTTTTGTTTTCTGTTTCTGACTTTTTTCCTTCCTTCTTCAGTCTTTAATTTTACCAATGAGTTGTGCACTCCAGCAGTCTTTGAAGTATCTCATTTGATACAGAGACAACAATCGAGTGTATGTGTGACTCCTTTCACTTACTACAGTGGAACTCGGGTTCAACGAGCTCGGATTCAACGAGAACTTGGATTCAACGAGATGAGATAGATTCCTCGTTTTTTTTCTTCTTTAAAATCAATAAAAATAACCCGGATTCAACGAGCACTTAAATCAGCGAGCTCGGATTCAACGAAGTCGCTTCCAGGGTGAACAGCCCCCCGCAAACGTGACTTCGCTCATTTTTCTCCCAGAACGAACTTTATCTATTCACAGACACCATCCATTGCACCTACATTATTCACTTAGCTGATTGCTCGCAACCAATCAGCGGCCTTTTTCCATACTAACACATGCGTCGTTGGCACACGCACATGTCTACTCTGGCGTGTGTCGGGGTCGGATGGGCGGCCTGCACACGTGTGGCTGTGTGTGTTTGTTGGGAAGGGGGGCTAGCAGTCCAGGCGTTGAACGTCGCAGATACAAACGCGTCACGGTCTTTTTTTTCCTTAGCAACTGATCATTATTACAATGATAAGCTAGTCTTGACGTAGATCTACGTAATGAATTGTGCGCTGGTCAGTGGAATCAAAAGTTGCCGTAATGCTAGGCTCTACACAGCAACACTACTTTTTGGTAAACAATCAGGCGTGTGCATTTGAACGAATCGATCTTTTTTTTACACAGCTCATAATATGCAGGCATTTCAAGCACTACTTGTGACTTCTGTTTATACACATTACTTGCTTAGTGCCTGTAATTATCTACACAAAACCTCATGTTTGCTATAACGAACACTCGGATTCAACGAGATTTTAGGTCAGGCCCGGCGACCTCGTTGAATCCGAGTTCCACTGTAGTTCTCATTTCCTCTTTGAATCCATTCCTCATCCCATTCTTCATTATAGGTATGTTCTCAGAAGTTTTATCTTTGTTTATTCAGGGAGAATGTAGTTTCAAAGTTCTCATTTCTTGACGCAGCCCCTATTTATTTTCCTAGTTTGTTACTTAATTGGCTTTTTTTTCTCATGGCACATATTTCCAACCCCTTTGTTCTCTTCCAGGTACCCCAGCTGTATAATGTGGAGAACTCAGAGGTGTACAAGAATCAGGAGCTGCAGCCGCTCCTCGACCGACTCATCAACAAAGCTTACAGATTTCGCTCGCTGTGTCCGCAGCAGGCAGACATTGACGTCTCTTTCACTGAAGATTTCTACCTCCCAAGAAACTACATTGATCTTTCAGTAGACACAGTAAGTTGTAGAAGAGATGATTCTTTATTCTATGCTTGCATTCACTGGTTAAGGAAAGTATAACTTTAACTTCTAGAAAAGGGGGAAGATCCTTTTGAGATTTCTTTGTCATGACCAAAGATAAGTAAGATTTGATACTCATGAAATGAAACTTTAAAAAAAAAATTCTAGAAAAACTGAAACTGTCTTTCCACACTCTTTTCATTGCTCCAAAGTAAGAACCCTTTCAACACTTAAGTGCTTGTATCTCTGCTGAATGCAAATCTAAGGAATTCATTTATTTACATGCTTTAACTCTTTCCATACCAGTGCAGAGCATCTACCTCACTGTGACTTTCTGACCATAATCAGAAGAAAATAAGTTCTAAAAAGATTTTCAGAGAAACTCAGATATGGTATACTTGTATATCTAAATGCAGGAAAATGAATATTCTCTCTGAATGTTTGACGAAAAAAGTAAGCACAGCTTAAAATAATAGCAAAAAATGTGAGTCTGAAGACTCTGGAGTGAAAGAGATTAAGAATTCATGAAACCACACAATGCAGCTGTTGGCCATAAAGCATGGGATGACATGAGCTGCAAAATTGAGCTTTGGTGATGAATGAGTCAATTGTGAATGCCCATATTTCAAAGAGATCTGTATCTCCTCAGGTACGCATGCAGAACACATTACGGTTTGGCATCCAGGTGGACGTACGTACATACGTTGGTCCAGTGCCCTCCTTGGCTCGTGACGGGGAATGGAAGATCAGCTACAGGAAGACAAACGACACTTGGACTCTACAGGTTGGCCTTTTTCTCTCTGCTTTTTTATTTCTTGGTATTTGTTATGTTTCTGGGTATTTTTGTGTATTTTTGTACCATAATTATCTATCCAGAGATTATGAGTGCCTGACATTGTGAGAGGTATATTCACCTTTTGCTTTTTGTATTTTTGTTTAGTGTCTGTTGTCCGGAGATTTCAGGTGCATGGCATTGTGATGCTGCAGGCCATGCATTCAATATGATAGTTAGCTTCTATGACGACAGTGGGGATGAAATTGAGGGATTTAGTTAACTCTTGTAGGGCAAACTCTTTGATGTTACTGTCAATATATTTGTTTAAGCATTTTTTACAAAATATTGTGGTGTTTCTGAAGAAAAGTACATTGACTTGATAATGGTAATTTTGCATTAGTCTCATATATAACGTGACAGACAGACAGAAACAACAGAGGGAAAGTAAAAAAGTACAACCTACCACTACCAGTTATGCTTTCGAACTGCCAACTTTCTTTATGACTTAAACATACAATCTGTGCTGTGCTGTGCGTCCCACAGGTTTATTGCCATGAGTCAGCTCTGGTCAACGGAGAGGCCCGTGTCCAGGCTGCACTCATCATCTCCAATCAGGATGACCGTGTGGTGCAGCTGGAAGAGTCAGAGATCACGACCTGTAGCCGCGGCAATCACCTGACCATGAGTGTTGCAGTGCCCAACCAAGACTCATGCAAGAGCATGTCTGTGCTTATAAAACCTGTCCCGAAATAGGAGCTTAACGCATACAAGTGGCTGTTATTTGTGACGTCTCACTGTTGCTCGTCTCTCGTCTATTGGTCTTCTCAGTCGCAAGAAGATTGGGAGTGGAGTGAGATTGTGGGAGTGGAGTGGAATCCCTGATGGTTTTCGATAAAACTTTAGAACATTGAGTGGTACAGCAGAAAAACTTTGCAACAGAAACTTGTGATAATGGCTGTTTCAAGGTTGGACTTTGCGATGCTGAGAAGCCGCTTTCAGGGATCGAACTTCAGTGTTCACTGTAACCAGTTTATTTGAAATATTTCAAGGGCAGCACAAAAAATTAAAAATGGAAACTGAAAATCTTGACAAGCTGGAAGAGATCTGGCTAATGAATCTCAAATACAGAGTACCTAGCCACATCCGCACAAAGATACGGCAAGCACTTTAATGGAAGAGACACATTAAAGAGAGGTTTACTTTATTTGGGTCTTATTTTTTTAGTCTGATGTGGGATTTTGCTGGAGAATGGATTCTTTTCATTGAACATCATTCTTACTGAAGCTTGTATATATATATATGCATAAAAATGATCATCACTGGTCATATTATTATTATCAAGACAACATCTGACTGGGGATTGATGTGCGTTGTAAATTCATTGGTAGCAAAGACTATCATCACTCCAAGAAAGTCTAAAGAGTCACAATTTAATTCATTGATCACTAACACATTCCCATGATGTGAACACTGTACATTATTCTGTTTTTTTGTGTGCCATGTGATGTTTTTTTGTTGTTGTGTGGATGTAGTGGGGGAAATTTTATGTGCACTTCTAATACATACGTGTGTTTGTGTGTGTGTGCGTGTGTGTGTGTGTGTGTGTGTCTATGTCTCTGTGTGTGTCTGTGTATGTCATACATGTATGATATAAATATATACATGGCATCGGTGTTGTATCTATGTTTATTAGATCTGTGGTTTTCTACCCTCAAATTAGGGGAGATGAATAACTTTTATAACACTGCTTATCCGACCATTTCTAGTTTCTATCTGAACTCAAGAGGTCAGATGACACTTTCGGTTTTTTTCTGGGTTTTTTGGTGAAAATTTGATTACCATATAGATCTATATTCTCTTGTATATCACTAGAGCTGGAATCTAGTGGGTACTCTTATTTAAGATTAATGTAATATCCAAAGCATATTTGATGAGCAGTATTTTTGCTCATCAGTTACAGACAGAATGATATCAGGGCACTCCATTCCTCATTCCACAAAGTGTCTTCCCAGATGTGGCATTTATTTGAAAGAAAGATGAAATGAAGCAGGATATGTGGTTCCTAGTCTAAAAACAGCTCCTGGACATAAAAAATGAAAATACCTCCATCGCTACTTGCAGGGGAAAAAAAAAGAAGACTAAATGCACTGGAATTTGGGACCCAGTTCTTGTTGGGTTATATTCTTCAGACCTTGCAATAATGCTTTTGATGATGTCAGAAAATACCGTACTTGACAGTGTAATAGGATTGGTCTACCAGGTATTCAATCTATTCATGGACAGATGCATGTGTGTATAGATAATGAGATTTTATACAAACACACACACACACACACACACACACACACACACACACACATGCTTTATATATCACTATATTGGACACCACCTCTAGGAATCTATTCATGTCAATGGAGGCCTTTTTGAGAGCCTTACAGTATGAAGGCGGCAGTGAAATAAGATGCTTCACTGAAATGTTTCAAAATTCCTGCTTCTGGAAGAGCCAGTGTGCCAATTGATGATTAGAACAATAACAAAACCACATTCTATTGTGAGACTGTCAGCCTTCACAGGTGCAGGTGGTGTGATCAAAACTTGTAACCTTTTTCACTCTCTCATTACTATGTGCTTTCTTGGGAGTTTTGGGACTCCCCCTCTTTGGTTACGAATGCAGCAAGAAGTGAAATACCGTCAGAAATGTGTATGTGTGTGGATATTACTTGAAATATCCCCATTCCAATATTGTATTATTGCTTTGCAAGAAATTACGTCAACTTATTTGATCTTGCTTTACATTGCAAGTTTAAAAAAAAAATTGGAATTACTGGTTTTAATTGTGACAGCACCGTAATTTTTTTTATACAAGCATTTTATGTCAACACAGTGAAACAGGATTATGTTCATTTATGAGTGAGTTAGTATACTAGGTTTATGGCTGAAATGAATTATTTTAAAGTAGAACTAATTTTTCTCTTTCAAAGACATTGATTGCTCTGTGACCTTTAAAAACACCAAGTAATGGACAGTGGTTTATATCTGTTTGAATGATTTGAAAGGAGACAGAATGACAGGAAAGATGACATCAGAGAGTGATGGGAAGGACGTTATCATGCAGTAAAAACACTCCTCTCACTTCCTCTACTGATTTTCAAAAATACTTTCGCATTCATTAGAGAAACTAGGATTGTGCTGCTGTCGTCTCATTACTGTCTGTGTCGGTATGTACAGTACAGAAGAGCGTATACATGTGTGCTAAATGATGTCAAACACGGTGGTTGGTGCGTCCTTGCTACTTTAATTTTTTTTCGCTGTGAGGCCCAGTGCACATTGCAGAAAGTGTCGTCAAATCTGTATTTGATATACATGATGTAGTTTGATACATTTTAGGGGCTGCCAGATTTTCCTTTGTTGACGGGCAAATGCTGTCAGTGAAGATTTGGTCGTGTGACTTACAGAAAAAGGCAATCAGGGAACGATTTCTGTGTTTGCTAATGCACTTAGGGATTGGAGTTTTTTTTTCTCTCCCAGAAACCATAACTGAGCAATGTGCAATACTAAAATTATTTTGTTTTCTGCTGTACAGCATTGGATGCTACATTTTATGCTGAGAAGAAAGAGGACAAATTTTTCTACCAACAATTTTATACCCACTTGCTTTTTTTCCTCCCCCTTTCGTAGTTTCCTTTATTTTGTTCTTTTTTAGCTTAGGGAGAGGTCAATCTGATGTTCCTGATATTTGCAATTTTTTTTCTTTTTTTTGTTATGGTATAATTTATTTTATTTTGCGTACCGGTATGTGATAACAGAATGGATGTAATGTCAAAAGATCTTGGCATTGTGAGCTATGGCTACTTCATTTCAAGCTGGATGTTTTGATCACTTATTTGATCACGACAGTTCTCTTGTGTGGCAAGTGGTTAATGCTATCCTGTGTCTTCTGCTCATTCTATTTGACTTTTATACGTTGTCTTCATTTGCTTCATGGAAAAATGTTGCGGCTTTTGCACAGACTGGCAATAGACTGCACCACAACTTGAGAGCAATTCAATGGCTATTTGCAAAACTCAGACAAACTCCAAACTGCAAAAAGATATATATATATTATTGGAGTCTTGTACCCAGCCATCAATTTATACACTTGATAACTAAACAAGATGTGTGACATAATTTTAAGCAACTCGATGTAATAATGACAGATCTCACAAGTTACCTGCTGGTTTTGAAGAAATATTGTTAAAGTACCAGTAGCGTCTCAGGGTTCCCCTCATTCTGAAGCCACATTCTCTCTTCTCTGAATGTTTCTACTACACATGCCATTTCCCCCCTTCATGTGTCTTTTAAACTGCAGTTGCAAATAGAAGAGGCTCACAATATGATAGATTCATGTACCTGTAGGTGTATGGGGCACTGTATGTGTGCTCTGCTCCCTACACTTTTGCCTCAGTGTAACTAGAACTAGAATATTATCAGTTCCTAGAAAAATATGGGTGCTTTTGTTAGAAATGAAATGCAGCTAAACAACAATGTGAAGGAAGGTGTTCAGACATCAATATCAGAATGTGATAGAATGCCACAGTAGGATTAAGAACTCTAAGTAACAAATATGAATAAATTCAAGGTAAAAAAAAGACAATAGAATGCTATCATCATAGCATTAAGAATTCTAAATAAGAATTGTTAATACATTTGAGGCATATAAGAAATTAAATTTTATTGAAAAAGGAGTAGGCTACTATCTCTCTGTAGTTTTTAAAGACTTTGTTCCTATTGTGAGGTTGAAATAAAGAAGTAATGAGACAGTGACCAAATGTTGACACTGTGGAGTCCGCTTAAACCAAAATCTGCGGGAATATCAGATTTTCTTGATTTCACCAAGAGAGAGGTTGCTCAGAGAGAAGAAATTCATAAAGTCTGGGATTTCATTTGCTTCTGGTTTGAGCCGACTCCATTGTAATATGATCTGATATTCGTTTTAAAAAGTAAAGTTGTGAATGTATAAAGATATATTTGTTCATTTAACCTTTACAATTTTTATGTATTTTTTGTCAGCATCCTTAATCCATGTATTTGAAACATTCTTTTGATTTTTTTATAACCTGGATCTATGTAAATATTGATGTCACAATTTTTTTCTCTTTTTGTTCAAAGCGACAAAGGGGTGAGGTGTATGATACAAAATCATGATTTGCTGTAATTTATTCAGGATAACTGGTGCTTTATATATTGTGTAGTGCATTATAGTTACATATATGTTGTTTTTAAAAAATGTATATATTCAATGCCTTGAACATTCCTTTACAACTGCATTTTGTGTGAGTGTGTATAGGGAGGGAGGGGGTGCTGTGGGTCCAGTGTGACATTGTTTTACTGTGGTGTACAGATTTCCATGTTGAAATACAGTCAACTCCAGATCTTCAGGCCTTGATTTCTTTGTTTTGTTTCTGTACGAGTGTGATACCCAGCTCGAGTGTGATACCCAGCTCGACACAAAAAGGTTTTTTCCAAGGCAGAGCAGAACTCAAAATTCATCAGTACTAAAGTAGAATTTAAAATAATATTACTTCTTATATTGTAAAGTACAAATAATGGAAATAATCAATTTCTTGTTGAAAATTGCGATGAACACTTCGGCTATTTCTTTTGGGAATAAAAGTAAAACTGCCTCATGGCGTGGTTCAATCATGCACAAATTACTGACACTGCTTTCTTCAAAGTGCTTTGCGATGTTTTCATAAACTTTCACGCTTGAAAAAGGTTCGTTTCTGGCTTAAAAGTACTCTTATAAACAGATATCTTGGAAGAAGTGCACAAGGATAAAACAAAATGAATAACAAGAAAAAAAAGTTCATTTAAACACAAACGCAGTTTATTTCAACTCAGTCATACAACATGGTATCAGAATTATATCACAAGAGTCTAAATTGTGGTTGACACTCACAGATCTTAAGGGGAGGAACATCGCCTCAACAGATAGAGAAAAACTGGTTCACAAATATCTCGCGCTCTTCAGGTGAAGTTCTTAGCGCCGTCTGCTGTAGGAATTAGTAATAACATTTAAAATTTGAACATATAGCATTTTAACATATAAAACAGCAGAAAAATACCTCGTCAATGGTCCACTGTTTTGAAGATTAATTTATTTTGATCTTGAAGAAGTACAGGGTTTGTATGTCCATCACAACAGGCCTGAAGCCAACACATCAAATAGTCTGTTATAATCCGCAGCCAGGAGCAGGACTATTAGCTTCACTTCAGATACAAGACGAGCACAAATTGCTACAATTGCAATCAATAATTTTCAGATCAAAATCAATGGCCGATAACGAGTGATGGACAAAAACATAAACTTTGAAGACAAAGAAATGAAAAAAAAAAAAGCAAAAAAACACAATGTTCAGTTCAAACACACCTAACCTTCCAAAGTAGGACTGAACAACCACAAAACTAAGATATGAAAATGCCATCACATTCCATTTAATACCAGATTATCATATTCTGAAGAAATCAACAGAAGCTAACCACAAACCCATATATACGAGACAGCTAGCATTAAACAGATGTGCAGGCATCAACTTCACTTTGTGTATTATGTCACTTTTCATGATGCTGTCATCAGACTTGACATAAAGAGAATGCAGTATTGTTATATCACAGCTATATATATTCTTGTAGCCAGTCTTGGTCACCTGATAAGAGGACAACCTGTGTCTACACAAATACACGTTTGTTCGGCACAGCTTCTGACCAGTTCAGTGCTACATCCCACTGCAATGGAAGGACGTAAGCTCAGAGGAGAAAAACATTCCTAGGACAGCAGAGAACATTATCAAATACATTCTATATTACTAGAGCTGACACATCTCTTTTCTAAGACATAGAATAATACAGGCGACAAAAGTTTACAGATCTGCCATACAAGTCTACGTCTACAGTTACATGGGTGTACTTGGAGGGGGGGAAGCAGTTTTGAGAGGGAAAAAATAATGCCAGCTCCATGTTAAACTGATAGTGTAACTCCGCCGAGGCAAATTCCCATGACAGCTTCAACTGGATGCAACAAAACAGTAGACAATAAACGGCTAAGAAAAGAATACAGAACCTACTTGTACAAAAAAATGTAGCAGAAATAAAATGGTGCAATAATTTGCATAGCAGTAACTGCAAGAAAATCATTGAAACCCCCAAAACAATCATGTTCCCAAACTTACGTAATTCAAGTAACAATTAAATGATGCTCAGCAAAGACTTGAGCCGAGGTATGCTCTACTACATACTGTCATACTTAACCAGAAACTCAATAAAGTTTACAGCCCTTTGACTTTGAAATATTTTTAAAACAGTTTATGAAAATCAAGAGCGCCAAAGAATGATAATCACAAAAATAAAAAGGTCGATGCTTACACATGGTAAAAAAATCTTTGGACTAACAGACAACTTATTTGAGCAGAGAAACATTTGAGAAATTAAAGTGGTACACTGCGTCACAAAACATCAGTTGATATCAATTATTTAGTCCCAACACAATGGCAACAGCAGAAGATTTGGATGGAATGTTTGCTCTGACCAGTCAACAATTTCAACAAAAGCAAACTATGAAAACAGACTGAAGGATTTTCAACATTCCCCTACAGTCAACTCTACAAAAAGGACACAAAGGAAAAGCTGTCTGCAGCCACTCTGTAAAGAACAAATCTGTGCTTTAAGTAAAGGGTACCGTTACAATGAGTCAGACGAGAAAGCAGGGACCCAAATAGCTTCTTTTCGTGAAAATCTCAGCTCTTTGACAAAAACTCACTTTAACCCAATACAATGTTTCAACTTTCCTAGGGGTAATAATCCAAGGTTACTACCACTATTTCCAAAGAAGATCTTCAAGACTAGTGAAATTACATTCACTATGATACGAACTTCACTAACTCTTGTCATGAGCGATCAGTGAGGACACTGACCAAAACGCGATGAAACAGACCATGTTTTGGGAATAAATTTATAAATTTAGGAACATTGTCCCTCCAAATGGTTAATTCAATGATTTTTTCAGAAATGTAAAAATTTGACAACAAAAACAAAAAGTTACCACAAAAGCAAATTATTTGTCACCGCATCAACAAAGAGAAGGGTTACTCATTTAAGGACCGCAAGTGATAAGTTTACCCTGATATATACCAACTCATTGAAAAAGCTATCGCGACCCTTCCTTACAAATAGATAATCTTTTAAAACACCAATGTTCTCAAGCAGATTATAAGCATATATTGGATAATGACATCGCTAGACGAACAACCCAACCCTTACATAACTGATTTAATATTAATAGTAAGTACAAAATAAGGGAAGTAAGCTATGAGATAAGCATTACCATACATTTTGATAAGCCCATATTCAAACAAGAAGCTTCACTTCAGCCAGATGGTTAACGCTTTAAAAAATCAAATACAAATACAAAAACAAAGAACTTTGCACACCTAAAAACCCTATAAACTTTATACAAACAAGATTGAAAAAGTTCAAGTATAGAGAGACAGGTCAAGGATTTCGCACATATACGCTTCAATAATTTGTTCATGAAAGATGTGAATGATATATTATTTGATTTTGATAGATCACACCTCCACACACTACACTGTTTTGATAATCCATTCACGCAACAATAGTTGACATTAATAATGAAACATTTTGATAACCGAGACAAACGGTATCATTTAAAACTATTTCTACAATCATTAAAAAGGGACTTGATAGGACAAGAAGAAAAATCTCAAATTACCTTCACATTCACACAGAACGGAGGACGAACATTTGTCTGACATCAACAACACTGTAGTAGGAAAAAAATTATTCATAATTGTGAATTAAAAAAAAAAAGTTGTCAGCACATCAACAGAACAACAAATGATAAGACTTGGACGTCAGTTGCATTACTAGTATCAGTAAGGCAAGAATATTTAAGAACAGGGAAGGCTAGAACACAAAACCGAATCATGGACATTGCTTTATTGTAACACAAATCAGAAAAGGGACATGGGAAAAGATTTCTTTTTTTTTGGGGTGGTACAGCAAGAGAAAGGACAACTTGCCTGTCACCACACATACTATATAAAACTTAGATCCAAAGAAACACAAGTAGAAGAACAAAAGTGAAAAAAAGTTCCCATCACAAACTCTGTAAGAAATCAGTTTGAACTCTTCCATAGAACACAACACTTTCCACAACAACACGCTCACAAAAAATCAGATCCTCAAAGGTGACCACAAATGAATGTTGGAAAAAATCCCCTTTTGAGTCCGTGAAAAACTTTAACATAATGACCTCATACACTTGGTAGAAATAACCATACGACTTCCAACTTATAATGAACAAAGTCTATTATATAATATGTTGCATAGTGCACCAATGCTTCAGAGAAACAGAGGAAAAAGCCAGAGAGTTCTGGATGCACAATGAGATGGGGGTGGGGTGACAAACTGTACATTAGGAAATGAAGGAATCCGGGTCTATCAGGGCTTGTGGGTCACCAGCCAGCTCTTGGAAGCCTTCGAGAGATGCAAGGACAGCTTCAAGACCACTCACAGAATGCTGCTCCTCTTCCATTTTCCATCTCAGTTCTGGCTGAAACAAAAGGGAAATCTGGGTCAGTTTGCATTCTCTAATAGTTCATTTATTTTAATGTTTTTACTTCTTTTTGGGAAGAGCACATGATAACATTGTGACATAATTGTCTCATCAACAGATTCTTCATGCTGGCATACTATATGACAGGAAATTTTCTCAGTAACAAAGAAGCAACATTCTGAATCCTGAAAATGCTATTTTAAACTTTCTCTTCTGCAAAGATTGCATGCCTTTCTGCTTCCATTATGGCTAAGAAACTTTTTCAACAGAAGAGATTTCCTTCACGGTAGTTTATTTTATTTTTCCACTGCCAATGTAACTTATTTAGAGGCAGTATTAGTCTGACATTTCGTAACGCTAGAAGACAACTATAAATGGAAAAAAAAACTTTTGACATTCAACATAGACAGAGAACAATACAGTTATCTATTGAGCATAAACTGTAGGAATGCAACACCATCTTAGGACAGCATCATATGGCAAGACTCAAGCCACCATTCTGAACCCTCATGCCCCCACACAACCAGTCATGTTCAATGACAACGATCAAGTTAAAATAATACACTAGTAGGCAGCAAATTTAACACAAACGCACCATTTACTGGGTCAGAAATGCAGGCATCTAAACATTAAGGGACATTGTGTTGTGGTACAAACATTGGCTAATATAATCAACATTTTACTAGGTTTAGACAATACTTCTGCCATCTTACAAAAGAAGAATGACTATTGAAAAAAAAGTTCACAAAAAGTTTATTTATATTGGGTGAGAGAGCAAACTTTATCATATAATTGTAGCTCAGTAGTGAGGCACAACATTTATTTCACTACGGCTGTACTGAAAAACGTTCATTTACTGTAAACCCTGTAACACAAATTAGCATCCTACAGGTGAAAGTTTACCAGCTTCCTCCAGCAAAATCAGCATTATGACTATTACTGTTCATCCTTCTTCCAACAGGAGGCAGATTTGGTACAGAAGCAAGGGAATAATACAAATGTGCAACATGAAGAAGAAAACAACTCTATTAGTAGTCTATTCAAAAGTTTAAAATACATGTGAAAACACATCTCAAAGAAAGATTTAAAAAAAAACAAATTAGAAAAGAGAGTGCAAATATATTATCTCAAATCTTTACCAAAAAGATAAATAAATGAAACATCCAATCAACTGATGTGTATGTATATATATACATGAAGTATAGATATATTTTTCACAACAAAATCAGTGAAAAAAACTGAAAGTTGGCACATTTCACATATACTTGTACAGTGATCTCAACTCAAGATCCCACCTCCTGTCATCCATGTTTGCCTTAAAACATTCTACTTTTCTCAGAAAACATAATTTTTCTCCAAAGCCAGCCCTTTAGTTTTCTCTTTCCCTTTCTTGTTTTTGTCTATCAGTCTTGCCTTTTTCAAGCACTAAATGACCATCAATGTGTTTTTAGTTTTCGTAAGAGTTTTACGGCACTTGCAACACAATAAGGTCATATAAGAGCTGAAGATTAGAGGTGTTACAAGAGAGTAACAAACACAAAAAAAGAGGAGAGATAAGGACGACAGATGTTTGATAGGGAAGAAGGAGCAAACCACACCAAAGTCCCCACCAACCACCCACAAAGTGCTTTCCTTTACTCAAACCTTCGCATATCTCTCACTTTAGCGGGGAGATTTCACACCATTTTTCAGGAGATCAAGACAGGATAATCTCCATTCTTGCATATTTCACTGATAACTAACAGTGCTTTGTTTTGTTTGAATAAAGTGAAGCACTTCAATACTGTAACAGTCACTTAGAACAAGGAAAGGGGCAGGACAGACGGGAGCAATACAGGGAAAAAACATAAGTAAGACCTACCAGAGGTACCCTTCAGCCACCTACATTTCTCTAACCAAATCACTGATGAGTCTTTACTCAGTAATTGGAAGTGCTCAGCCTCCTTCAATACAGATGTTGAGAGGGCTACAGTTACTCTTGCCGACTTCCCATACAGTGGACATTACTTTTGTCGCAGGGACATTACTCTTGACTAGTGTACATTCCTGTACTCTTCTAAAAAGCCATATTTTTCTTGATTTCCAAGAAAAACAAATCTTATGCAAAGAATATTTTACAAAGAAAAAGGTCTGAAAAAAATCTAAAACATCCTTGCCATGAGTAACTACATAAGCAAGACAAACCCATTTTCCCTATGCACGCCTTTTGCACGATTTACTCTTCAAGCACAAAGCAAAGATATAATTTCTACAAAACTTAAGATTTTGCGATACATTCATCAGCTTCCATTGAGATAGGTGCCTTTTCTTCCAATTCAGAATCGTCACATCTCATAAGATGACTTGAAAAAGAACTTGTACAAAAGATATCCCTCAAATTAATCTTTTTGAAAACAGATTTTCACACATACAGCAATTTTGCATTTGACCCATCATTCAAAACAACAGCTGTGGTGTGTTCAGACTTTCCCTTCTTTTCATTTTTTGGTTTCATTTACAACTTGTCACAGAAATTTTGTTTACAAGGTATTTTCTTTATTCAAAACATGACAAACTACAGTTGGCATACTGACCCTTCATCCTAACAAAAGCACTAAACAGAAAATAGAACACTTTATTGTGTCATATTTCTATCTCCTTGCCAAAACTGCTCAGAGGCCAGTAGCACCCCCCCCCCCCCTTCCACCAAATATTTCCAAGTAGCAACTCATTCCCATGTTAATGGTGGCGTTAACCACAATGAACTGAACTACTAGGTGGTCTCTGAAATATTTACACTTTATAAATATTTTCCCTTATGGGACAAGTCAAGTGGCGTACCGAATGAGAGGATTGTGTAAGAATGACTTCTTGGACAAAAAGGAGATTCTTAAAGCTCCATGTCCCTGTACAGGATGTGTTATCTACACAGGACAGTAAGAGCTTCAGCCTTTTGTCAAGCTTTTGAACAACTATAACGACAATAACCGGCACAGTCTCACCAATTCACCCCGTCATAATATCATGTAGCAATAGTGGCTCCTCTTCTAAACCGCTCATAATTACAGCAAGAATAAGTCTGACAAGCTCTGCAGCAGATGCAGACTTGAAACAGCACAGACAGGAACCATTCCTCATTTTCATCAAAAACATTCATGGATAGCTACTGCAGCCTTTGGTGACAAAGAGATTATTGTTTTAGTAGAGGTTTTACGGCACTCACAACTGTATAAGGTCGTATGAGCCCCAAGGGGTGGATGTCAACAGAGAAGTCCTTACAAGGAATCAGACTTACTCTGCTCACCTCTCTAGCTTCAACAGCACAAAGTCTGCTTCGACTATCAAGGCACCCCGCAAAAAACGGGTCACAATAGTGTGACAAACATACAAAAGAAGTAGAGGAAAATGACGATAGTAAAGATTAGGAAAGAAAAAGCTGCAGTTCCCTGTTGCAGTTCAGGCACAGTTATGAGCATGACATAGATGAATCAGCCCATTTACAATTTACAATTCTACTGTGCATAAGAACAAGTTAATGTCCCCACTTTGGGAATGGCCTGAAGACACTTCATTTAGTAGCACGACCCCCAGGGGGGTGTGACAAAGAGACTTTTCTTGTCCACCAAAAATACAGTGGTTACACTGAAAAGGAAAAGGTATATTACCAACTACCCAACCCCAACATCAAGAGACACTTTTAGTTTTATGAAAAGTTTTATGGCATTTGCAACACAACCGGGTCATATTAAGTATTACTAAAGAATAATGTACAAAGAAAAAAAAGAAAACATACGGACGAGAGATGTTGAATAGTAAAGAAGGCATATCTTGACCTTTCTCCCATCAACAAACAGAAAGATTTCAGGCCCTACTCTGAACATCTACTGAGAACAGTGCTCCCAACAGACAAAGCAAGAAAGAAAGAAAATTTCTATGCCTAAGAAGATACAGATGAAAATATGGATCCTTTGTTACCCAATACCAGTGGGCCTACATTAGCGCAAACTTTCATGGTTGAAATTGGTATGATAAAGCGGTAGTTGTGGAACTTTCAGGGTGTCTGGTTTTCAGTAATAACACAGCATAAAGGAAACAGTGCGGAAAGATAAAGGCAGCAGCACCTATTGCTATGACCAGCAACGCCCCGATTATAATTGTGCACACACACACTGTTTCAAAAACAAAATAAAAAAAAAGAAATATGAACAAACTGCTGAGGCAAGAAACCATGACACAACAACACACTAGCAACTCAGAGCCAAGCATATAAGGGTACACACAATTTCACGGGCCCAGAATCAAAAGGTTCCGCATTAACAAAAATAATAAAACGCATCACGGAACATTTTCACACGAGGCCCACGACTTCACAGCCAGAACACCGTGAGCACTCTAGGATAAGGAGGTAAAGAGGGAGGGGTGACCATACGACAAGCCAGGGAGGAGGTGTGAGACAGAGACATCCACAACACAGCAGCAGCTCTATCATACAACCTCCCAAGCTGGGTGTGCACATCGGCGAGAGGTGACGACGGCCAATGAATGAACGAACGAACGACCCATCTTCTTCCTCTCTTCCGCATCCATCCATCCATCATCACTCCCTCTCTCCTCTTCCTCCTCTCCACTCCGGCATTTTGTTAGCTTGGTGGTTGTGGCCAGTGCGTAGCCAGAAGCGCGCCCAGCACGCCGGACAGGCCCAGCACAAGCACACTACACAGCACACACGAGGGGAAACTCACAGTGTTGTTGGCCGTGCTGTTGGCAGCAGACGCAGTCGATGTCGTGCTGGTGGATGATGCGCTGACGTTTGTGACAGCTGCTGCCGACGTCGAAGCTGGTGGAACTGTCAGCCTTTCGGGCAGGTCGTCCACTGTTAGCTCATCATCCTCGCTGTTATTTCTCCCATTGATCGATCCATTCATCTGGAAAAAAAAACAACAGGACTCAAAACTATCTTCATGAACACAATAAACTCTTAAGTAACATTTGGGACAGGTCTTTCAGAATAAACAAACAGGGAATTTGTCTGTTTTTGTAACAAGTCAAAGAAATAATGGTCATTTAGTGAGGAGGAAAAGAAAGACAAGACAGACAGAAACAAAAAGGAAAAGAAAAGAAGAGGGTACTTCCAGTGGCATCCTCCAACCACCCAAACAGTCACTTAGAACATGGAAAAAGTATGACAAAGCGATAGAAACAACTGAGAGGAAAGTAAAGACTTAGAACCAACCAATGATGCTCCCCCAACCATTTGTGGACGTATTTGTGAGGTTAAAACACCAAAAGGCAGTAAGATACTTTTCTTACATACTTAACTTTCTTTACCACAAACTCAAAATGGAGAACCTTAACAAATAATTCCATTTTGACTGAATGCCTGAGCAGTGCTGTGTGCTTACACATGCACCTACACATACACAAAGAGAGACAAACACACACATATATACCTGAGCAGTGCTAGTAGTCCCATCTACTTCACCACGAGCTGCAGCAGTGGTGACCATCTTAGAGCCAGGCGAAGACGAGGAGCCCACATTCCCTGACACCGCTGTTGCAACAGCCGCCACGGGCTTCTCCTGGTCCTGTTTCTCCGCACCGTTGCTTCGAAGCGTCACGCTGTCCACAGCCGAGCCCTGAGCGCCTTCTGTCTCTGGACGGACAGAGTGCTGGGCGGCAGAGTTATTGTTGTTGTTGGGAGCGAAGGTCTGGCCATTTTCCAGCATAGAGTCACGGCTCACCGCTGTCTCGCTCGGATCCTCCATGCTCTGCTCTTCATCACCATCAGAGTCGTCCTCATCACTTCCAATCCTGGTAAACACACAAATTTTATTGGTCTTCTTTTTTCTTTTAGACTTGAGTAAAGAAATGCTAATTGGTGTTATATGAAAAATGGTCACTAACAAATCGAAAAAAGATCAACCGATAATTTATGAATTTGAGTTTGGGTAAAGTACAGCACATCAACACAATAACTGTCTTTTAGTACAAAAAAAAAATGAAACAATGAGACAGAAACAAAAGAGGGAAAGAAAAGAAGAGGCTCTAACAGTAGCAACCTCCAACAAACCACAAGGGATGATGAAGAACAAGTGGGAAATTTATATTCTGAGGAAAGGATTAAAGTGATGCAAAAAGAAGCAAGCAACTACAACTGTAACTAACTAACAAAGCAATAACTGCTCGACCCAAACATATTTTCCACGAGTAGGACCCATCATTTTGTTACCTTGTGAATGGTTTCGTTTCACTCGGAGCCAGCTCTATTTTGTATGACTGCTCAGGGTCATTATCGTCTTTCTCCTCTGCATCTCGGATACACACTTCATTCGCCATCTCGTCATCTCGCTCCTATGGAAGACATTACAGTATAAATCAAACAATTCATCGTGAAATTTCACAGGCCTTTTTTTTTTTCTTCAGATGAATAATAATCTACACACAGTTAATCCACACTAAACAACATCACATGGAAATGCAGATGCATTAATCGACAAAACGGTTTAATCCTTTTTTTACACCACCCCCCCCCCCCCCCCCCCCCCCCCACCTCTCAATTCCTTCACTGACAGCAAAAACCTTTTTTTACTTTGAAGTTGTGCAAAACACAGATAAACTCTATAATACAGAGCATCCCTTTATTTTCTTAAATGTTCATATTTTAACATTTCTTATCTCTTATACTTTCAACATATTTAAAAAGGGACACCCTGGCAAGTTATTCCATTTCAGCCAAAGTCAAACTAATCTGGTACATAAATGCACATATCAGGTTTGAAAAGGAATCAGTGGGGAAACATTTTAATGAAAGAATTCCGTTTCTCATAATATAAGAAAAGCCATCAAGGAAATGCATGGAAGAGAATAAGTCTATACAGTCAGTTTCATAAATAAGCACACTAAAAATGGACATCGCTAAGAATCTAGCAAAAGCTAAAATGTTTCAGACAAGACACATACTCTTCCAAGTACATCTTGCTCGGCTTCAGAGATGCGGAAACCCTGCTGGGCTTTGTCCATGCCAGGGGCAGCATTATCTGTCCCATCTCTGTTCCTGTCACAATTCTCATCCTCATCATCACCATCCTCTTCCGTAGAGCTTGAGTCTGCATTATAATCCAGACCCTCATCTTCTCTCTCTTGGGACATCTGTGAGAGGAAGGAAAATATTTTAAAATTGTTCAAATCTCATAGGGGAAATTTTATAATACAGTTTGCAACCATGCTCCTAAAATAATTACTAACCAAAAACCACACACAAGATTTATACATAACAAAAAGGGATTATTAATTTTCATCAACCCAATAGAATTATCTTTATATTCCAAACATACAACGTATTCTACAACCTACACAGGAGTAAAACAACCCACTATGTCCCTGTCATACCAAAGACAGTGAAAATTCTGTTTGGAACAGATCATGCTGCTTCCAGCATGAACAAAGCCCAACGGCCTCCTTAAATCAGAAACTGAGCAGAACGTAGTGGAAACATTATACGTCTCTTCTGAAATATTCAGTTTTTGCTGGTTTCTTGATGACACTGACGTGTCTTAGAGGGATTTCAAAGAGGATATTGAAGAAACTGGTCTTTGACCAATAACCGAGTTGTCATTTTGTTATTCATCTATAAAGTTCATTCATCTTTGTGTGCATATCCTCAGGGAAAGCAATAACAAATACTTGAAAGTAGACAAACCTGACTGGGCCACTCTGCAGCCCGGATTTTCCCAGCCACATTGGGGTCATCCAAGTCCTGCATCAGTTTGAAAAAAGCAAGCTCATTGAAGAGGACGTCCGACATTTCTACCAGCAAGTCTTCACCACACTCTCGCATTCTGTAAAAAAGTAGATATAAAAATTCACGTGAGGATTCTACTTTCCATTTGAAAGCAAATCTACAAACTAGACAAAATTGCACACATTCAGTGGTACCAATGCACATGTCTCAAATTTTGTGACCAACAGATAGAACATTGTTTTCACTACCCAATTACAAAATAACATTGTTTATTACATAATACAAAAATTAAATCAATTTTCAAATGACATGAAGAAAAATGAGGTCAACTTTGAAAAATTAACAAATTAGCCCCTATTTTAGTCAAAATAATCAAGTCACAATTTGAAAATAGTTGTGAATGTTATGACACTCCCAGAAACTACTGCTTGCGTCAGTTCTACCAGGGCCAACCCTGGCTGAGTGAAAAAATGCACCCCATCAAAGCAGAGGAAGAAACTCATTAAAAAAAAACTTCCCTACAAAGAAATCAAAACCATATCTTCATCATTAATCAAGACAAAATCCCTCAAGGCATATAAAGCAAAAAATGAGCAGAAGTTACAAAACAAATTCTTTTAGACCAGGCATTAGTAAGACATCCTATGCCATGCCACGCAAAAACTCCAGAATGTAAGGACTTTTTCCAGCCCTGCCACAATTCCTGCTCACCCACTCACATCCCTTGAAAATCAAAGTATGAAAACATGCACAAACAAAATCATTGCATAATATTATTCTTTTAGATCAGACATTAGTAAGATATTCTTTGTAAAGTCAAAGAAAAAAAAAAAAGGTCTCAGTGTGCATCAATAATATATTTTTCTCCATGCCCGCCTTGTTTGACAATCACTCACTTGCGCCCCTCGTATTTGTTCAGCGTGTCCTGCAGGATGGAGGCGAGCTGGCGCTGGAAGAATCGGGCAAACTCCTGGTTGCCCAGCTGTGCCGTGAGGGAGAGCACCAGACGCTTGATGTAGGCCAACAGCTGCGGGGAGCAGACGTCCTCCATGTGCAGCTTCACCACAGGGATTGTCTCCATCATGATGTCCTTGATCTGACGGTCCAGCTCCTTCATGTCAATGCGAGGATACTGCAATAAAAATTCAGAGATGCCAACTGACTACAAGACAAAAAAATTCCTAAACTTCTGTAACCCCATGGAAACATGCAAAGAGACTTGAAATTTACGCATCGCATTACAGTCTAAAATATATCTTGTATCAAACTTATTTCGGATATCCGGACGACCATATTTTTTTCTCTCGGAAAATCAGCACCTGTGATAATTGTCATGGTAATTGTTTCACACTTTCATTGACACAAATTAGATGTAAGAGGTGGGCTGCTTCAACCCTGCCAGTCAAAGCCAACTCATCATGATGTCCCTGATCTGTCAGACCAACTCCTTCATAGCCATGCAAGGATACTGGAACAATAGTAAGTGCACTGTTTGCTTGAGCAAAGAGAAGCACCTCCACATCATAACAGTTATTCAGTGCTGGGACAAGGTAAGGCTAACAGACACAAACAGCAGACAGAGAGATTCATGAGCACATCTGAGAAGGACTTCCCTCCAGAAACTAAAGTTATCCCATAACTTTTTAAGTTTTAGCGGGACCTATGCTCTGTACTTTAAAATTGTTACGAACTGTGTTTCCATGATGAAACCTATTTGAAATAAATCCAATTAGTAAATAATCCCTCTTAAGGCCAAATAACACCCTGCCCCTAAAAACGTTTTTAAAATTTGAAAATAAAGAGAATAGTGGAATTTCTGCTCACGGGCACCACTTACTTATACCTGATGTCGAAACCTTATGTCTCTCCAAATCAGGTATTGTTTCCATGATGCAATGGCTCGGTTCTTCACTATTGCATGAAGATGTGAATTCAATTCTCGAGTGAAGAAGTTTTTTAATTGAGCCTCTCGGTCTGTCTGCTGGGATGTTGCAAACTACTCAGCACAGGTTGATTCAGACAGGCAGGGCCAAAGCAGATTTGCTTTGTGTCAACGAGGCATAAAACATTACAAAACATCTCTAAAACATGGGTGGTGGGTAGGTGCTCTCGTGTGGTTTGCTCCTTCTTTCCCAACGAACATCTATTGCCCTTATCTCTCCTCCTTTTCTTTGTATATTACTCTCTTGTACTGCCACCTCTAATCTTCAGCATTTTTACGATTAAATCAATGTTTTCACTTTACTTAATGATCTTTCAATCCCAGAAGCCTAGATTTACTAAGTACAAATCCCATAAAATTAATATTAAAATGAACACACCCCCCCCCCCCCCCCCCCAACAAAAAAAAATTATTTAAAAAACCCCATCTAAAAAACAAAAGCCAGATTCCCTGGACTCACTGGCACGTCAGAGAAAGAACTCTCACTGGCCTGGTCCATAGCCGAGCTGCTGGCCACCTCGCTGGTCTGTGAATCCAACAACAGTTTCCCTGCCGCAGCAGTAGCTCCAAGCTCCTCCCGGCCACGACGATCCTCGCGACCTCGCCTTTTGATGTCTGTCAGTAACTGGTGTGATGACAGAAAGCCGCTCTCACCCCATCTAGACTGTTGGGATTGAAAGGTCATTTTTGGATCATTAAAAAATGTGATAGCTGTGATTTTGTTTGTTTGAGTAAAGACAGGAATATCAACAAATTAATGGTCATTTAGTAAAGGGGAAAAGTGGGACAGACAAAAACAAAAGCAACAAAGAAAATAAGTAGGTCATTATGGTCAAAATGTTTTAAAACATCATAATGCACCAGTATATAAAGCTCTAGATGACACACAAAAGAAGAAAAGGAAGCACTTGTCTAAGATCTACGTGAAAATAGTCTGACACGTTTGAAAAAGAAAATTTACTGGAAAAGTCTAAAACAACGAGGCAAAGAATACATTAGTGAAACTAATGACATCATTTCTGTAGTACTGTATTCACACAAAGAAGAGCAAGTCTTCACAGAAACTAAACTACAGTGAAAATACTATCATATGCTACGCACACAATAATGTTTAAAAAAAGAAAACACAAGTAAACAGAAAATGCTCACAACACTGCACATATTAGAAACATGAAGCAAGTAAACAACACCATCACTTCCAATTGGAAGCATCCGTTCTCTTGAAACGTTATACTGCTTCAGTTACCTAAATGTAACTGTGTACTGAAGAAAAGACAAGGTGAGCAAGCATATAACATTATTTAAAGAGAAAAGAAGTGCAACTCATACACAACGGATATTTTTCAGCAGCACAACTTTGATATCAAACACCAGCAAGCCTACAAGATAACATAAAACTTTTAAAAGCAAAACATAACAGAAAAGTGACATTAAGCCTGCGTTCAAGGTTTTAAATGCTAACAGCAAATACTGCACAGCAAGCAAACCGGTGCATCAGAGATATTTTTTAATTCCCGCTTTCATAAAAAAAACAACAACATATTTGAGCACTGACAAGAATTTCTTAAAACTGCAACAGCCATACGAAACAGTCATATTCATTTATTTCCCAAACCAAATCAAGTTTCTAAGCAAAGGAAACATGCACCATCCTTCCACAAAATACCATCAACTGCTTGATGAGGCATGCATCAGCAGCAACTATTAACCACTATGGTACCAACAAGTAGCAAGTACCACAGTAATGAGTTTCAGTTTGAGGAAAGAGAAGCACACTGACACAACAATGGTTTATACTGCCGTGAAAAGTAAGATATATAGAAGCAAAAGAAGGGACATATAGAGAGGTCGGCTGTACCAGTGGCGCCCTCCAACCACCCACACTACAAAGATGAGCAAACTCTGAAAACTTCCAAGCTTGAGCATCAGGAGAACACAGTGAACTTACACAAAATCATAACAAAGCACAAAGCAAAAACGAAAAAGAGGCTCGGTCCCATCTTTAGGAAATAACTCCTCAACTCAGGACAACACCTCTGCTGGCCCATCGCCACCCCCAGCAGGCAAAACAACACTGATTGAAAGCACACGGTGACAAAGCCAGGGAGAAACAGAACAGTGACATTCCCCGTCACACTCAGCGTTCCATCTCACCTGAGTTCTCCTCCCTCCCTCAGCCTGTGGCCCCTGCCTCTTTGACCCCTCTTTTCTACCTCCTCCTCCTCTACCCTGGGAGGACTGCAGCCTCTCCGCCTCCTTAAGTCTCAGACTCTGAAATTCTATCACTGTCTCTCCCAGGGCATCCTGGAAAGTTGAACGGCACAGTCAAAGACAAAGTTCATGTTTCAGTTTGAGTTTGAAGAGAAGCACATAGACATTATAACAGTCATTTAGTGCATGGGGAAAAAGTAAGACAAACAGACAGAACCCACCAAAGGGTAAGAAAAGACATAGAACCTGCCAAGGCCGCCCCTCAACCACCCTCTAAATAGTGTTTTCACCATATCATATTTGTAAAAATTTCAATTTGAGTTGACGGTATGCTGATATTTCTTACTGTGAGATGAACATTCTCTTGGATTTTTCTATCTTTCCTGCCTTCAATAGACATTAGCTGAAACATCTTATTACCGGTACTGGAACAAATGAGCTTGTTCTGCCTATTTATTTGAGAGGAGGAGTTCAAACTTCCCACACTAGTACTTTTACTCTCATACAATAACTGCTGGTCACCATCATAAAATCTGGTCCATAATCAAAGTTACGTGTTGTACAAGTATTGGTCAGGACTCAAGTCAGGATCAAAAGCAAACACCTACAACCGTAATAGCCAAAATAAAAGGCAACCCAAAGTCCAACAACAGCTCGGGTACAGAGTGGGTTTTTCAAAATCTAAGGGGAACTATTTTACCCTTCAGAAGTTAACTCATGTCCATACTTTCGAGCCTTTTTCAATACAAGTTTAATGCTACAAAGACAGAATCTCTGTTGCTAGAAATCAAGAAATGAGAAAAACTCTACTTGCCATTACAATGAATCAAATATCAAATAAGGTTCCCAATCCAAAAAGATTCTGGCCTCATTTCATAAAATTATTAGACAATTTTGCATGACTTGGACACACACGCAGATGCAGATGGCTGTTAGTGTTAATGTGGCTTTATCTTGCGCCTCATTATCATAGGAAAGTGTTTAGTTGGAAACAAATTTAAAAAATAGAAAGTAATTTGTAAGTATGAACAGATGTCTGCACACTTCACAGACAAAGAGTTAAATTGTCATTCATGAGAGTTAACAACAAAAAAAACGGTTGGTGATCCCAAAAATATGCTTCCAGATTAGAAAAAAAGAGTGACTAGTCTTTTATAACTGGATTCCCAAGACAACAAGCACTGTGGGCACCAAAGAAAATAACAAGATAGAAATCATCTGAGATTTTAAAAAACTGCTTCAATCAGGCATTTCATATACAGCGAACACACTGTGTCCGCCATCTCACACTTAGCACCAAACCATACCATTACTGACTTATTTTCAGCCATCTATGTTTACGTGCTGTTTAAGCCTACCATTCTTTGTAACAAACTGTAAGATACAATTATTTTCCCCTCGTCCACATTCCAATTTGTGCGCCAGATGACATCAGTTAGTGGAAACAAAAAAGACCCACAAGATGACATTGAGCTACTTCCTATCGAGTCACCTGAAAAAAAGGTGAGTCTTCGGTCCCATTTGTGGGCGTCGACAGAGAGCTGGGGTGATCTGCAGCCTCTGCGTAGTCGAAAGGAAAGTTACGAAGAGGACCGGTGTCCCGACTCAGCCTGCCAAGAAGACTCCTTTCTGCCTGGGTGATCTGTTCTTGAAGGCGGGTCTATGAAAAAAAATATTTATACATGCTTTACACCCCCATTAACACACAAGTGAAGCGAGTTTATGAGTTAAAAAATGGACAACCATTTACCAACATGTCAACATAAAAGGTAAATCAAAACATGAAATTATCTTCCATTTGAAATTAAAAATCTGTAGGTCTGAATACTCACAGTAGGCTACATTTAAACAGTAAATTCTACAATATTTAATACAGTTTAATCACTTTAATACACACAAGAACCATACAATTCACACAAACTCAAATAGCTGGAAAATTTCCTATGAATATGACCAAAGAGCCAACAGAAAACTATACTTACAACCTGCAATTCTTCGTCATCCTCAGAAGTAACACTCTCACTGGGTGTTTGTTCAGAGTTGGCTGTGTCTGCAGTGTTGGCAGCTTTCAACCAAGCAGGAGCATTCTGGGGAACAGGCATTTCAGTTCAAGGATAAGTTGAGAGAGATCACTCATCAAAAACATCAGTCTCATCTGAATTGGTTAAAGATATTCAGACTATATGAAGCCATGTTCAGTTCCATTGCGGTTCTAAGAGCAATGTGCCATGGCGATACGGTTCAGAGTGTCACAGAAAACTTGGTTTATGTTTAATTATTTCAGTAAAGAGAAACATATCAACAGTCATTTTGCGTTGGGGAAAAGTAAATGGTACGCTCTAATCATCCACACACAGTACATAAAAAAGAAATAGGAGATAGCCTATTACAAACTTTCACGTTGTTATATCAACTGCTTACAATTCTGAACAATCCATGTTGCAAAAATATATTATTGAATTTACCAACATTTTATTTTCTTCCATTTACTCTTTAAACCAAAGCCTTACATAATACAAATAAATCTAAAAATCCTCAGGTTTTATACACAAAACTCTTTCAGTGAAAGACCTAGAGATAAAAAAGTAACAGTGAAAAAATAAAAGGCAAATGAATGATCATGTGACTTACAAACAATACAATTTTTCCTCCACCCTTAACTTTTGCTGAAGAAGATACACAGCAGGACTTCACAGGATTAAAAACCAAAGTAATGAACTGACTACGTAAAAAAACAGATACATAAAAAAATCCAGAACTTTTCCTGAACTTTGGAAATGTGTGCATTGGGATACAAAATTTGAGGATCATGTTTTCTAATGAGTCTTGTGTCAGACTATTTTTATATTAAGTGCAATATGACATGCAAAAAGAGATTTAAATACAAATAAATGTATAAGCATGAGAATATTACCCAAAAAATCCCAACAAATTCCAGAAATCTAGATTGTCAGATTTATCAAGAAAATGAACATATGTTCAAATAGAGAATTAAAATTTTTTAAAATTTTAAATGTGACCTACAAAGTATGTAATTTTTTACTCATCCTCAAGTCTCACTGCCTGAATAACTGAGTGGCTTCGATGACCTTACAGAACAACAACAACAACAACAACAACAAAAGAAAACGTTGTTCACGTGACCAACAGACAAAATCATTTTTCCCCATCCATCAACTCTCACCGAAGAAGATGCGCTGCCCGACTTGAGTGTGGTATTGATCACATCCTGTAAGGAGTTAAGCGTCCGCTGCCTCATGAAGTCTGAGTCCACTTGCCGCATCTCACGGAACAGCTCCAGGAGAAACTGGGGTCTGCTCTGGTTCTGGGAGATGAGGGAAGCAACCTCCGAGTAGATGGTCTCTCTCAGCGTTTCAAACAGGGTGTTGTTGTCATCAGGCAGGTCTATGGATCTGAAGGCAGAAAACAAACGTTAACCACTGCACTTTACCAAAGACAGGAACATCAATTTTAGTTTTATTTTGAGTATTAATAGCGACACAAGTAAGTCATTTAACTGTCGAAGATTAGAGGTATTACTTGTAAGTAACATATAACAATAGGAAAAAGGGTGGTAGATGTTTGATAGAAAAGAAGGGGCAGACCACACCAGAACACCAGCTAACCACCTACAAGCAGGTATGTGTCTGCAGGCAGACCTAATTTTGCATAATCAGACAGGTCTGTGGATCTGGAGACAGAAAACAGAGGGCACATAGACAGTATAAATTGAAATAAACTGACTAGACAAATGACCCTCCCAGAAGTTGTGTAATCCTTCCAACTGAGGAGGATCAGAAAAGAAAACTTCAATATCCATATCTTACTTTGCACTAGTCTGTTCATTTCTCTGTCTGGAATGCTCATCCTTGATGGACTGAATGCTGGAGAAGCTTGAGCCAGCATCCCCCTCCGCTCCAGCAATGAGCGAGGCGTAGGCAGCCGCATCAGCACCTCCAGAGCTGGTCCCTGAGCGGTAACTCACTCCACCCTCACGCTGAGACAAGCGCTTGCGAGATGCCAGTGCCTCCCGACTTCTACTCAAGGAGTTCTCCACTTTAGGCGTTGACATTCTCAGACCTGAGGGGGAGAGAGAAGAGGTACGTGTGTTTTAGTTGAGGTGAGCATCACAATTCATATCAAGTTTTAAAAATAAAAGAATGCACAACAAAAACCGTAACAAAACAATATAAGCAGACACCAGAAATTAGCAGTGCACTTGACATCTGAACTTTCAAGACTTATAAGAGAGATAACAAAGACACACCAGATTCCCATCTACATAAAAACCCTGTGGCCCTGCAGGCTAATAAGACTCACCTTTAAGCTTATCAGGAGTAATAATTCTGAAATGACTAATATATTACTAAATTTCAAAAAATCTTTTTCAAATTCAAAAATTAATAATTCAGATTGGCAGAGAAAAGGCCAAAAAACAACAAGCACAACAAAGTAATTCCACTAAATCTAAATATTCATTTCAATTAAGATGAGATAATTACCCTACCCTATTGATACATTGCAAAATTGTCTCAAGTTGGTATTTAAAGACAAACCCATATTTTTTAACTTTTTTTTGGGTCACAAATAAAAACCAAATATTACAATGCAAGTTCATGAAAAAATGTTTACTTAAAAGGAAGAAAATGATGATGCAAGGCATACCTGAAGTTGGGTCACTTTCAGATTTCTTAACTCTGCTGCCTTGCTTTCTGCAAGAGATATAGAAGAAAGACACATTTACATTTCAACCAAGTAGAAAATTACCATAACTCACATAAGAGAACACAGTTCACAAAAATTGCATCTTTCACCAATTTCTACTTAAAACCCCAACTAATCCATGTAACAGTTACAACTTTTAACTTATATACTGATGAAAAACATGACATACTTCAAGAAAAGTAATGCTTCAGAGCTTTAAGGCAAACATCAACGGAAAAGCAGACATGACTTGACAAATGAGGCGATTGCTTTGACCAAATAGTCAAGGTAAACTGTGAATAGACCCTCATTTGTAGACTGAGTACAGGAGGATGTCCTAGTCTAATTAACCATTTGAAAATAGAATATCAAAACAATAAATCTTGAGAATAAAATAGCAGTCCCCCCCATGAACAGAAAGAAAAAGAGGTAAAACAACAAAACAACAGAAAGGAAAACTAATTCTGTGAAACCCTGTACCTTTTGCCCTGCTTTTGAAGTTCAGGCTTCAAGTAGGAACTCATTCTGGGCACAGGGCTCTCGTCCAACTCCTGGTCTCCGTCCTCATCGTTCCCGTCATCGTTGACATTCTGTGAGAAGAACGAGGGGAACCCGGACCCCATACCTTGAGGCTGCTGCTGCTGGCTGCTAGAGCCAAACAGGTTAGAGAACTGGGCAAGGGAGTCGGCTTGTGAGGCTGAGTTAGGTGTAAGGGTGTTCACAAACTGGCTGAAGTCTCGGGTCATGGTTGAGGCAGAGGAGCCCCCATGGGACAGGTGGACATTGCTTTGCTGAGGCATCTGGTACGAAGACGGGGAAGAAAATTTTTTATTCTCTTAACCTTAAAAGATAAATGATATAATCTCATTGAGCTAACACTATCTTTTACATCCATAATATTTCCATCCTAAACAACAATCCATTTTGAGCACATTACTAAGACATCTTCGCTGCTTCGTTACAAGTTCCAATTACCTGTAATGATACACATGGCAAAACATGAACAAACAAGGTTTTAATAAAACAAACCTTATGTTCTTCATCACAAAACTATTGTCATTTCATTTCCAACAAAAAAAACCCCATTAAAATTTTAATATTTCCATAAATGCCCTGATCTTATGTCATATAGCTTCAAACTAAAACAAATTAACAGTGAAAATGTTTCCCTGCTGTATAAATTAAAACTAACTGAGGATACAACTTACAGAAACTAAAGTGGACTGGCCCAAGGGGTTGAAAACAAATCCGGAGCCTGTGCTTTGTTGTGGTAAAGACGAGTGGGAGCCTGTGTTGACACTGAGCCCTGTCCCAAGATGAGCCAGGCTGCTGACAAATAAAAATAATGGCTATGTCACAACGTTATACAAAGAGGCCCATTCTGAGAATGTGACATAGATATAAAAGACACAAAAGACCTTTATATGATTGTTCGACACATAGACAATGACTCAAGCATGAGTACATGAGATAAGGGACAATCACCGAATAATCTTTCACAAGACATGTGGCACTACATATCATTTCCCTGAAAGGAGAGAAAGCAATTGCCACAATAGGAATTATTATACTCTGAAAACAAAAATGTTGTCAAGCTATTGTAATATTCACTTTACCTCTTTACCCAGAACTGCTCAAAATTAAAGAATTCACCAAAATTTGTTTGACTATGCAACTGACTTGTCATTGTTACTCCTGGTAAAGCACTGTTTACTGAAAACAAAATGGTTGAAGATCATAGCAGTAATGAATTACACCTCAACATAATCTCTGTTACAAGAACAAAAACCACTGGGTTTTAGCTAATCTGAGCCAGATCAACTTTTGTAAGGAATCAATTTAACTAAAAATCCCAACATCCTTCAACTACTCAAATGGCAGAGCCACACTCAAATAATTTCACTAATCTCAGACCACCCTTCTTATTTAACAGTGCAAAAAAAACAATTTCTGCCATTGTCCAATGCCAAACCTTGAAAGTCCAGGGCCCTGCCCACCGAGAGAAAGGTTGCTGGAGGAAAGACCATGTCCAGAGGATGGGTTAGGACCTCGGAGACCAGGACTGTGACTGCTTAAGAATCCTGCTGGGGCTGTGTTGTTCAGGGAAGTCTGAAAACAAAACACAACAGAGAAATGAAAATCATTATAAATCATTATATCCATGTTGAAGTAAAAGGCAAGTTAGATAAAGTCAGTACTGAAGAAAAGAAATCTAGGATCAAAGAAATCCAAATCAAACGAAGTGCTGCAAACTTTGTATTTACTAAGACTAAATCACTCACTTCCCACCCTATTCAGTATTCTGAAAAGCAAGCAAGCACTACAGTTCTTACATTTAGAGAAAAATGAAATTATGGATCACTTGCCAGCTTATTTTCATTATCTTTATCTATATGGGAGAACAATAGGTACATGAGAATTACTGCACCAAGTACAAACATGTACACTCACCTGGTGCCGACTAAGGCTGATTGACTGGGCCCCTACAGTGGTAGCAGCCTGTAGGTTGTAATTGCTGTTGTTCAAAGCTGTCGTGGAGAGAGCTGGACGTAAAACCGGCCCTGCACCAGGAGTCAAGTTCTGAAAACTGTGATCACCTTGATACTCTTGTACCTGAGAAAAATCACAAAAATGACTTTGTCAATTAAAACACAACAGTAGCGATACAAACACCTTTTAAGTCTTGGGAAATATCATGATTAATTTATGCGCATTACGTAAGTAAGTCCGTATAGAAAGGCAGTACCACACGTTGCAATGAAAAATAACCAACAAAATAGCCTAATAGAAAATGCCAACACAGGAGAGAAAAATTGTTACAGGCACATAAGTTCATCTATGTCTTCCCCCCCCCCCCCGTGTCTTTACCCTTGGTGGCTTCAGTTACAAATTTAGCAGTCTTCTGGTGTCCAACAGCCCATAATATTTCTGCTGGGGGGACCACATGGGTTGATCAGACCTACTCTCTCACTTTATGGTGTATATATATTGCTATATCACTAAACATATGAGGAGTCATTGTCAGATAGATCGTAGATTTTTGCCCTGCAGCAAAATACAGGATGATTTGAATTAATACTATAGGTGAATGATAATCAAGGCTACAATGAATGAACTATAAAAAGTTCCTTTCATTTTGTTCAACATTACTTTAAAATTCTGTCTTAAAAATAAAGCAACGCCATTAAAATTGAACCCCAGAGAAAAACTTTATGCCCAATAGTCAATTAACCCCTGCATTGGTGAGGATGTCTGGTGTTTCCAAACATGACCCCAGTGCTTTCTTGTTGTATCTTCATTTTTTTAACATAGAAAATGTGACATCTTCTTAAGCTCACTCTTTGTCATGAACTGTTTTCACTGCTTTTAAAAATGGAGATACGACAAGAAAGAACTGGGGTTGAGATAAGTAAAACACAGAAGAGGAAAAAGTAATAATCACTACAGCAACCATAAGCCACCAACACCAGGCACTTCAGATCTCCTCATGTAGCAGCCACGCTCACCTGAAGTTGCAACATCTGCATCTGTTGCTGTAGCTGCTGCATGTCCACCTGCTGCCTGGACAGAGACTGGACCAACTGGCCAAAGCTCAGCATCATCGACTGGTTCTGCAACTGGAGCATCTGCTCTTGGACAGGGTTCAGGAGGCTGCCTCCTTGAGGGGCATTTTCTGGTGAGATGGAAACACAAGTTGATTAAGTGGTGATAAGATAATCTGAAGCACAAGCAATATGGTACGATTTCGTGCAGTGTCTACGAACTCGTATGTGAAAAAGTTGATGAAGCTGTGATATAATTATCTGAAAAGCAACCAGCATTTAGGATTTTATTTAAATATCTACAATCATCTTGGGGAAAAAAACGACCACATTAATTATCTGACAGAAATTTGTGACAGCAATCAGCAAACTATAGTCATCAATAATATATTTTCAGGTACGTCTGTGACATATAGATTTCTCTTTTTTTTAAACATGATTTGATTCTGGAAATTCAAAAGGTAGCAATATGGGTGGAAAACTTCTGAAAAGCAGCAAAAACCATTCAGCTCACAACATCCTTTTTCTCCTGACAGATCATAAGTAAAAACTTGAGAAATAACAATAAGTATGGATTGTAAAGCACAAAGAGCTTGCTGTTGAGCAGGAATTTGCGCTACACAAATACAATCTATTTAAGTGCTGTCTATCGAAAAGAGTTCAAACTCTGAGAATTTTGAGCACACCTTGACTGAGCGAAACACTCAGCTGTCGGTTCTCCGATTCCGACTTCCTCAGTAAAGCTTCCACTGAACCACTGAGATTGCTGAGGCGATCCTCCACCACCCTAAACCACTCTCCACTCTTTCCTTTCACTTCATCATCCTGCATAATCTCTTCAGCGGATCGATAGTTCTGTGGACAAAGATGAATGGCATTTTTAAAAACATTATCACATAAAACCAGTTTCGATATTATAATCTTCACTGCCTGCCTCGATAAAAATTTTGATATTATAATCTTCACTGTTTCAATAAAAATTTTCTTCCCGGTCGGGTATCGAACTCGGGTCTCTTGCATGTGACAGCAAAACAATTAACTACTATATCTCAGTTGCTGGTAAACACATTTTCCTATTCAAGAAAAACTGTAGTTATCATTAAGATCCATTTCTCTTTAAACCCCATCTGACGTGGGGAGTGTCAGATACTAGTGACAACTGTTTTGTTTCATTTAGTGCTAGCTTTTGCTTTTTTTAAAAAACTACTCCCGATTCAAGTTTTTAAAAAAGATAACGACTAAGCCTTTGTTTACGCCATTTAAAAGTTGGAGGCAATTTTTGGGGGTTATGAGACATAGCGCACCAGGTTTAGGTGCCTAGAAAAAACTGTGGGAAACAGAAAAAACCTCAGGGTGTAAAGAGTCAATTCGTGAAGTTTTACACATTTGTCTACCATTCTAAAATCAATATATGGCAAATGAAAACAAGCTTTACAGTCACCAGTGACATTTATTGACATGTTATGAACAGTTTTTAGAGCTTCCGAACATCTGGATAAGAACAAATGGGAGACACTACGGAAAAAGGTAGTATTACAGGAAAAAATTAACTAAAATATCTCCGCATCTCAGTCAAGGAACATGAAACATGATTTTCAATGAGCATGCACCAAATCCAGCTGTCTAACGTATCCAGGGTCAAAACAAGTGCTGTACAGGAATCCAGACCACAAAAGTGTGCATCTCACCTCTTGACGAAGTTTGGCTTCTCTATTCCTTCTTTGAGACTTTCTGTTACTTTCTTTCCTTTGTGGTTTCTTTGTATCTGAAGTGGAAACAAAAACACCAATGATGTTGGGAAAGTTTTAAAACTACTCTGCCATCTGGGTTACATCTCTCCAAGAAATTATTTAGTTTGAATATCTATCAAACAAAAATGAATTTACAGCGAGGTGTGCTCTATAGTAAATTCTATGATTGCTTATACATTGTAAAATCTAATACAGAAAGGAGAACGTATCAGAAACTTAGAAACTTAGCTATAAACTAAATAAGATATATATTTTCAAACATCCAACTAAAGGCTTATACCTCACTAGCAAGAAAGACTAATAACAATAATTATAAACTGCATTGCGTGGTGAGCATCACATTAAAAAAGTCGTGTGTGTTTGTGTTGTTAAATGATCTCAAAATGTGCATTTTCTGTCTTTTGATTTATCAGTCGAGAGATAGTTCTGAATTGTACAGAGCTTAGAGCCTTTTAGGGATTAGGTGCTACAAAAATGCCCATTATTATGTCATTTGTCAAAATGTATTCATTCATATGCAAAATGACAAGATGGTAAGTATAAAATCTGATTACAGATGTGTTGGATCACAAATTAGCCTTTTTTTAAAAAGATGACACTGTTAGGAGACATCAACTCATGTCGCTTGTCACCAAGGTTGTGTTCGTCCGTCTATGCTGCACTCCTCGCCTCAAAAGGCAGCATATTTCAAGGTCTTTGCTTTGATGACTTTATAAAGTTTAAGACGACTGCCCAATCTTACACTTATGATGTACGATGTAAGTTTATGTGCTGAAACGTAAAGCTGTCAACATGAAATCAAGACTGAAAGATGCTCCTGTGTGTAAGCTACTTACTTCTATCATTATAGCTGGGCTGGGGGAATGTCTGTCTGCCTCTGGAAGTCTTTGGTCGGGCACCTATGCCCATGCTGGCACCTTTTCTAAGAGACTTTCTGTGACGAGCGTCAGCCTCTATGGTGTAAGTACCATTGTCACTGTCGTTTTCTTCTTCTTCCTCCTCCACCTGGACGATTCCATCACTAGGGTAACCTGAGGGACAAAAGGGAAAAACAATTTGTAATGACATTTTCATTGAAAAATCACAGGCATAAAGTTTCAGAGCTTAAGTCACAAAGCACACTTACAAGTACGCTTTTATGTCCCGTCAGAAGACAGAAAATACTCATAAACAAAACATCACACAGATATGTCAGCAATGTAGATAAATATTTCTTTATCTAACAATGGAATAGCAAATCCTTTAACTTACCATCATCAACTCCATCTTCATCCCCATTAACTCTGTCGTTCCTCTCCTGTCCATCTTCATCCTCTGTGATGTTTTCAAGATTGTCAACAGTTGATCCACCCCATGTGGCCATGGTGGCATCGACACTGGCTGGGATGCTGCAAATAGAACAGTATGAAACTCATGGAACAATACAATGTTTCTCTATTGCCAGCTTCATCTTAAAACAAAACTATTATGTTATCAGTTCCATTGGATTTCTATAACAGACTGCACTTTCTGAGAGCATGTAGCTGCTGTCTGTTGCATTATATTGCAGTAGCAAGGACAGGCATAATTCTAATCACAGTAAATTAAGAAAGTACAAAGAACTTCTGGTTACTTTTTCCGACTACAAAAAAGAAAAAAACCCAACAACCCTGAAATCTTGAAACAAACAATCTGACGCAAGCGTGTCTTTGTAGATTAACTCAACAATTAGGTTCAAAAGAGTGAAAGATATAGTTCATTAGAGAAGAGCAACATACTAAAGTCCTGTTGCACAGAAACTATTACGTAACCTACAAAACAAAGCTCCATACTTCTGCACTTAGTTTCCAAAAGCTATTGCACTAGATAAACATGAATAACTCAAAAAAATATAAATCCAAATAAGAAAGTGGGAACAAACTTCTTCAAAAAAACCTGACCCAAAAAAATCTTACCCGAAAGTATCTGTGTTAAGCGACACAGTGTCACTTTGATTGTCTTGATTCCTTGAGTATTGTCTCTTGTTTCTGTCTTTCTTCATAATAGCCTCCAGTTCTTTCTTTTTCGATCTCAGCTCTTCCCTCAAAATTCTTTGGCGTCTCATTTTACTGTACAGTTCATCATTTGATGCAACTACAGAATGAAAGAAAATCAGTACATATACCTTAAAATTGAGACGTCTGTCCAAACATAACATAAAAATGCTGTGCTGCCATAGCTTTCATAGAACAAAACAAAATAAACAAACAAACAAAATTTAAGTTTTTCTCTCCATAGGTTGTGAATAGACCAATATGAAGTACCATTCCATTCAAAATAAATCTTTTCTTAGTTGTTTCTCAGGTAACTTCAACAAATGAGAGTTACTTCTCTACACATATCAAAATATTCGTAAAACTTTTCTTGCCGTATCATCGACTTACAAGTAACAACAGTGGCATTGGGAGCTTGCTCCTGTCCAGACTTTCCCATATCTCTGCTCTGCTCCGATCTCTCATCCTGGTCCCCAGAGTTCTGAGTTGAAAAAAAAAATAGACAAGGTAAAGAATGTAACTATATATACATACATCACCAACATAACATCAACTCATTTGCTACCAAAAGGATAAAATAAAATGCCATTGCTAGACTGCTTAGATGCATGAACTTAAGGGAAAAAAGACACTGCTTACCCCACATGACATGCCATACAAATTTCTACTTACACCTTTATATCTATGTCATTACATCTTTATATCTATGTAACTCACAGACACCGCTACTACATTATGTTGATGGGGTAAATGGTACACATTTACAACAAACCAAACCTAAAGTGTGATTAAACCTTGAATAGACTGACCCCGCCAACAATGTCGTGCATCTGCTTCAGCTGACTCTGTAGCTCCAACAGACGTGTCCTTTCCTTCCTCAGCCGCTCCAGCTCAGCTCTTGGGTTCTCAAGACCATCGATGGCATCCATCTCTTCTCTGGGGAAAAAGGAAGAAGTTTTTATATACAAAAATAATTATAAAAGGCATATTTCTTCTTTTTAAGTTCCATAAGAACATAATATAGCAATGACCACGAAAAACCTTTTTTTTTTTGCCAGAAAGTGTTTGCAAATAGGTGCATTTTGTAGCTTTATCTTCACAGAGCATGGAACTTTTTGAATTTTTGAAATCCATCAATAAACAAAAAAGTTACGGATTTTTTAATCAATTAATTTCTGGTACACTTTTATATAATGAAAAAACCCAAAATATGGGACGTTCTTTGGTGAGTTTTGAGACAATACTCGTCATAACTCGCTCATTTCTCGGAGTATTTAAATGAAACTTGGAAACCCAGTACATTTTCTAGTGCAGAATCTAGTCCTGCTTTCAGATTTTTCATAGCTATCCTATTTTTTGAGTTATGAAGACGTTTATAGGTAAAAATGTGGCGGTTTTCGGTGCGTTTTGAGACAATATTTGTCATAGCTCACCTATTTTTTGGAACATGTAAATGAAACTTGGCAGTCTAGTACATTTTTTAATGCAGAATCTAGTCATGCAGTCAGATTTTTAATATCTGTCATACTTTTTGAGTTGTAAAGACATTAACAGGTAAAATTCCAGGGAAGCTGAGAATGTTTCGGAGTGTACTATGGTCTGCTGGGGTAATAATATAGTGTAAAGCGCATAGAGACTGCTGTTGAGCGAGGATATGCGCTATACAAATGCTATTTATTATTATTATCATTAAAAAAGTGGCGTTCTTTACAGATTTACAAAGATTATCAGTCATATATTCTCCCAGAGTCATGATATTTTAATGAAACTTGGCAACATAAAAGGTTCCTCCTTGCCAAGCAATGCTCTGGATCAATTTGTCCCAAAAATGTAAGTAGAGAGCTGGATTTATTAGTCTAATAAATCCAGTACTGTACTAGTAAAAGCATGCATACTTTGTTATAGAAAATAAGATGTCTCTGTGTATATTCCATTGTTGGACAGTGTCTTATTGTGTGGTAGATTAAGATGCGTTCAGATAATATAGTTTACAAGTCATGGGAATATTTCACATGTGTAGGCTACAACTCATACAATAAATGTAACATATTTACACACCCCCCTCTCTCTCTCTCTCTCTCTCTCTCACGCGCACACACACACACACACACATGCATGCGCGCGCACTCACGCGTGAACGATAACAATGTATAAACGGGACTATCTTCCCAGACTGGACTTAAATAAGTACCATACTCTTTAATAACAATCTTAATGCCTCACTTTCCCAAACAGAGCACACAGGACGAGTCTAAGTGTACGCTTTCCCAAGAGGGGGGAAGAGGCTTTCATAACGCAAAAACAATGCCATACCACTTCTCAAGATGTTTGCTTTTCTGTTTCTATTCTTCTGTCATGCAATCAAGCAAATAAAAATGACTACATCTATTGTATTGTGACTAAAATGCAACAAAAACGCAAGTTATCAAGGCCCCCGTTTAGTTTTCAAGTATCCTCCCCCCCCCCCTTTCCAGTTCACATAAGCGGGGCCTCGTTTGTAGCGCCCGAGGCGACCGATGGCTGATGACGTCACTGAGTGGAAATTTCCCAGCCGCAGGCCGTTCACCCACTACGCGCAAATGGCAATGTCGCTTTTTCCCTTAGTTACTCCCACATTTTTAAAGATTATGCGAAAACTGCTAAACACAGAAGCTTGAAATTTTAAGGGAATAAAGAAAAATGGTGTACAACGAATCAGTAAGTTTGACAAATCACAGCTCCGAAAAATCTTCAAAGCGCACCACATAAACCACTTTCGCAAACGTTTTCGACTGCTTCTAGGATGGGTACAATGTTGTCAAACTGCATACTACGAGATTGACCTCTTTTCTGATTGGCTGCCAAGTTTCATTCATATCCATTCACGAGAAGCGGCGTGAGAGCGAGTTGAAGACAACAACCTTTGCGTTAGTGCGTCCCACGAAACACCCCCGCTGCGGGGGCCAAAAATCGGCAGAACAAAACGAGCTCGGTGGGCATTGCTACATAATAAGACATATGCATTGAGTGAAAAGTCATCTTTATTTTTTGGACTGACACAAATGCTGCTCATAACTTTAAAGAGATGTGTTAAATGTAATTTGCATAACAGTAACAACTTATTTTGCCCCCAATCATCCAGTAGCAACAATATATGAAACAGAAGGCATTGTTCAGAGTAACTACTCATCAAAACCTTAAGCCACTAGCGGCAATATTTCTAAATATAGATAAACAACAATTCTTCGCCCCCCCCCCCCCCCCCCCACCCCCCCTCAACAGTGCCTTTAATTCTAATGAGATAATTTGGAGTACAAGCAAAAGTTAATAGGTAAATTTTGTCTTACCTCCTCTGAGCATCAATGGGCACCTCCCCCTCGCTCACGGAGACGTTAGGCTCATCTGTCTGTGTGGCCTGTGACACGGCCTCTTCCGCTACACTGGCCGCCAGGTCCCCCAGGTTCTCAGGGAGAGCCCGGGCAGCGTCGGGCGACTGCTGGACAAAAGCCACCAGGTCCTGGAGCTGACGAAGTTTTTCTTTGGCTGCCTTCAATTTCCTGTTAACATGATAAATAGAACCATTCAGTTAAAACAGAATATTGAGAAGGAACTGAAAAAAAGCAAAATATAGGTGTTACAGAATTTGAAAATTACAGTAGACACACATTTTCACACCTACTATTTAAGTAACTGAAATTTGACATCTCATGCTATCAAAATAAATCAGACAAATACTCATTTAACAAACTTGTTATGACATTAAACATATGTTTAGTCATGAATCAAATTCAAATGCACCCTAAAACAATCACAATAAGGGGGGAAAAAACAACTTAGAGAGCATAGAAAAAGAAGAATGACCAGGACAACACTTACTTGACTTTCTCTTGAATCTCCGGGTCATCATCCCAGGGGCCTAGATGTGACCACTGAGAATCTGACTGCGAAACAGAGGCATTGTCCTCATCCGAGTGCTCATCACCTTGGTCTGCCCCTGTACCATTAATGATTATAACCAAATTATTGCTTTCAAGGCTAGAGACACAAAGCATAGCAGCAGAGAATAAGGTAACGTTACTATACTCTCACACAACTGTCTGTTGTTCTGAAACAGAGATGCGCATTGAGAAGCATTTTACACATATCACAACTGACAGAAATATGAGTAACACACCACTTGACTGTGCTCGACAATGTAAGAAAAAAAACCTCATTGAAGTAACACATTTTTCTGGTGGCAATGACAATATGACAGTTTACAGCAGACAGAAAGGTGAAGAACAAAATGTAAAAAAAAACAACAGACGAAACAGTCAGTTGGGACACATGAGTATTACTCTGAAAAAACTTGCTGGCACACTTGTGCTGCAAGCAGATTTTTTCTAGTTTAACAAATCACTTTTAGAGCAGAATCAGAACCCGACATAGAATCACTGAACACACTCAGGAACTTATGGTAGTAAGCAACTACAAAATAAAAACTACTACTTGAAAGTTAATAAATAAGCAATCCTCGTTCTAAGGTCAATTCACTCACTGCCATTCATGCTCGTGGAGAACCCACATAATTACATACTTATGTGAAAACGAAGCACAAACACAATTCAGGATACAAATATTCTAAGTTTAAAAAGATCTGAACAAACAAATGAGACACAGAAATGAATCAAAAAAGACAGAAAAACTACTAAAATCACAGGCTGTCACTGTAGGAAGAAAACATGACAACGCACCGGCCAAGTTCAGCAGCTGAGCCATGTTCTGTAGAGAGGATGCCGCTGCTACAGCAGCAGAAGCATTCTCTTCCTCTTTAGCCCACCGCTTTTGTTGTTTTTGTTGCTGCTGGTGCTGTTGCTGCTGCTGCTGTTGTTGCTGAAGCAGAAGGAGGTCCAGCTGTTGTTGGGGCTGACGTTGTTGCAGCGATGAACGACTTCCCCGGAGGTCAGAGCCGGCTTGGGTGTTCCTGGGGAGATATGGCCAATACAAGTGTAAATAACATTGACATTTCAAATACTATGACTGCGGGGGGCGGGGCACAGCAGTCAGGTATGTCTGTTAACTCTCGCCATCTATTTAAGACAAAACAAAACCCACAGATCAGACAGCAACTTCTTGCTCATTATTTTCAGGGCATTTTTCATTTTTGAACCGTGAAAGTCACATTGGCAACTGATGTACAATTGACAAAGGCATCAGCAGCCAGTTCAGTTAAATTTCCCTTTTACCATACAAAAAGCACCCTTTCATCCAAAAATGTATTGCTCTGTGACCAAGTATTTTTCTTTCATTATGGCAACCTCAAGCAATCCCTCCCTCTCAACTGAATCACTGAGTCCCACCTCCATTTCCCTTTTCTTCCACTACTGTAAACAATCTACCACATAAAATATATCAGAATAAGACTTAAAAGTCCACTTGATTTTCCAACATAAATACTATATTTCCAACTTCAAAAATAGGACTAGTTTATAAATATAAACACATTTCTCACACTACAGTTCCATGACCAGGAAAGCATAACATGATTCCTGACCAAGAAACAACATGGTTAATTTCCATTACAGATTGCACACAAGCTGCCTCGTTTTCTAAAATAAAGGTATACATGCAATTACACAGATGACTTTTTGTTCCATTTTTCAAATACATTCATTTAACACAATTTTAAAAACTTTTTAGTACCGATTCTTCACCGACAAAACACTTCCTTAAAACAGCATCCTGTAAGCTTCTTTACAGATATTGCTGTTGGCAAGATGGACACATTTTTATTCTGTATTTCAAATAGAGCAGTGAATAGACCTATCGAATAGAACAATCTTTGCTTAAATTCTTACGAAAGAGCTCTTTCTCCACTGTCGCTGAAACCTGGCAAGGAAGACTGGTCGTCCCCATCCCTTGCTTCCATGTCATCTTTCTGAGTTTGATAATACTGGACTAATCCACGTAACTGATCCAGCTGTCCTCGGACTTCTTTCAGACGCCTGTCAGAAATATGGGACACATTTAAAACCAACACATACAGCGATCATGCCAAACATAATAGACTCCTGTTCCACTGCCCTTCTTTATTCTATTTTATCAGAAAACACACCAACCTGGACCTTCTCCCTCCCTCTAAAAAAGAAATCCCAAAATCAATATTTTTAGGTTTTCTTCTTTCCTCACATTCTTTAACCCACTACCTACTCACCACATTTTTCATAGGTAATTTTTACTGCGGTAATAGAGAGGTAAAAAGAAATTCTAAACTCAGAACAACAAGAACTACTGGTAAGAACATTAACTAACCAAGAGCAGAAAATCATATTCAATCTTCACTCTCCCAACAAAATGTGAAATTACTTGAAAGAACATCAACCAAGAACAAAAACTCTTGTTCAATCTTCACTGTCACAGCAAAATGATAATGTATTACCTCAGTTTCTCAGTCACTTCAGAGTACATCTGTGGATCCATATTATTCTCCCCATCAGCACTAGCCAGTTCAGAAAATGTTGCCATTGCACTCTCTAAAGCACTTGGAGCAGCAGTCGCTACATCATTCATTCGAGTCTGCAGACTGGCGGGCAAGCTCGAGCTGGCAGCCATGTTGGGAAAGGAAGGTAACGGGGGCAAGGGAGGTGGGGTTGGCAGCTGAGCCTGCTGCGCTCTCTGTTTAGGCTGGGCTCCAGATGACGGGATGTTGGTTAAAAGAGCTTGACTACTGCCACTCAGCAAAGGCTGTGACTCTGGAATAATAAAGAGAGGTAAATGGATTATGAACTAGCAGAATATCTAGAGAAAGTAAAGTTGCTTGTTGACTAATGTTATCGGTGGTCATTCCATACATATGGAAAGAATATTGTATAGTTAATTCAGAAAAGGTGATCTTACCATACTCGACATTCCCTAAATGCTACCCAATAAAATCTGCTCACCATTATTCCGTGGGTTTGCCAGCGGTTGTTCATGAAGCATCTGCAGTTCATGAAGCAGCTTATCCATACGAGATTTCTTGGTTTGGAGCTCCAACAGTTTATTCTGCAGCTGTTGTCGATCCTCTGTCAGGGCTTGACTTTCCACCTCCATATTCTTTTGCCCTTCGTCACTCTATCAATAAGAACCAAACGAGAATCATAATATATGAGATGTTATTTTATTTAAAACAGAAAATAAATTTTAGACTAAAATATGAGCATCAACATTTCTCTGACAAGCCAGCAGGGCAATGAATCAGGACAAATGGCTCTCAGAATTACATACTCAACAGTTCTGAAGTGCAACAAGAATGAACAAAGTCAGTGAGAATACAATAAGAATGATGTTCAAAAGATCAAAAAATAGAAATACAGTCTTTTAGTTATTAAGATAATCTTTTATCTAATAGAGAGATGAACTTTTTAAAAATTTTAACTTTTGAGAAATTGTCTGTCTCTATTGATAAGTTTCATATTAAGACAACAGGTAATTCCACAATTCAATTTTAGTCTCGAAAAATAGATTAACAAATTGAGCTACGAAATCAAAGAGAGTGAGAAAGGACATCAATGAGACAATACGATTCAAAAACTCACTCTAGAAAATTCATTTCGCAGAAAGTTGAGCTGCCTCTTCAACTCAAGCAACTCATTGGGCAAGCTTGCACCCTCCACTTCCCGAACGTTGGAATTATCTTCATCATCTGACTCCGGGTAGCCTACAATGTTTGACTTGAGCACTCCACTGTCACCACCCACAGCTCCTTTCTGCTCTTCTTCCTCCTCCTCCTCCTCTTCATTATCCTCCAGCTCATCCTCTTCCTGAGCCATACCACCTCTGCTGGCTATGGCAGCCATAAGGTCCAGGCTTTGGGCTTGCTCGGCCATCAGCTGTTTCTGGACTATTTGTTTATTTGTGCTGACCAAGGCGAGAGCTGCCCTTGCTGAAAGACAGAAGAAAACCATGATAAGTACCTGAGTGTACATATGTTTTCAGAACTTTCTGTCACCCTCCAACCAAACTTCACAAAAAAAATACATGAATAAAACAGTTACTGTTAAAGAGAAACACAGTTCTATATACAGTGCTTCCACGAGCTGAAGCTGAAAAGTAAGGTAAATTCTGCAGGGGGTATGGGGGCCGCAGAGTCCCCCAGCAGGGTCCAGGGACAGTGTCCCGGTGGGGATTCAGGGGGCGAAGCCCCCTTTAGAAATTGAAATTTAGTGCTTTTAGAGGGTAGAAAATGGCATTTGGGAGCCTGTTTGAAGATATTGCCTACAGCCCATAATATTCATTTTTTCACCAATATTTTTTCTTGTTTGACTCCATCACCAGCATATCTTTCCAATGCTGGAAATGTTTAAAACCAGGTTCCCCTTTCATTGCTACTATAATTCAATTAATTTGTAGTCGCACCATTGACAGCAGGCAAACCTGGGAATAATGAATAGATGTACCTTCAAAATACGGTTGCGCAGTGTATACCCACATTTTTTCTAAATTTTCATGTCTGAAAGTCGCCTGTCACAACCTCGGAACACCACTTCAAATTATTCTTGATTTTATACATGGTGCTCACTATGGACGGGATCGGCCGGTCGGCCGACTCTATCACCTCAAAAACAAACGTGTTTGTTTTCAGTTTCAAAGCAAACACGGTTGTTCGACCGAGTCAGGCGATCAGCGCAATCGGCCGATACCATCCGTAGTGGGCACGACCGTATCAGCATATATTTCTTTCATCGCGGCCCTTATATTGCGTTCACGTGCCGTAGAATCTTCGCATTGATAATTTCTCTAGATCTAGATAAAATTTGCGGAAAAAGTTTCTTTCCGACAGTAATTTTCTGTCTAAGATCAAAATCAGTCTTGATCAACGCGCAGATTTTCCAGCCGCGGCAACAATCCGAAGATAGACAGAAGGAATGAGTGAATGACAGAAAGGAGGAACTTGGCACAAAAGGTTCGCCAGATTTTGATCCATCTGCAGGAAAAAAATGTACTGCCGACCAACACACAATGAATGCATGGGACTGGGACATAGCGGTATGTCCGATTGCAGGAAATGCGCAATTTGGCAGGTTTCTACGATAACTTGTTGCCGAGAGAATTACCGTAAATATCCGTACCTTATACAAGACGATACGAAGGCGAGTACGGAATTTCGGTTGTCCTGCACTGTCGCAGTTTTTTTAAACGGAGGGAGTAGATAATGATGGAGGGACAAGTACGGAACTGGCAGAAAGTACGAATTTCCGTAAAAATACGGAAGAGTGGAAGCACTGTATATAAACCTAAAAAACAAAAAAACTGTACAAACCTAAGAGGGGTCATTTGAGCAAAGAAATAACAAGACGAAAACAACCAAGTAAGATCAAAACCAAAATACTACTTTTATCCTTTATTTCATTGACTTTTTTCTACAAAACGCAACAAAAGTGGTTGGTCTTTTTTGACAAACCGCGACATATCCGCTGAGTGCCAATCAAGTTCTTTCCTTGACTCATGTAGCTTCACTTATGATTAACAAAAGTTTGTCAGTGGTTCTTTCCCTTCCTAATTATTATAAAGTTAGGACTGAATTTGTGCGAGTACAAGCATCATTAATCATTTGTAAGTCACACCCAAAGTTACTTTGAAATAAATCAATTTTATTAAATACAAATTCATCTCCATTTGTAAAATATCAAGTGAATTTCGCATTTGGTCAAAAATGTGAGGAGATCACACCAATTTAAAGGATAAGAATCCAAATACATTCCATTGTACAACAAGTACCAACTAATCCTTTCATCATAATACTTGCTCTTAAAACAAGGCTGCTCATTGGTGAAGTACAAGAAATCTTCATTTCTCTCAAAACTAGAATCAAGGATGTGTCGCATTTTGTGGTAAAACTGTTAGTATTCTGTATCGTGTTCCTGCCAAAGAAAATCCCTCAACACTACTCAAAAGTTACCTTTGTTATCCCTGGCTTGTGCGTCCAACAATTTTTTCTCAGTCTCCCTACGCTTCAAATTGAGTTCCTCTTGTCGGCTCATCAGGGACTGAAGCTAAAAGAGCAAAAGGAATAACATTATTGGGAAATCTTTAGTACACATCTTATTTCTAAGGGCAACAAAGGCGTGCAAACCTTAAAAATCAATGTATTTGTATTTGTGAAAGAGTAAAGCTTTAAAAAGTTGAAACATCAATAATTTGCCCTTATACATATGAGGCAGTACAAGATTTTCATGCTATTTAAGGGGGAGGGGTACTTTATAACTTATCTCGGTAACTATGAAAGTTCAGGTAAAGCCTTTTGGCAAGGAGGTTAAACAGGAAAACATCTCTAAAAAGCAACGTTAGGTTTTTTTAAAAATCCACCGTTACCATGGTAACGGCGGCCATATTGAAAATAAACAGCTTTCATAAATCTTGAAAGGCTTTTTTAATTACTGACCGAATTTATTCAAATTTGGTACATTGATAGATATACTCAAAACAAAATATTATACAACAGGGCTCTCGGATATCTTGAATAGGAAAAAAGTTATAGATGGACAACTGACCTACCCCTTCACACCTCTGAATTTCATTACACAATCGCCCATAACTCAAGTATAAATGTACCTATTACATTGTCCTGTTGTATAAAGTTTGGTTATGATGTGAACAACAAACCCTGAAAATATCAGAGGAATCGGTTAGAAAATAAAAAAGTAGATGAGAAAAAGGTATCAAAATGTAAAGTTTTGAGAAAAACGACATTTTGTTTCAAAATAGACCCCAAAAAAATTCCTGGGCGGAAAATCTGAAAAATGATGATTGTAACATGCACAACAAGCATTTATGTTCTTGTGAATCACAGTTTCAATACAATCCAGCTAAAAATATGCTAATAAGAAAGTAAATTGTGACATGGGGTACTGACTGTTCAAAACCAAAAAACGAAGAAAACTGATGATAGTGTCCGTTAGAGTACACTTCAAAACATCCCAGGCCCATACGCCACACCATCTTCTTTCTCTGCCTCAAGACGAGCCTGCTCTATAGCCTTCGCTCGCATCACCTTCCTCCTCTTCGCAGCGGCTTTCTGTACGTCCTGGCTTTTGTATAAACGCTTGGTGGTGCGGGCAGAGTTCAGGCGTTCAGTATTTACCCCAGAAGGTACACCAAGTAAATCCTTCAACTCGGTAGTATATCCTGGGCCAAAGTTGAATTCGGCAGCAGCAGTGATGACAGCCACTTCGACTCGTTGCTTGCTGCGGAACTGAGTTTTGCTGCATTTGGCCCAGACCGAGTGGTGAAAACTTTCGTTTGCATTCTGGGTCGCCTTGCGTTCACACCGAAGAAGTAGAGAATCGGCTGTGAGCCTTTCGTAGACGGGACGGAGGTGCTCATGCAGCAGTTCGTAGTTCAGGGGCGTGTGCACCCTGTTCTTGTGGCCTCCTGGATAGACGTGCCTTGCCAAGGACTTCTTGTAGAAGCACCAGGAGTCGTTGCCAGACGGACAGTACATGTGCTGCGGGTGGTCGTCTGTTGAGTATCCATGATGGACACTGGCCAGGATAGCTGTCCTCATCTCGGCTGCAGTGGCTTGGCTTCGGATGGCCCGTGAATAGTAGATGGACAGCTTGCGAATAGTGTTTGCTGTCAGCCTGCCATGGCCTCTTCCACCTAGCGTGACGCCTTTCTTGCTGCAGTCGCTGACGAGGTTCCGTAACGCAGTGCCCAGCCGCTTCCCCACATGATTCAGGCACTCCTCCTTAACAATCTGGACTCCAGGACCGTACGGCTTCACCTCTGTCACCTTGTTGAAGGCTTTGGAGTCTCCATCACCAACAAACGTGGTGTACCGCAGGCCGAACTTTTCCATCGAACGGCTCCACAACACAACTGCAGCCTCCACCTCCATCATCCCCGACGATCCACCATAGTTTATGTTGCAGCCACTAGCTTTGTGCTCCGTCAGCCACGCGTCGTAAGCCAGGGGAGTGTTCGTCTTCTTCCACTGACCAGTGGTAGCGCAAGTCTGGCAATGAAGGCTCAGGACATGGCTGTCGAGTACTAACCCGGTCAGTACATCGATGACGCAGCCAATACCGATGAGGGACTTGTGGCCACGCGTCAGCCAGGAGCCGTCGAAGCTCACGGCGATGTCCAGCACGCCATCCTCCGCGACGCAGCCCATGCTTAGGTAAGCCTGGCGAACAGCGTTGGCAGCCTGAAAAAATACTTTGTCCGCCAGAGACTCACTCTTTCCGTACACCTGAGTGGCATATTTGTTGAAGGTCTTCGGATTAAGACCTGGGAGATCCAGGTGAGCACATAATGTGTTGAACTGGTACGGCCCCAGGCCAGACATCAGAGCCGCAGCCGTGGCACTCTGATTTACCTTGAACGGTTTCCTCTTTGCTGGGGTGCTGGTGTCGAGGGAAGACGTGTACTGGGGCTTACCGACGACGCTAGAACATTCTGAGCAGAACAGGGAGAGCCGAAGAGCCAGGCCGAACTGACCCATCTGACGTAGCGACAAAGTCCCAACGATGCCACACTGGGGACACTGAAGCTGCTTGAACAGCCCCTCAACCTGCGACAACTCCACGATGGCTCGAGACGTATCTTCAGCAGCAGCAGGCACGACATACCTACTCAGCTTCTCCTGGGACCGGAGAGGGATCAGCAGCAGAGGGTCCGGTGGAAAGACAGGCCGTGGGGTCTCTGGAATATCCAGAATCGAAGACGATGCAAGCATCTCTGGGGGCACAGGGACAGAAGACGAGGACTGCGGAAAAAAAGTTACGGAAAAATCAGCTTCATGCAAGTAAATTTCTGGTACTGAATATTCAAAATCTGTTGACTGAAAATGTAAAAACATTAGGCCTGTAGGCCTACATGAAAAAGTCATACAGTTGAAAAAAATTGTGCCTATATAAAATGAATATATAGGGCCTAGGTAACCATGCATTTCAAATTCAGTAAGAAGAGTCAATAGATATTTTTCATTTCTGCAACAAAGAATTAGAGTCTAATGTCTAATCATGCACACACACACACACACACACACACACACACACACACACAAACCACATAGATCTAGATCCACACACGTTACTACTACTAGATAGATCTATATCATTCTAGTACCACAAATACTAAAGTACACACACACACGCGCGCACACAAACCACATGGTACAGATCTTGATCTACACACTATATCTAGATCTACTACTAGATCTATCATTCTAGTAACCACATTTATACTAAAGTACACATATAAATTGATATCACTAGGCTAGAGAATCTTGTCTACGTACCTCAACCTCAGCTTCACAGCTCCTATCGAGTTCCAGTTCCACAGCCTTTCCACGCATCTCACGAGCTTTCTGCAGCTGCTTCGAACGACCAGTCACCTTCTTCTTCGGCATTTTCAATACTAACGCAATTCACAAATCTAGAACAAATCTAGAATGTCCGCTTCAAGTACACAAGAAGGCCTAAGTAAGTAACAACCTTACTAACAATATCAGAGACGAGTGAGCACAGCAATTGTAGAGCGTTATCGACACAGTGATGCTGCCATCCAGCACGTAATCTGAAAGTGGCCCTTCGTTTCGAGAGACAAACGCGTTTCTTTGACTTGAGACTACACACCAAGTACACATGCGCACAAACAATCGACACACATGAGCCTGTATACAAAGAAAATCCTTTGTTCATTCAAGAAAAGACGGAAAATTCCACGTGCAATTATGGGTCAAGCTTTGCGGAAGTGACCTTGTAACTATGGTGGAGAACCAACAGAATTCGAGCATTCCTTGGGGTCATTCGCATTAGCCAATCAACATTCAAGGTCATCTCAGTAGTAAACATTCAGCCCACAATCTAGGTCAATCTTGGTCAAACCTTTGTCTCGTTCTGAGCTAATAGGAAGCGGTGATGAGACGTCATGACCCAGTTGCATATTTATTCAGACAGAGGGGAAAATAACGATTCCATCGATATACAACACTGTATGCTTATTCCGATATAAACTATAATTATTGGTTGGTCAATTGATGAGAAATAGATCATGTTTTCTCAAAATCATACAATTTTTTCCCTACCCTAGTGTTTTGAAAGACAATTTTAGGTGTAAATACGCTATTTCTAAATTCTCTCATAGCTATTTTTAGGTACGGGAGAGGTTGAAGTTTCACAAGATGTAAAAAACCTCGATACCATAATTTGACCCCAAAATCGTCCGTTTTAAAAGCCGCGCTCCCCCTTAAGTAGAAAATAACCATCTGACCCATCATATCAACTGCAGTTAGGGAAACTGATTCCTAGTACATGACAAATCTAGAATACAAATTCAAAACAAAATTAGCTGCTTTGAGAGACACTCACTTGCTGTTGCTTTTCTCTCAGAATATTCAGCAACTCTTGGTGATGGGCAGAAAGTCCTTCACCATCATCCACCGCAGTAGCTCCACTGGCTCCTTCTTCGGTCTGAAAAGAGAAATTACATAAATTTCATAAACATTCAGTCCATAATAAAGTACAAATCAATGGAAATAAAAGTAAGTTTAAGAAAAAAAATAAACATAATAAATAAATATATATTTAAAACGTCAGGACTGCTCTATCAAGCCTTACAAAAACATGTTGAATTGAATGTGTACTTTAAAAATGTAATAGGGAGATTTATTTAACAAAATCTTTCTCAAAGGAAAAATTCTAGTAACCATCATTCAGACCACAAACATAAGATATTCTATCTAGTAAAAAGTAAACTTCTCCCTCTGAAACAATCTGAAAATGCAGTGGAGACTGCTGCATTTTTCTTTAGTTTAGCCGGGTTTTCAGTTTAAAGAGGTGGCTAAAATAGAAGGGGAAAAAGGGATTTTTTTTTTCTGTTAACAGCTGTTTTCAAATTAATTGTATTAAATTTAAGAGGACTCCGCTGTATTTGAAAGTTACTGAAAAAAAAAAGCATTAATTTTTTTACTTAATTCGGCATCAGTAAAAACCATTTGTCAGACTATTCCTTTCTCTTTTTGTATATCTACAAAGTATTATTTTCCTCTTCCTTTTATGAACACGAAGAATGCATATAATAATGATGAACTTTTTCAATTTGATTAAGAAGAAGCACAAAGACATGATAATGCCTTTTACTGCAGGGGGCAGTAAACGTGAGAAAAAAAGTAGAGGGATTTACATGTGGTGCCCTCCAACCACCCACCACTAAGGAACTCAAGAAAATTACTTTCCCTTGTAAATTTTTTTCTCTCCAGACTAACAAAAGAACCGTCTTCTTTACCTCTTGCATTGGAACCCCAGGGAGAGTGAGCAGCTGTTGTTCAAGGGCATTCTCCACCGCTTCCATTGTTCTATTGGAATTTGAGTTCTCAACAGTGCTGCCGACTGCCCCTCTCAATGCTTCTGCAAACGCATCTTCCTCATCGTCAGACCCAAGTCCAAGTTTTGATTCAATGCGTGGTCGAGAGCCCTCAGAGTTTTCCTGAGTATAGAAAAATGAAGAAATATGTAAAACTATAAATATGTCCTATGGATATCTCTTGCTCTGTGCCTTAGCAACAATATTAGCCGTAAAAATATAGATTTACTAAAGAGAGGCCTGAGTACATACGTGTTGTTTCAGATTTTAATTGAACTTACGTAAAAGGATATGGATTCACTATATATAATGAAAACATAGAACCCTGATCACTTACGGAAGTTTCGGAGTTCTGGAATTCCAAATCGACAGACGAATCATCAGAATCCTCCTTTGACTCCATTTTGACAGCAGTGTCCTCTCGCTCTTCTTCAACATCATCATTCTCTCCATCTCTCTGAGCCTTCAGTAAAAGAAGAAAAAAAAAAAGATTTACAAAATAAGCTAAAAAAGACAAACAACGCCATTCTAACAATAAGCAATACATTTTTTCACTATCAAAACAAAGAGACATGATCACAAAGAAAGACAAAAATCATTTCATATCAATATTTTACTTTTTCCAGCAATAACTCATTAGCCCATCACTTCAATTGTCACTCATGATTTTTCTTTTCTTCTGAAGTTCCAGACCTCAAGAAGACATAGCTTGTGAACTTTCGAAAATTTCTGAATAAATATTCATTTTATCTTCAAAACGAACGTCTTATTTATTTTCAGTGGTTGAACTACTCTGTCAACTTTTCAAAAAGTTACTAAATTGCAGCTTAAACTGGGTCTCAGACATTGAACAGCAGCAATGGCTCAACAGTGTGATAAGCTGATAAAATTGAGAACTTGTTAGAATCGCATATGAGATCATACCCGAGAATTTTGAAGCAGTCCTCTGTATCCTTGTTCTTGCTCTTGCAAATTTCGAATAAGTCGTCTCACCTTCTCAACATCTTCTGCTTTTTTCTGAAAGGTAAAAAACGGAGTTCTATCACACTTTTGCTTAAGAGGTATGAATTTAACAAAAGCTTCAAAGGGAGAAGAAAAAACTTTCAAGAGTTACACAACTGTCACATGTTCTGTAAATTGTAGGGAGATCTAAATTTCTGACTAAATAGCATGACATCATGTTGAGGACAACTTTTCGAACAAACACAGGCTAATATGACATTTCACACTTACAGTACCGTCAATGACTTTAGTCCCCAGGCCGTAATATGCGCTCACTACCACTGGCGACTTTAGTCGCCGACCAGGTACACTAAATATAATTAGATAACGAACGGACCCACTGCACAGAAGTAAAGGCAAAAGAAAGTCACTCTATATGATAGCTGAATAGTTGTGAACCTCTGAACTTATAAGCCTGTTTCTTCGGCTGTGAAGGTTTTCTTTTAGTTTTTAAACAAATTCTACCATGGTTTTAGCATCCTAAACTGGTGCGGTACTTGAAGGTTTTTCACTATATGAGACTTCGGTACTGTAAGTGTTAAGGCAATAAACATTTAACCCTCAGCTTCTCCATCACAACTCATATTTCTTTTCTGTGCGCATCGCGACCACCAGTCGTGATCCGACATGAGTGTAGAAACTATACCGCTGACATGAGAATAGACATTTTTTAAACAGCTGGTGACTACAGTCCACCAATGCAACGTTTATTAGTGCCGTTGGCCACGCATTTGGCAGTCTGTGATCACCTCGGATATAGTTTACAGTTTTCAAAATATCGGATTCGTCAGCTGATTTAGAACAGATTTGCTCAACATTTTTCAGGAATCAGATGACGGTGATGAAGAGCCTTAAGGATTAGGCCCTCAAATAAAAAATTTTGGTGTAAATGAAGGGGATATATCGTAGATCAAGCGAGGTTGAGCCCAGAAGGGGATGTTGATATTCCTGCTGATCTCCAAGCAGGCTGGACTAAAAATGATGAGGATTTTGATACCAACAAAAACAACATCATAAAAAACCACATCAGACCAGACATAAGGATAGTTCATTATTTTAGACACATTTTTCCTCCTTACTGTAATTAGAAATTATATAAATAAGAAAGATATGAGCTTTTTTTATAACCATGTTGAAAATTAGCATTTTTCTAAAATAAACCCAGCACTGAAAGGAAGTAATAGTAAAAATGGCTTAGCGCTAAGAGGGTTATGATAATACAATACTTATTTGTTGTTGCTGAAAGCAAAAATGTGATCCCATTTGGATTTTGCTAAAATCAGAATGAGCTCTAGACCACAGTTGACTGAAACTGTTCCAAGACAAGCATCAATTCTGTTCTAGAGTCCAAGCAAAATTTTCTTGTCACATTGTTTCAGAAAATCACTGCCTTGAAAAAGGCAGCAGAAACAAATAAAATACACTCAAAGAAAATTAAAACACTGCATGACATTCCTAGAACAACATGGATACATATCTAGAACTACTCAACTTCCTTCCACTTACCCGATCTCCTAGCTTCTCCATACCTTCCATCATTGATTTTGCTTGCTTCATGAAGTCCCGAATCTGCATGAGACGAGCCACTATCTCATTCCTGTCCGGCTGCAAGAACATATAACACACCTTAAGCACATGCATGACTAAACAAACACAAATGCATGCCTTCAAAAAAGAATCTTCACGTTACAATTTATCTTCCTTTATTGATGATATAATCAAATTTAGACAATGACAATCTTTATTCATCTCGCCGGGAGAAATTTGTCCTGGTTGTTAACAATGGCAGTAGACGTTACAAAATTTAGACAAAGGAGCACTCACACAAACACACAACAAGACAGTACATTAGGCCTTGTAAATACATGTCTCACGTGCTGGGACAACCCGCTACGTAAAACATTCTCTCTCTCTCTGTTTCATTTGTAGCACTGTGTGTTCAGTAACCTCACTGTAGTTGGGACAAAAGAATTTCTATATCTGTCTGTTCTTGCTTTTTTAGAAATGTATCTTTTACTGCGGGTCGATAGTTGAAATTCCGATGTCAGATTTTAAAAGATCACAAAACAAAAAACAACCCACAGTTAAGAGGACTATATTGGATGTCAACGTATAATTTACAATAGAAATGCCAGTACTGTAAAGATTGATAAATTATATGGCACAATTCCAGCAAGCAAAAATAAATACCTCAATTCTTCTAAAACAAAACAGAGGTTCAAAAACAAATTCGAGCATCAAATCTACTTCTTTTTTTTTTAAAAGGACAAGCTGAAATTCACTAATAATTGAAAGCAACACTTACACTTACACCAGACTCCCTGTTAGCAGAATAGTCCATGTTGTTATTCCTATTCACTCGCCTCTCTCTGGCCCCTTTGCCATCTGTGTCCGACTCGGTTCTATTGAACGATGCATTCTGCAGCCTGCGCCTACTCTGAGAAAACTGCCGCTCATTATTCCTTTCACCATCTGTGCTAACTTGCTGGAGGGGAAAAATGAGAATAAGCAGCGAATTAAGCATACCACGAATCAAAAGTTTGTCACGAACATACTCAGTAGGAGACACAAATCAAATACATTGCTTCTTTGAAAATAGCTGAAAGAATGTGTCTTCCTTTCTTTTTTCAAAGGTAAGAATATGAAGCAAAGCACAGGAACATCAACTGTTCAAGGGAACAATGTGAATGAAGTACATTGAATTTAAGTTTTCTTCATCAAAATGTGGCAGTCCCAAGTTAAACAGCAATACCGTATAAAACCCCCCCAAAAAAAACAAACCACCATTCCTTTCACAAATCAAAACCAAAGGCATATTCAAGCATCAGAGAAGATTACTGTTAGAAGTGCACTTCAGACCAAATAAAAAATAAATTTTAAATTACCTCTTTCCAACAATTTCGGACGTAAAGATATAAACAAGTCATGCCTTGAGTTACAATGACTAGACCTTGATCACAATTTTTTTTCTTGTCTCTTGAGCAGCGCAAACCACTTACATCTTCTAGATCACTGAACGTCATGTGCTGTTTCAAATTCTCCAGGGCGACCCTTTGTGAGGTCGGTGTGCTGGGAGTCAGTTTAGTGCGGGGATAGGTGGAGGGGGTGTGCTGTTTTCCATCTCCATGGGGCGGTGAATCCATTGACAAAGACTGCTCGCGTTCCCTCTCTGGATTTCCCTTTGACTTTTTCCTTCGCTTAGAGTCACCAGTTAAGTTAGTTGGACGGAGATCACTCAAGTCCTGTAAAAAATTTCATACAATGTATCCATAACAAAGATCGTTCTTTGTAATAAGGTACTTCAAGAAAACATAAAAATGAGTCGCTTAAACTTCAGTATTCTTTCACAAACACAATCAACAACAGCTGCTAAGGTAACTCATGAATACACAGCTTTTTCCTTACAGTTTCAGTACAAAACAACCAAGAGTACCAACTGTCACTAAAATTTCACTACGCAAGTTTGATCAAAGAGCTAATGGAACATAAAAAAGGAGTGCGGGGGATAAATCTGTTAAATTTTGATTCAGTTATCATGCTGATTATCATTCATCTTCAACAAACACAATAAGTCATTACAAAGAAATAAATGTCTTTTTACAGACCCACAATATGATCATACATACCCAATTATTAATCCGAATGTCACTGGGAAAGCTGTTCAAACTCTGAGCATCATCTCTGTCGGAACTCACGGAGCGCTGCCAGTTGCTACGACGCTTTGTTTCAGACTTGGCCTGCTTATTGGAATGATATCCACCTGAGGCCATCTGCAAAGAGAACCAAAAAGAATGAATTTGTTTTGAAGGGCTAGATGGACCAAGACTATTTCTTCCACCAGTTTAATGTAAAGCTGGGAAATTTCAAGCATTCCCCATAACGAAATCACTGCGACTGTTCATCTAAATACAATATATGTACACAGTCTAAAGATGATCTATACAAGAGTAAAAAGTCATTGACACACTAACAAACACAGCTCATATCATGAAAAACAATCTTTTGACAGAGAAAAATACCAAGCACCTAGGTCTACAAAAATCCAAATCTCTGGAATTTCGCATCTGTTCACAAAATAAGAAAAACCCAAAAGAAAGCCTGTCCCAGTTGATAAGATCATACACTTTAACCTAAGAGTAAGTGCACTCTTCACAGAAAATGAAACCAGTTAAAAATCAGTGCCACAAACAGTAAAATTTCATTTTCCATAAAACGAGTACCAAACATCAAAGAAACCGTTGAGACATCCTTGAGGGGAACACTTTACCCAAGACACAAGAACTGCAATCAATACGTATCTTGCCTCCTCACTCTTAATTAGTGCCCCAGCATGAACTGAATTATTAATGAAGGAAGCTGTGTCTCTGCCCAGACAAATCAATAGGAAGTAAGAAAAGCACTTTTTATTATTCTGCAGCATGAAGTCTGCTATTTCGATGCAGAACAGTCAAAGACTGAATGAAAGCAAGATGTACTCAGCTAAACAGAGACAAAACTCAAAAAGAACAAAAACATGAAGCATGAAACAACATGTAAACATGAACTGAAATTATTTCTGTAGAAAGCAGCATCATATGATTGTATTTGGTTGCTCCACATGAAAATTTGAAACTTCACAGTAACTGATCTTGAGAAGACTGGAAAATTACAGCCTTTAGAGTTGGTTATCTTCCAAAATGCTGTATTCCAAACGAGTAGCTATAACATCAGAACAAGCAGGATCAAATCTATACATAAACAAAATATGGTGTCACAGTGAAATTTAACAAATGGCAGTATTCCACATCCCCAGCATTCTAATAATAATAACAATAACAATAATAATAATATTAATAAATGCTTTGATATAATATATGAGCAATTGCCAAAACATGAGACTCTCTTGAGACTCAGTGGCGCAAAAAAAATTTTCTTACCAATTTGGCTCTCTTTTCTGTCAGTCACAGATTGACATTTAGTGCTCATATTCCTAGAGTATCAGAGCAAGGAGACGTACGGTTTTGGAGATATGGGTCTATTGGTTTGGCAACTACTGTATTTCTTGTATGTAACAGTGATGACAAAAACAGATAAGCAGCAATTCCATTTGTTTAGTAAACAAAGACTTTGTACACTATGAACTCCATTCATAATGGTAATATGAATGACAAGCTTTGTAACAATGACGCAGTGCACAGAACATGTCATCATTGTTATGTACAAGAAAGGATACACATTGGACATTATCATTAACAACACATCACAATAGTGAAAGGCTGTACAAATACAGTTATCAAAGCCCCAGTACCAGAAAAACACATGTGTAAAACAATTTTTAAACTAAAATGAGGCAAAAGCACAAAATCAATTGAGCTGACCTGTACATAACAGTGATGACAAACATGACTTGTACATAACAATGATGACACAATGTACAGGAAAAGACAAAAGTCTTGTCTCCAGAGAGAAAAGCGCACTTTAAGAATAAAAAAACCCAAGAGAGGTTTCTTTTGCTTTGAAACAGATACCAGGTCATATCAAAGACAGTAGACAATCACAATTACGTTGCTAATTATGACAAAGAGTACTCGTACATAACAGTGATGACAAAACATACTGGGAAAAGGTAAAATCATGCCTACAAAGAACAAATTTGCACTATGAGATCACACAGATCAATAAAGGCGTATTTTGTTTCTAAATGAATCTTGCATGTATGAAATATATGTTGAAAACTTATTGATATTAGCAATTATGAAAAATATTACTTGTACATAACAATGATGACACAATGACACAATGTATTGGAAAAAGGCATATCATGCCAACAAAGAACAAATGTGTACTTTTGAGTTAGACAGATAAACAAGGACATGTTTGTCTATTTGTTTGAGTAAAAAGAGCACACATGACTTAAATAATGTTTGCTCTTAGGACAATGTAATTTCTAGTACGTCGGTCAGTCTTGTACGGCTGCATGACGACACCCCAAACGTCATTACTAAGCACAAAAGCTAAATCTATAACCACAGAAATGATCCATCTCTCGAAGTTTGTTCACACATCACACTCTTGTTCCAGGAATCCAATGTAAACACCACAATTTCACTAAAATATTCAATAGGGTAGCCTAAAAACATGCAAAACAGTCCAGTACGTCACATTCAACGCAAGATTCTTGTGCGCAACCGGAGGGTGACGGCAATGACTACTTTCGTTTTTCTCTTTACCCCGTTGCTCCCGCTGTTCTGGGGAAGCGGGTAAGGGGAAGTCACGCAAGAAAACAATTATATCCGGGCACTGTTGATGATCCGTTCAAAACAAAAGTAGGCTAAAATTCAGACTTTCGGTACGTCGCAAAGTGATGCCATTAACAGCGAATGTTGAACAGCCGACCGAAATCGTAGATCTAGGAACCCGATGTTCCTTTCGCGCATCGCGGCTTTTGAACTATTGAATAAATGACGAAAAGCAAAAAGATTTAACCAGCTGTGGTGATTCTACTGAAAAATAATGGTGTTTTCTGAAACACCTAGTCCGTGACGACACCCCTGACGCACAAGTGATCCGAATTATTCGTTTATTTGCAAACAAATAAACCGATTTCTTGAGCAAGTGAACCTTTCTCGATCACAAATAGCATAGAATCAAAGCACAGGTTTAAAAAAAACACCCAAAAATACTCAATTTTTGACATTCTTGGAAGTTTGCATTGGTGTGCTCAAAATGACACTCCAGGAATCACTAAAAAACGGACATTTTTGGCACAAAATTTACAAATGCAAAATTATAAAGCTGACATGGGGTCTAAAACTGCTAATGCAGGTTCTACATCCTATATTTGACACGTGTATAAGTTTTGGAGGAATAAATACTAATGCATTACATTTTATGCACACTATTGTGAGATGTGTGTGTTTTTCCCCACGTTTTGGCAATGGCTCATATATAGCACATATCCACATTCTATGCTCTTTACAAAGCACTATTATAACCCCAGCAAACCCTGCAACACTAAGAAACATACTCTGCTTCCACTGAAGCATACTGTGCAAACTGCAGATTTCACTAAAACACTAAAGAACTTACTAACAAGATCTTTCACTGTATCATCCTTTTCAACAGTAAGTTTCACAAGAAACTCAAAAAATTCAAAGACAAGTCTCCTCCCATCATTAACATGGGTGGCACTGCTATCTGAGTTCAGGGTTTGAAAAGAGAAAGGAGCACTAAATGAAGCCAACGAAAAACACTATGGGGGATCTATAAAGGGAATGATGTCAATTTATCCATCCCAATATGCAAAGCAAATGCTTTACAAAGAAACAACTCCGTACACCCTCCCCCCCCAAAAAAAATACACTGTGGAGCATTCTTTAAAAAAACTGCCTTGAAACAGAAGGAAAGTTTAAATCAGGAAGCAATTTGCATAAAAATACAAAGACACAAAATCTCAAGACCACATGTTCAAAGTAACTATCTAAACTCAAAGGCCTCAATCTCCCTCCAAACCCCAATACTAATATCAATACATCTTACACCAACCAATTTCTTAAAAACCAGTGCTGCTATTTAATTAGATTTTTACTTTTCAAAGACCACCAAAAAAATGTGTGCACTATACTAAAAAGTAGAAAAAGGACAAAAAATCTGAAAAAAAAAGATTTTGAAACTTTCTGAGGGCAAGTCATACTGATAATTTAATTGGGGCTTTATTTAAAGAACTTGGGGCAATTGCAATTTGTCCAGCGAGAGACATGGGGTACTATTAAATGATATACCTGAAAAATACTTGAAGCAAAAATAAAGAAAACCCAAATGGATACTTTCAGAAAAATCTTAGAGGAGGAAGAAAAAAAAAAAAAAACGACTAATCCAAACCCTTCCAAAGCTACCAGTCATGAACGCATGTTATGACAGCATCATGTAGTACTGAAACAAAAGTAAAGGCTTGTGAAGGATAAAAAAAATATGAACACAGCAAGGTATGCTCAGAGATCCAACCCCTTTGAAGGCTACATCTCTAGGGAGAGATTTTATAAGCACGAGTCTCAACTCTGAATTGTAAAAAAGGAGGAAGTTTCAGTGTGATCGCGACAGAAGACCATTTTCGTGAGACATCCATTATTATTATACTGTTTAACCCTAGAAGGCCGGAATAAAAACCATAAATTTATAAAAGCAAGGTTATTTCATTTCAATTTGAGGGTTTGGAAGATAATTGAAAGTAAGAGTCACTTACCAAATATTTACAATCTTGATTATATGTATGCATATGTACAGAAAGTGGTGGTTTAGCAGGGGAAATTAGAGGAATATCATTCAGTAGCGACAAGACTACATGAATGTGCCATCATTCGTATCTGTTCTTTGTGTCCATTATTATTCTTTCCCTTATTTGTCAATCATATTCATCCGCTTTGTTTCTGTCCTGTTTCCGTCCCAGTCACGCATCGTCTGACGTATGTCTTCGTTGTGCTTCATCATTAAAGTCCTCGTCAAGTGACAAAGAGAGTTAGCATTTATTTAGAAATGGCAGTAGCGAAAATTATAAGGCAGTAATGGATATTGTAGATTGAGAAGCTAGTACTGACAGTTCTAGAGAAATGAGCTTAAAATTGATTATATTTCTCATCTGTAGATTCAAAAACATCTCACCACAGTAACCAATGCCGTAGTTGGCACTTGAAGCCATTTTAGCAGAAAATGGTTATGTTGTAAATATGGCAACTTTTGTTGTCAAATTATCAGTTTTCTATTCTTGTCAAATTTGACACAAGGGAGGGGTCTATTCCTAGGCACTGAAATTGTCATTAATCAACCTGAGAAATGACCCCATCCAGTATTATTAGTTTAACTTTTCATCTCCGGCAAGGCGCTCCCAGCGGCTAGCGGTCGGATAAGCAATGCTGGTAAACCGCTGGCAGCAGCTCGGGCACATTCCTTTACGACGACTTCAACATCAAATTACTTTTCGGCATTGCCGAAAACAGGTCTCTTTTACTTTTATCGGAATTTCATTTATTATATTAGATGAAGAACTATCAAAACAGGTTCACTTGTTTTGATTTAATGACCAATTTTGTGATGTTTTCTTCATTTTTAGATATTTAGTACCAAAAAGGACCCTGGCATAGTGGGTTTACATCGCAATGGGGGTATTCCGAGGCGAGGCTATCTCGTCTCGGGGTGTTCGCGTCTCAACGGGGAAAAGGAATTTTATTGTACGGCATGCTAGATTGAATTAACTTATTTTTTATGGTTGGCATGGTCTAAAGTCATCATAAAAAGCTTTGCAATTATTTAGTCACGCTGCCGACATATATTCTTAAAGATTCCATGTTGTGATACGATGCTATAAATAAAATGGACTCATCCCGACACCCCTTTTCGCAAAATCGTAATATGTACACCACAATTTTAATTATAACAAAATAACTACGAAATTGGTAGTAAATCTGACTGCAGAAATGATTTCTACACTCAAAAACACATCGGGTAGCCAAGTTTCTCTCGAACACTCCGATTAGTTACCGAGATATCATCGATTTTCTTACAGAATCTGCTACTGCGTGGTCCACTTTTTTGGAGTATTTTCCTATATGTGGGTCATCCATATTTTGCCGACCTTTACAACCCCATAACTTTTTTATTTATGAACCGATTCTCAAAATTCAAGAAGCATAATTCTTAGAGTTGAAAATTCTTTCTTAGGTACCAAAAAAGGAAGTGGCTATTCTCATCCGGGGTGAGAATAGAAAAACGATCTACCTCTCACCCCGGGTGAGACTTGCCAGCGTAGGTTATTCTCACCCGGTGCGAAACAAGACCTGCTTTTCCTCATTTTGGAATACTGTCTATCGGTGTGGATGATCAAATTGATAAAAGCCAAGAAAAAATTACGTTATAGCACAAAAGTAAGCTAATTTGATCGTCTTCAAAGATGCTATGGCTATTTCACTGTTCGAATCGAGCCGAACTACGCGGGTCGCCATTTTGTTTTGCTCGGAAGTTTTCGCAAGATCTACTCCTCCCCTCTCTCTCTCTCTCTCTGTCTCTTTCTGAATACTGTCTATCGGTGTGGACGATCAAATTGACCAAAACAAAGTTAAAAAATGATGTTAAAACACAAAAGTAAATTAATTTGGTTGTCTACAAAGATGCTACGGCTATTTAACTTTTCGAATCGAGCAGAACTACACCGGAAGTTCTCACGCTACTCCTCTCTCTGTCTCTTTCTCTCTCTCTCTCTCCACTGCCCACATACAAAATTGTACGCTTTTAGTAGGCTACAGTTGTAATAGAACGTTTGTTCACGGCACAGAATTCTACAATTTTTCTGTTATCACAGTGTAGAATTCTGTGGTTTAGGGTGAACGCAAAATTTGTTGGCCTAGATCTAGGCTATAACAGTGAACACGCACCGGGTGAGAATAGCCAAAAGACTAGCCTGCACTATTCTCATCACCCAGCGCACCCTGCCCTAGAACGTAGGGGGGCTGGATTGTACTTTACCGGACCACCCGTCTCGGCCAGTGATTACTACGCACGCCTAGCCTAACTACACACTCATAGTACTCTGCGTGCGGACAAAAGGTAGTTCCGCGGGCGACTTCGCGCACGCACAGCGAAGTCAGCGGCGACTGGCGAGGCGAGGTGAGCGAGAGGTGGTGGTGGTTGAGAGTGGGCAGGGGATTTAACTTTGGTGGACCACCGTGTATCATACCAACAGTGGGGTGGGGGTGTTCAGGGGGGCTTGCCCCCCTGGAAACTATAATTTAAAAAACACCCAAAAATACGAAACAATAACTAACTATAACATGAGCGGACTGTCGTGTTTAATATCAATGGGGGGGTTTCAGGGGGGCTAGCCCCCCTGGCAACAATAATTTAAAGACACTCACACACACACATATAAACAATAGCATGATAGGGAAGATTGAAGAATACCGGACCACTCACAGCAGGCCCTATTGTGCGAGAGAGTGGGGTGGGTGGGACGGGTGGTAGGGGTGGAGGAGGGGGGATTCAGGGCCAGTGGCTGGTGGTCTGCTAATGTTAAAAAAGGCCCTAATCTAGATCTAGATTCTAGATGTAGATCTAGATCTAGGCCTAGATCTAGACTCTAGATCTAGAATCTAGAGATCTATCATCTAGAGTCTAGATCTACCACTCATCAACACTCTGCAGTCCTACACTACACTACACTACACAGTACAGTACAGCCTCCTCTCTACACTGCACTACACAACGACAACCACTGCAACAGTGCAACAGGCACAAACATGATCAAAATTGTGAAATGTCAAATAAAGTTGGAACAATGAAAGTGTATAATATCCTTGCTCTGTTTGAAAACAAACCTTAATTCCGTTAACAATAAAATGCAAAGCACTTTGTACAGTCTATTTGAGAATGCCGGTCAGAAGTGAAGAAATTTGTCGACTGCTCATGCTCCACAAGTAGCCATTTTCGACGCTGGCGGTTTAATTTCCGATGGTTTATTTTTCTCATGAAACTGTTGACAGACTTATGAAGACTAAATACAATTACCAAAAATAATTCTAATAGTAAATGTTTTAACAAAACTAAAAATGCTACTGGTTTGGTATTCATCAAGGCGTATCATATTTTTTGTCGATTTATCAAAGCGAATACCTTAGTTACGCGTAATGTCAAAATGTAGTGCACCTTGAGGACTACATAGGCCTAGTGAATAACTTCCTTCGCAATTTATAATTTTTCCTACTTTCAGTTTCTTATCGTCATACTACTTCCGCTTTTTTGTTGTGCTCGCTCTGCTGCTTGGCCAAGCCTTGTCCTATGGTCGACGAATAGTGGGAGGAAAACTTTGTCCTTTGACGGTGATTTTGACCGCAACTCTGTGCTCATTTTAGCCTACCTCGTGGTTGTGCCCCTCGTAGAGTTGAAGTTAAAGGTGAACCAGAAAATCAAGATCTAATCTAGATATATTAACTCATTCGCTACGTATTATTTTCGGCTTGTAGACGAATTTCTTTCGGGAGGGCGAAATGAGATGATGACTAGATTTCTATATCTATACTATACTATATCTAGATCTAGAATCTAGATCTAGATCTAATCTAGATCTAGATATATAGATATAGAATCTAGATCTAGTGCGCAGTTCACAGGTCTTGGGGGCCATAAATTCAAATAAATATCAACATATTAGCCTTTATACAACATTTTCAGTATGGTTTGTAGAATCGAAGTGTATACAGACCCGGTAACCGGGAACAAAGTCACGAAGTATATAGATTTCTAGACCCGGTAGAGGAACTCTTTTGTGATTTCTGGAAGTTTCAGCCCCCAGACCCGGTAGAAATCGTCTGTGTGTGTGAGAGAGAGAGAGAGAGAGAGAGAAGGGGGGTGCTAGCAAAATGTGTATATATATGACATGCCCCAGTTGGCAGGAGGGAACGAGAGAAAGATAGAGTGGGAAATAGGTGGGGACAAAGAAAGACAGAGACAAACAAAGAAAAAGAGAAGGCGAGGGTTACACAGAGGAGAGAGAAAGAGAGAGAGGGGAGGGCTGCTCGATTGAAATTATAACAAAAACGATCGTTCATTGAAAAGACATCCGCACTCTTCATTTAGATCTAGGCTAGCCGCGAAACTAGATCAAAGATTTAAGTTTGTCTGCCTAGATCTAGATCTAGACCATAGATCTAGAAGAACCTAGGTCTACCCTGAGCCAAGAGGGCGCTCGAAACTCTCCGAAATCACAAAAGAGTTCCCTTACCGGGTCTGTATACTTTGTGACTTTGTTCCCGGTTACCGGGTCTGTATACACTCCCGGTAAATTTTTACTTTCACTCCCGCACATAGATGCACTGTTTCAGGGGTCAAACTGCTGTACTGTTTGCTGCAGATCACACATAAAGCCACTAAAACTGTCGCAAATCAATTATTTTCAAGACAATTTCAAATCTAACTGTAAAATATCAAACTATGGGTGTAAAAACAGGGGGGCATTCCCCCCTGTAACCCCCCAGATTTTCTTTTACCCCAGTGGGGCAGGCCCCCCTGGAACCCCCCCATTGGTCCAAAGCATGTCTATCTCTGTAAAAAACAATGAAATATTTCAAAAACTATTAATTTGCGACGGAAATGAAGTTGATATTCTCGTGTTCAGCGCATCAATATTTATAGTAGAAAATAGACAACTGGTAGCTGAGTGTGAGACGGGAGGGAAAGTAAAAAAATACCACACTCCCTTGTAGAATACATCTGTAATGTTTATTTGAATATTTTTCAACTTTGGTTCCTGTAAGAGGCGATTATGCAACACAATTGTGATTGGTTGCGGATAAAATTTGAAAAAAAATTTATAATCTCAGATGAAACTCAAAAAATATGTTTGCACCTAGAAATCTAGTCAAATTATACATCAAAATAACCATAACTGTATATAGAACAGGAGAATATTGAAAAATGAGCGGTTATTTACATACATTCCATAATATTTGTACATTTGGATCGTAACCTCCGATATTGAAAAAAAATAAATTTTAATATAATTTTGAAAAAAGGATCCCAAACAGAATAAAACACTCGTATCTTATATGGAATTATTCAGAATTGCATTTGGAATAAACCTATACATGTCTTGGGTGGTACTTTTTGAGTAAATTCACCAAAAAGTAGTGATTTTGGGGAGAAAAAAAATATTTTGACTATTTAGAATCTAGATCTAGGCCTAGATCTAGCACTCAAAAATATTGATTTCTCAATTACAGTGCACTGGCAATTTGAGTCCAGTAGTATCAATATTATAAGAGAGTCCTACACTTCTTTAGTGAGCAAAATAATGATACATTTTGTTGTGTAAAAGTACAAAGACTGGTGTCTGGCTATAATTTTGGCTTCGCGATAAAACAATGTCGCATAAACTTCGAAATCCTGTTTCAAAACTGAATCAAAACTTCCGATTTTCGGTGGAAACACTTGACCCGGAAGTCAACTTTATATTATGACCTTTATTTTAACATGGGTATGTGGATTGGAATAGAAACCAAGCTAAAATTGAACGTCGGTTCTCGAGCCGCCGGGGGCGGCTTTGCGTACTGACAGCACTCTAGCCGCGCCGCCCCCCACGGCTCAGCGTAGCGAATGAGTTAAGTCAAAGTATAATAGATCTAGAAGACTAGATCTAGATTTCTAGGCCTAACTCCTACCTAATACTAATACTAATGATAGGGCAGAGGCGCGATTATTTGCATCGCTGCGTTCTAGATCTAATTAGCTCCCATGCTAACTGAAACGCAGCGTTCTGAATATAGCTCCCACGCTATTTGAAACGCCAGTACAGTCCATGCTGGCTTTTACCACACCGGCATAAAGCACATTTCGGACTCAAGCACGCTAAACAGCTCTTACCGAATTTTTGCTATAAAATTAGGAAGAGGCTAGCCGTACTTATTCTTAATATGAGGTCTAGACTGACCATTTTTTTAAACACAGTGGCTATTTTTAGGGCGAGCCGTAAAGATAGCCTCTGAGGCTATTTTTACCGCGTGCCGTAATGATAGCCTCCCAGTGAGTCCCAGGCTATTTTTTCGGCGATCCTCAAAAAGCGACCCTACTCCGCCTCTCATGTACGCGACATGCCTCAATGTATTAGATCTAGGCCTATAGGGGCCGTTCAAAATATAAACTTACACCTCAGAGGGGAAAGGGTGTCTTTGGCTTCTGTAAGAAAAGTGTAAGATTGGGTGGGGAGGTGAGATGAACGTTTTGCTCATGACTGGGAAGAAAAGGTAAAAGAAAAAGTGGATAAATGCCAGTGACAAACAAGACCCAGATCTGCATGATCACTGCAGATCCCCGTTGTTGTTTTGTTTTGGTTTTTTTGAGAGGGGGGGTTACAAATGATTTTGAAATTATGATGAAAATTCTGTAGGTGGATGTCTAATTTCTTAATGTTTCTTTGTAACTTTGCAACTGTTTTGTTGATCTTTTAGTGTCTTGATGTCTTTTATTTGTAAGGCACGCACCTATTGCATTGACAACAGTCTCAATGTCTTCCACATGATATATATGCGTTCTTTCTAGTTCATATGGTTTGATTAAATTGTAGGCCAATTAACTGAAATGTCCTTTTTACGGCGGTCACAAACTGATGACGTAGAACACGTTTTTCAGTCTTATAAATTCCGTCTTGGCTTGTAGGCCTTGTAGGCTACTACCTTATTTGTTATTTTATACTACATTTTACTAAATGACTAAACTAATGTAACATACTTTGAGCTGGTTAAAACCGAGAGTAAGGCACTATAATTAAATATCCTCTATTATTAGTATATTCATAAATTATAGTCTTTATTCTGGACTTAAACAATTCAATGTTTTTATGTTCTTTACTAGGACCTTGTTGTTGTGGGATTCTTTCAAATAATAAAATAGATCGCATTTTTTAAGTTTTTGTGTTTTGTTTTCTGTTGTGCTAATATTATTACTGTCCATTTTTACGGGGAACAGCTAACCCCAAGGATGATTCTTTTCCCGATTCATATTTAGGAGAAAAAATTATACGGGCATAAGAAATAATGAAGAAAGTAAATTTTGATAAGTCGGAAAATATGAAAGTTGCCATGGAATGGAAACAGCAGCAACATGCAAAACAAACAATATTTTAAAAAACCGAAGGCTTCTTACTCTCTAACAAAATTGCATGAAAATTGGTGGAATGGTAGATACAGATACTATGGTCAATCGTACTGAGCAAAATTTTGATATTTGAATGTAAAAAAATATATGTGTTCCTGTACCCTGAAATTGAATCACAATAATTAATAAATTAATCATTGTGAACACAGAAGAAAAAAGATTTACACCTCTATCAAAAATCTGCTCAGTGCAAATTATAAGGAAGGAGGAACATTTTAAAGGCATTCCCAAGGCGAAAAGTGTTAACTCCAAAATGGCCGCTCTTCTTGTGGGTGTGGTACATGTAGTGATGTCAGTGAATGAGATGATGATGCTGGCAGTGGCAGTGATGATGGTAATGATAGTGACGAGGAGGTGATGGTGGTGGTGATGATAAAGAGAGGGTGAATGATGACGGTGGGGAGAAGAAGGAAGAAGTGGTGGTGGAGGAAGGGAGAAGGAAGATGAAGAAGAGTATAGAATGACGGTGAAGAGGAGGAAATGGAAAACCTAAGGGGCTGTTCAAATATAATCTTACACTTTTGGGGACTTTTTTAAAACACAAAACCCAATACCACTTTTCTCACATTTGCCTCCAACCCCCACCTACACCAATTTAATATTAGTTCTTTTTCCGATCTTCAACTTCCATTATTATTTTTAAGATACCTGTACTATACGTGGCTTTTTTTAACTAGCTTGTAAAACAAATATCATTTCAGTTAATACAATTTAATCAAACCATATGGACTAAAAAGAAACGCATATATGTGGAAGACATTGAGACTGTTGTCAATGCAATAGGTACATGCCTTACAAATAAAAGACATCAAGACATTAAAAGATCAACAAAACAGTTGCAAAGTTACAAAGAAACATTAAGAAATTAGATATCCACCTACAGAATTTTCATCATAATTTCAAAATTATTTGTAACCCCCCCCTAAAAAAAACCCAAAAAATAAAAAATAAAAACAACGGGGATCTGCAGTGACCATGCAGATCTGGGTCTTGTTACTGGCATTTATCCACTTTTTCTTTTACCTTTTCTTCCCAGTCATGAGCAAAACGTTCATCTCACAGAAGTGTCATATTTGGTTAACCTCCCCACCCAATCTTACACTTTTCTTACAGAAGCCAAAGACACCCTTTCCCCTCTGAGGTGTAAGTTTATATTTTGAACAACCCCTATAGGCCTAGATCTAATACATTGAGGCATGTCGCGTACATGAGAGGCGGAGTAGGGTCGCTTTTCGAGGATCGCCGTAAAAAAAGCCTGGGACTCACTGGGAGGCTATCTTTACGGCACGCGGTAAAAATAGCCTGAGAGGCTATCTTTACGGCTCGCCGTAAAAATAGCCACTGCGTTAAGAGAAACACAAAGAGTGCAAGTGATGGAGGGAGACACACACTCACACACAAGGAGAGGAAGGCAGAGAGATGCTCACAGCCGTGTGTGTGAACATAGGATTTAGCCTCGGGCAAAGCTACACACAGACCAAAAAAAAAAATACAAAGAGAGTCGGGGAGACGAGAAAGGGAGGCTGGCTGTGATTTCACCTTTGACCCTCGCTATCCATTAATCTTGATGTAGGCTATGTATCTCGCGTGAGGTGGGATGAAGGCGGTGATGAATGTGGCACAGCGGCCAGTGGTACGCACAGGCAGTGTGTACCGTGTAGGCCTAGTGTGCTGTATCGTGACTGGCGGTCTAAATTAAGTTTTCATTTCCCTTTCGACCACAAAACAAAATAAGCAAAGAAAAACTACCATGGCGGGTGAAAATAACAGTGTGCACACTTTTGTGGGACCACTACTGGCCTACTTTCAACCAAAGGGAAATAGCACTCTTGATTATGTGTACTTCGCACTCAAGCACGCTTCGGCATTTTAAGCACGCTTTTAAAACTGTTTCCCGATGACCATGCTTAAAGCCGGCATGGACTGTACTACATCTAGAAAGATCTAGATTCTAGATCTAGTAGCCATCGTTTCTACACAACAATAAATAATATTGTAGTTCTGCCTGAATTGTGGAAGCTTTACTTGTTTCTTGATTATAACCTCCTAGGATTTGACTCCTTTTTTTGCATGATGTCTTAAATTCCGATCAGTATTGGGTACATCTAGATCTAGATCTAGATCTAACAGTTGTTTCTGACATTGTTTGCACAAAAGTAGTCTTGTTCATCTCTCATAATTATAGGCCTAATTATTTGAGTTTGAGCAAGAAGTCAAAAGACGCTTGTATAATAATAACAAGACGGTGCAAGATCTAGATCAATTTCCTGTCCGCTGTGTCGCCATTCGTCATACAATGCCTAAAAATATTTCTCTGCGTGCACTTTATATTTTGCTATCGCACATGATGTCGCCTGAGCTAGGCTTCAGCGTTCTAATTAGAAAGGGGTAATGTCTACGTTCTCTAACGTTAAGCCTAGAGAACGTATACACAAGCTGTCTACGTTCTCTAATGTTCAGTGCTTCCAAGTCTGGCATCGAATCTTTGTACCGGAAGGGTTTTTTTTTCTTCTCCTGAACCTAAAATTAAAAAAGAAAAATTATACTCACAGATCAAGGTAAGCTACTATTGAACTTTAACCAGGCCTAAATTGGAAAAGGAAAAGTAAAGGACTAGATCTACTTTGTAGGTAAAAAAGCCCTTGGGGACAAAACCAGAATGTGCATGCTTCTTCACTACATAAAAAACTACAAAGCAACAAGTTATAATTATAATGGGGAAAAAATAGGTGATTCTAGCAGAAGTGAATTTTTTTAAACTGTCAAAAACCCGACTCTGTGGAACTAAGAAATCCAACTTACATCATGAGGGCATTCATGGCAAATTTTGACAAAATTGTTACACTTTGTCTACTTCCCTTGATGTAGCCTGAAATTCACACATAACGAAATTCATAACCAAATGTACTAAAGTAACAATGCACGTGCTAGACTGTTGTAACGTGATGATAAGTGCTATCTAATCCTAGATTCTACTCGTTAGTCTATCTACGTTGTTTTCAATACTCACTGTTTCGAGCGGGGAACGATGTGTGTGGGTCTTGCAGGTCCGGAGCTCCATCCACTGCGTTGACCCACCAGTAGCGTCGATCCCTGCTCAGCCTTGATTTAAGTCGTGGCTCGGAAAGCCGGTTCAACCTTCGCGTCTGTTTATATACCCCCCGGACTCCCTTATTCTCCTACACTCACTAGGCTACACTGAGTTTGTTCACTAATTTCACGTGATTCTGGCTCGTCTAGTAATCACAGCGAATTATAGACTACAACTGTATAGAGAGAAAGCCTTCTCTGCTTTCGATATCCTGGTGCTTGACATGGAAAAAGTGAAATATTAGGATGTAGGGAGAAATTTGATTTTTGATTGTTTTTGCACTTGTCTTTTATTTGCATAGAGGTGGTGAGAAGGAAGGTCCAAATTCTAACTGTTCCAAGAATATAGCCTTTATTAACTGTTGTGCTCCTTCTAATGAAGTCAAAGTCTGATTAAAGACTTCTGTCGTACTTCCAAATGCTAGGCTGAAGTAAATGTAGGCTACATCTAGAAATAGTCTTTATTGTTCTCTTTCTTCCAGTGAAACATGGCTGGAAACTACTATTTTGTTATCGTTGGCCACCATGACAACCCAGTATACGAAATGGAGTTCTCACCTCCAAATAAACCAAGTGAGAAGGTAAGCAGTTCTTGTAGTGTGTTCTTGTCTTTGTGGTATTTTACAGTAGCAAGCTGTAACGTCTACAGAACCACTCACTTGGTAGAGTTGTACAAGTAAGAACCAAATTTAGTTAGAATAATTCTCAAAAGATAGATAAATTTTCTGGGATAGACCCAGGAATCATGTTGAGAAATTTTCTTGATCAGAGGTCAAATTGAGACTAAATGATAAAACCGGTAAATACTTTTGAAATCATAGATTTGAATTCTTGTCTTCCCTTGTACTTGTTGTAGTATCCCAAATAAATTTATTGACATGTCTGTGATGCCCTTTTTTAAGAATAAATAGTACGAATCAATAGAAATATGCACTCTCTGAAAAAACCCTGAAATTATGAAAATTCCATCTTGGACTAAATACAGTAGTCTCCGCCTAAACGCAAGCCATACAAAAGCACGCTCCGCTTAAACGCACGCTTTCGTCATCTGACGGTTTTTTTACGATGTAATTTAGACGTACAAACGCGCGGTCACTCCCTCTAAACGCACGCTTCGATCCGCGAAACACCCCGACAAATTAAGCTTGGCAAGGGGAAATTTTCACGACAACCTGCACAGCCTGCATAAGACAAGCCCAGAATTTACTAGAAAACCGGATGTTTGGTGAGAGTGCCCCTTTTGTTGTACAAAGAGAGTAATGGACTGTGTTTACACACCCTACTTTCCACTGACACATAGGTCTCGATCTAGGGCTGGTCGGTTAAATGTTGGGAGGGGGGGTTGGGGGGAACTGAAATGTTTTTTGATGGGTCACTGGAAATGTATCTTTGAGAGAAGGTTTCTGACTGGTGTTTGGGTGACTGCATGTAATGTTTAGTTAAAGCTAGGCCTGATGCGCGACACGCGCGAATGCCATAAAACACTAGACAGGCCTCTATAGGATTTTAAAGATTAGCCTAATAAGCCTAATCAGCTGTACTCGAAGAACTTATAACGTACTTGTTCAACGAATCACAAGAGAAAATGTTTCTCGAGGATGATTCTGCATGAATTTACGGTCGGGGGTGGTCGCTTGGAAAGCCACGTGGCCGGTCCATCGACTCTATGACTATGACCAACAGTTTCCTCTAGGCTATCTGTTCCCGACGTTTATAGTGCATATTCATTACATTGAGTTTGTCTTTCTTCCCCCCCCCCCCCACTCAACGCCTTTGTATTCTTAATCCCTGTCGGGGTATCCTTCACAAAACGGTCACGTGTCGTCACATTATCTGCCAAAATGACCCCCTCGTCCAAGGGAGGTCACTAGAGTAATAAGGAATTGAGATGACTGCGTCCCTTCCTCCCCTTAGCTAAGGTTCATGTAAACGCACGCTCCATATAAACACACGCTAAGGAGCCCTCCCGAGCACCGTGCGTTTAGGCGGAGACTACTGTAAAAACCGTGAGATTAATTCAACCCTTTTTATTAATTAAGTTACTCCAAGTCCAAGATGTTTTTCTCCTCGATTCATTGTTTTAAGAAGTAAAATGTGTGAGTTTCATGTTTTCTTGAAATGAGATCTTGAATTTATGGGGGCTCTCGAATCGTGGTCTAGAGGTATGGTGTTCGCCTCTCATTCAATAGGTCCGGAGTTCGAAATTTGACAGTGACTGAAAATTTTCTTCTCTAAAGAATTTTCTCCCTCCTTCCCTGCTCTCTGATCATGATGTCGTCTGCTTTCGTCTCTACTTTCTGTCCCCCCCCCCCCTACTCTTTTTTTTGCTCCCTCCTCTGGGCTCCCGACTCTTTCTGCTGCCTTTCTACTGCTACTCCTTGACTCCTTCTCACTGCTGTCTTTCAGCCTCACCCTTGATCATAGGGTAGGTAAGATCTATCAACTAGCCTTCTCAGTGCAAAATTCAAAATTAATTATTACAAAACTGGAAATGCTGAATATGTCCTGACTTTATGCCGTTGCAAGTGCTGTAAAACACTTACCGAAAAAATAAATGAATTTTATAATTCTGTATGGACACCATTAATGTCCATGCTTCAATGTACTTGCAGTATTCCCACTTTCCAGAAATATTTTAATTTGCAATGGGAGATTGATGACACTCAGTTTAATTGTAGAATAATTTGCATATTTTTTCACATAAATGACAAATCTGCTATTCTGATTGCAAATAAAAATAATCGTAAGTGTATGAGTATGATAAATCTTGTCTAGAAATGGCGAACAAAATGCACTCAACAGTAACATTTATAAATTTCAATGATCTTGATTTTTTTGCAGCGAGATGACCACAGACACTTGAACCAGTTCATTGCCCATGCAGCTTTGGATCTGGTAGATGAACAGATGTGGTCGACCAACAACATGTACCTCAAGATAGTGGATAGATTCAATGAGTGGTTTGTCTCAGCTTTTGTCACTGCAGGGCGTATCCTTTTTGATGACTGCAGTTCCAAGTAATTTCTGACGAACCTGATCTTTGTTTTCTCGTTTGATTTGATTAATATCAAGCACATCTTTTTCTGGATAGTGTTTTTAGAGAAGTTTGAGTTTCATTGAGTTTTACGTCTTCTACTGCAACACAATTGATTGTTAGGACTTCATAGTAGTGTTGTTTTTCATACCACGTGATAAAGAAAAACCTGAAAAAGTGGGATCCTGATTGGACGGGTAAATAACTCTCATTCTTCCATGAGGTGTGTCTTATCAGCAGATATTATGGTGTATCCACTCTCCAACTGACTGCACAGTATTAATGAAGACATTGAACTGCATGGGTATTTGGGCAAGATTTTCATCCCAGGTTATGGCACATTAAATTAAAAAGCAGTTTAGTGAAAATATTTCAAAACTCTCTAATGTGCTCTGGGATACCTTCATTTGAAAACTCTTGCCTTCATGGTATTAACTCACTTCAGACGGGTCACACAACAGTTGCGTGACCCCCGCCGCGACGCTCGCGACGGGTCACACGAGCCCTGCATGACCAACTTTGGAATTTTTTTTTCGCTCTACAAATCACGCACGGATCGCGAGACCCGCCTCGTACCCTTGTTTGGCCAAGCCTGAGCTACTTAGACTTCGTTTCGTATCTCTGGGGCCGGTAGTTTTTAAGTTATTGAAGGTGAAGGACAGTGACCCCAACTGGGGTTGAACAGACCGTAACTCGCGCTTTGTTTTTTTCTATACAGCTCATAGTAATCCGACAGTCGCGTCGTAGTAACGGTCGAAGAAGTCGCATGAACCAGAATCACATAATTTTGCCGTTTTCTATACTTCTGTACGTTTTACTAGTTTTAGTGTCTCAGAATATGATGTGTCTAATAGTTAGGATCCTGGATATGTACCTGAACACGGCCCGAGTCGTAGTTCTAGGGCTAGATCTAGCACTAGTACCGGTGTTGTTTTTCGCGCAACGAAATCACAACGCCGTGCCGTACATCTGTCTATGTATTTTCAGTGTATGGGTCTGAATCAATGCACAGACCAGCTTTTATATATTCACCAAACACTCGCACATGTATACAAATCAAACCAGAACACTTTGAACTTTTATTTTTGTTGTTGTAGTGAATTTCATTCCACTTGTCACGTCTCTGGAAATTTTTTGGAAAATCAAATTCATGCCAATTTTTAAAAAATCATACAAATTAAAGTATTAAACTTAGACAACTTTAGTTTTTTGTATTAGATTAAGCTTGAATGTTACTTTACTGTGTCAAAAAATAATTACAATAGGGTAATTCTGAGAGTTGTGGTGATTTATTGAAATACCCCCAAAAACGCCAGTCTTCAACGCTTGTGACTGGTGAAAGGGCCCAGTCGCAAGTGAGTTAAAACAGTTTAAATGGTGTTGATATCTTTATTACTATTAGTTAGAAAGTTATGACGATTTTTCATGTTAAATTTTCGGCCAATTTGGAGTAATTTTTAACAGAGTTTTTGTGATAGCAAAATGCAATTTTTTAAAAATGAAAAAGGACCATAACTCTGCAACCCATGCCCATTATGTCAAGTGTTATAGTTATGTGTGCAGCCTTTGAAATGATATCTTGAACGGAGTTCAGTACACAAATTCATGCAGGTCTTGGTGATTGATCATGATTTGGTACTTACCTTAAAAAGACCCTTTGTGATCATCCCCAACTGTAGTAATTACTTACATTACTGTTGATTATAATACTATACCCTCATCCATGTTGAGTGCACAATGAAAGACATTTATTCCAGTCTTTTATTGGCATGTCTCTGTATTTGTCCTCTAGGGTGTCGCAAGACAGTTTGTTGTCTTTCTACTAGTCAGCATCAGTCACTCTTTTATGATCCCTTTTTTACTTCTTTGTCAGGATTCTTTCTTTTTTTTAAAGTCAACCAGCCTGGACAATAGTATTCTCTCCTCATAACAAATCTCATCCCTGTCTCAGGAAGATGGTCTCTGCATTATTTTGATTGCATTAAGCACATTGTTATATCATTTTGAGTTTAATGCTGTGCCAGAATATCCACAGGTTTCTCCAAAGATATGCTTCTTTCAAATGTTAGCATATTAGTTATGAAGCTCAGAGTAAAATGAAACAGTTGCTGTTGTCCTTGACTGTAACCCAGGAATGAGATTTCTCATGCTCCATGACGTGAAAAATGAAGATGGAATAAAGAATTTCTTCACTGAAGTGTATGAAACTTATGTGAAGGTAAGTTGACATATTTTATACATTATTTTTCTTAGTTACAGACTTTAATTTTTCTCTCTTTGCCAGGAACAAAGAAATTGATGACAACCATAATATGATAGCTACTCTACTACTATCCATTTATTTCTTTCACGTTGATCTTTCTGTCTTTGAGTACAAAGTTTTTTAGTGGGTACAGTTTGCTGATTTTTGCACTTGAGAAACAGCAAATGAAATGAAAAACTAGATTTTTGTTTTCATCATTGAGGGTCCTTGCATGAGAATCAACTTCAGCACAATTCACCTTGTGATATCTTACTTTTAGTTTATGTACTTCTTGATCACACTGATGGTACAGTGGAACTCTGATTCAGCGAGGTCGCCGGGCCTGGCCTAAAATCTCGTTGAATCCGAGTGTTCGTTATGGCAAACATGAGGTTTTGTATAGATAATTACAGGCACTGAGCAAGTAATGAATAAAGAGAAGTCACAAGTAGTGCCTGAAATGCGTGCATATTATGAGCTGTGTAAAAAAAAAAAGAACGATTCGTTCAATTATCAAATGCACACGCCTGTGTCATCTCGATTGTTTACCAAAAAGTTGTGTCGCTGTGAAGAGCCTAGCATACGGCAACTTTTGATTCCATAGACCAGCGCACAATTTATTATGTAGATCTACGCCAAGAGTAGCTTATCATTGTAATAATGATTAGTTGCAGAGGGGGGAAAAACACTGTGAAATGTTTGTATCTGCGACGCTCAACGCCCGGACCGCTAGTGCCCCCCCCTCCCCGATACGCACACACAGCCACACGTGTACAGGTCACCCATCTGACCCAGACACATGCCAGAGTAGACGCGTGCACGTGCCAACAACTCATGTGTTGGTTTAAAAAGAGGCCGCTGATTGGTTGCATGCAATCGGCTAAGTGAATAATGGTTCACGATGCAGGTGCAATGGATGGTTTCCGGGAATAGCTGAGATAAAGTTCGTTCTGGGAGAAAAATGAGAGAAGCCACATCTGCGGGGGTTGTTCACTCTGGAAGCGACCTTGTTGAATCCGAGCTCGCTGATTTAAGTGCTCGTTGAATCCGGGTTATTTTTATTGATTTTAAAGAAGAAAAAAAACGGGGAATCTATCTCATCTCGTTGAATCCGAGTTCTCGTTGAAACCAAGCTCGTTGAATCCGAGTTCCACTGTAGCAAATAGGCCTTATCATAATGATTAGATGATAGTTAGTCATTCTATTGCATTATATCACAAGTACTGTTGCCTGTCCCAAAATGGGACTCGGATAAAAACTGGCCTCTGCAAAACAATTATGTGCAACTTTTTTGGAAATCTGTGGTATAGCTGGAAAAATAAAGTTGTCAACCCGCTGTCAAACTAGAGTAATTTCTAAATCATATTGTCATATCAATCTCTTCTCCCTAGTAGTATTATTAGAGGAAAATTTTCAGGGTCAGTTTTTATTTTGTCATGATACAACAAGTGGGCCAAACCGCAACCTCTGAACCTCAGCTCTGTGGAAGGATGTTTTTTTGCCCATCCAGTTTGTCTCAACTGATTTTAAAATTGCTTGAAATAAAAAGTCATCTTGTCAATTCCTGTCTGCTTTTTATTTCAGAGAAAAAGTCCTTGACTCATATATTGGTTTTGTAACAAAGTCATCTGTTTTCAGCCTGCGCTGTGGCATTCCCTTAAGTGACTGTGTGTCATAATCAATATTTTTGTGTGCAATTTTTGTGTGGGAGAAGGAGAAAGACACAGAATAGAGAGAGAGAGAGGGCAATCATCGCTATTAGTACTGTGGAGCTTGGATTCAACGAGGTCACCGGGCCTGCCCTAAAATCTCGTTGAATCTGAGTGTTATAGCAAACACGAGGTTTTGTGTAGATAATTACAGGCACTGAGCTAGTAATGTATAAAGAGAAGTCACAAGTAGTCCCTGAAATGCCTGCATATTATGAGCTGTGTAAAAAAAAAGACCGATTCGTTCAAAAGCACCCGCCAGTGCCATCTCGATTGTTTACCAAAAAGTTGTGTTGCTGTGTAGAGTCTAGCCTACGGCAACTTTTGATTCCATAGACCGACGCACAATTCATTACGTAGATTTATGTCAAGAGTAGCTTATCATTGTAATAATGATCAGTGGCCGAGGGGGTAAAAGACTGACGCCTAAGTATCTGCGACGTTCAACGCCCGGACCACTGGTGCCTCCCCACTCCCCGACACACCCACACAGCCACACATGTGCAGGTCGCCCATCCGACCCCGACACACGCTCGAGAAGACTTGTGCACGTGCCAACACCGCATGTGTTTGTATGAAAAAAAGGCAGCTGATTGGTCGCTTGCAATCGGCTAAGTGAATAATGGTTCACGATGCAGGTGCAATGGATGGTTTCCGGGAATAGATCAAGTTCGTTCTGGTAGAATAATGAAGGAAGCCACGTCTGCGGGCGTGTTCACCCAGGAAGCGACCTCGTTGAATCCGAGCTCGCTGATTTAAGTGCTCATTGAATCCGGGTTATTTTTATTGATTTTAAAGAAGAAAAAAACGGGGAATCTATCTCATCTCGTTGAATCCGAGTTCCACTGTATTGTGCTTGTATACTCTGTATTATTGTAAAGGGCATTGAGCACTTCCTTTTAAATGGAAAAAGGCTATGTAAATAAAATTTTAATGAGTAAATATATTAATATTGTCCTCTTAAATGTTTCAGTTTGCCATGAATCCGTTCTATGAAATCAACACCCAGATCAAATCTGCATCATTTGACAAGAAGTCACAGTTTTTTGGAAGGAAGTACTTGACAGGATAGCAAATTTCTTCTTTCATTGTATGATGTGTGTATAATGTATGTTACATAAATGTCATTTTTCATTCCATTCTGTATGCTCCAAGAGTAGTGTCAATGTAGTGATCCTCAGATTTAGCAGTCATCGGGCCCGACCTTCAATTTAATTGAGTTGAAGTGTTCCTTGTTTGCAATGTGAGCAACAAGTTGTGTCGCAGTGTTGGACCTGGCACATAGCAACGTTTAGTTCCACAGATCTATGAGCAATTCATTATAAACATCTGTGTCTGGGCTTGTCTATCATTATTCAGTAGCTGGAAAAAAAGAAAAATGTCTGTGACTTGTCAGTAGATCTATCTCAAATGATGTTCTACGCCTGGAATACTTGTGTTGGATATCTGTTCGTCTACATGAACTGCAAGTTAAGTTGATAGAGACCAGTAAATGTGTTATGTTAATGTTATTAATATACATTTTAGTACAGTGGAATTCTGTTATAACGAGAGGGATGGGACCAGTGCGAAATTTCCGTTATAGCAGGATTCTCGTTGTAAGGGATTCAGTAATAAATTTAAGGGAAATAGTAAAGTAGGTCTAATCTATGAGTTTGGTGTTCTGTTTATTCCTTTTTGTATTTCCCCTGTATCATAATGATTTTGTTGAACATGATCTCTAGGTCTTACTTGATCAAAAATCAAATCCGGATTATTTCTGTAGCACTAGCAATGTTGACAGCTCGGCGTTGGGGATCAGAAAAAAGGGGCTCTGGCTCTAGGCTAACTCGCCCGCTGTGTTGTCCCCCACTCCACCACACCCTGTCGTGCGTTGCGTCTGCTTGCAAACATCACACATTCACTCCATTTATCACAGCATTGTGACCTCGCCATCCGGCACCAAAGAAGTGAGAGGCACGGTATGCCTAGATAATCTAGACTGGGCTGGCCTATCATGCGATGCATTCTGCTTGTCTGTGCATGCCACACCCTCCCCACTCATTCGCTCCGGCCTTCATTGTTGGTTCGCGTGGGCTCTCCCACAACAAATTTCTCAACTGGCGAGGTTTTATCTGTTTAGTTGGTATGTGCGCTGTGCACAGCAGCAGCAATATTCTGTTACAACCGACTCACATGACTGTCTGATTGCGCAAAAGCAGTATTTTATTTACAAAGATAAAGAAGGGGAAAAAACGTGTTTTTAGAATAGTGTCTTTATAACAGTAACAGACTTCTCATTATTTCTGGACTCGTTATAAGTGGACTCCACTGTAAAGGGAATGGAACTGAATGTGTGAATGTGTCAGTTTTTAGCCTAGTAAAACATCTGAGGTATAATTGCATGAGTTCTGTTGGTTTTAAGTATGTCCTATTGATTGCTATCACATTAAAATTTTGTTGTCGAGGTACTTGTCCATTTACTGAACACGCAAGGCGGGAAAATATGGCACTACATGTATCAAAGTATAGTTATGCTATGTGCAATATATCTATGTATGAAAATGAGATGCTCTTCACCTTGTCTGTCAGTGATGAATGCTTTTGCTGCTATGGAAATGTGTTGTATGAATAAATAAGCTGTAATATTTATCCATATTTTGGTGGTTTTTTTATTATGGAAAGAAAATTGTTTGGTAATTTAATGTTATCACTGGTCTTTCAACTGTGTTCACTTTGTTTTTCTATGCAAGCGGGATTCTTATCTTAGTACAGTGGAAACCATATAACAGGCCCGGTAATAACAGGGATCCGGTTATAACAGATTTTTAAAATCCCTGGTTTTTTCCTACTCTTTGTCTCTAATTAAAAGTTATCGGCAATAACAGGGCCTCCTGTGAGCCCTATCGGTAAAAGCAGGGACAAAGGCTTGTTAACAATGTGTAAAAAGTAAGAGAAAGAGAGTGAGTAACGCGGTGTGCTGCAGACTTCGATCCAGCCTTGAGCTTAGCTACACACACGCGTAATGTGTCATGCACAGGCCTGCCACATGGCCACGAGAGAGGGCTGCGGTGTGTTTTTCGTGGGAACGAGTGGCAAGGGAAACTACTCGTGAATAAATACAGCTGGGTTAATCCACAAATGCTTACTTCCCTTGCATTTCTGATATTAACAGGGATCTGATATAACAGGATTTTTTCTCTGGTCCCACCATCCTTGTTATGTATCAGGTTTTCACTGTAATCTTAGTCTTCCTTTTCACCTTAGTGTTTCGTTTTTTCCTTATATTTATTCCTACTCTGCGGGTAGTTTTAGGGTGTCTTTGGTTTAGGTTCTTCAGTTCTACTTTACTTTCAGAAGTTTCTCTCTCTATTGTTTCTGTCTGTCTTTCTTGCTCTTCCTCCATCATTGTGTTGGCGTTGGTGCTTTTCATCACACACACACCCAAAAAAACCCACCAATATTCTAACTTTTTCGTATATTCTTTTATCATTTTTCCTTGCAAAACATAGTGTCTCTTATTTCCGTCAGCTACATGATATTTTCAACGGTATCCTTTTATTCTGCCCAAAGTATCTTCAGTTCTGGGTTTAGAGTAAGTTAGAGCTTTGCCTAGGCTGCTGGTTTATTCTCGTTACTCATTACAGAGAGCTTTGTGAAATCTTCTTTTGATATGGTTTGAGTTCGATACATTTGAGGTCGCAGGTTTCCTACATGAAGGGGCAAAATCCTCCAAAATCAAACTTAAAATTTTTAGTCACAGTGGGAGAGGTTTAACTAACAGTCAATCTGCAATTATGCATTGTGGTTTCAATTCTTTTGTTTGCACAATGAATGCAATATATGCCATAAAATAGATTTGTGGGTCAAATTTGATGAGTTGGGGTAGGTGGGTGCCCTGGTGTGGTTTGCTCCTTACTTTCCTATCATCTATCGTCCTGATCTCTCCTCCTCTTTCGTGTTTGTTACTCTTTTGTAACACCTAACAGCTCTAATCTTCGGCACTTATGACCTTATTGTGTTGCAAGCGCTGAAAAACTCTTACTAAAACTAAAAAATTTGATGAAGAAAAACAGCATAAATTTGATATATAGTGCGCCTTGGCCAGCACCATCCCTCAGATGTACCTAACCATTTCAAAAATAGGGATTTGATAAAACTTTCTGCAATGTGCACTGGGTATTGGGTGTCTTTGTCATGTGACAAGTTATCCCCCTGTTCACGCCACTCAGGACCAAAACTGGTAGGTCTACCATACTTCAATACAAGAGGCAAGTGCCTAACCTCTAAACTAGACTAAATATTTGCAGAGTCTAGAGAGTAGGCCTTCATTGTATAGGGCACAAAGAAAAAAAAATGCATTCCTACACTGTAATGTCAAGGAAGCAGCTCACATATAATATATAGATTCAAAAATGAAATTGTGCTTACCTTCTAAAACTAATTAAAACTAGAGATTTTTTCTCTTCTTTCACAGAACATACAGCTGTCACAACATGTACTGCACAATTTTTCGGACTACACTAAAATGAATCCAATATTCTACTGCAGTGACATCAAAAGCCACATTCAGTACAGAAAATTGACTATTACTTGAATTTCATTTTCAAAATATATGCATCAGTTTTACAACTAGCCAAAAGTTATTGTATGTTTTCTTGTGATAACCTCACAGAAGAAAAAACATTCAAACAAGGCAAGCCAGGGTTTAGAAATCAATTTAATCCTGAATAGACAACAAGATATCTGAAAAGCATATGTACCTAAATCCAACCAGTGCCAAATGTTAAGTGTGAAACAAAGAAGCAACTACCTTCCGAAAAAAGAATTTGAAAATAAAATTTAAAAAGCTTTAGTTTTAAAAAGTCTTAAAAGTCACTTTCCCTTCCTAAAATCCAAATTCGTGCATGGAAAAGAAAATGCAGTCCTCCACCCCAGTATGTTGAAAGGAAAAAGAATAAAGGCAGTATGTGTGCAAATCATCAGTTAATAGTTTATGCCACTAGTTGTCCCAAGAATAGATTTTGTCACTTCAATGTTCTCATTAAAAACTAAATTCAATCTCCTCGGGTTCTGGGGGCCATGTCACAGATATGACCACACTGGCATTTGCAATTCATACCTCCCAAAAAAAAGTATTGAAAAGAAAGTTTGTTTTATAATTTTTTTTTAAAACTTTATGTAGCCTATATCTTAAACGTTGAGATATACCGTACGCCATGCTTTTACATAATGTCACATTCAGTTCTTTTTTCTTTACATTTACAGGAAAATTCATTCACCATTTTGGGATGTGTACCATATCTAGGGGGGGGAGTAAATCTTTAAAGTAATACACATCAATCTGTGCCGTATGGATCTTACGCCATAAAATCAATACAAGACACTGCAATATCTGAGATCCATCATAACTGTCTTTGTTTGAACCAGAAAAAAAGGACAAATGGATCACACGTGAGCAAAATGCCCTCCAGTATTCAAGATATCCTCTCCAAGTTCACAAACATATCAGGACATGAAAGAAAAAGATCTAAGCTAACATGGTGGAACTGACAGTTTACATTCATGTCTGTGCAATAATTAATCCTTCGAAAATGAGATCTAATTCCAAACACAGTGCATTTAATCTAAATAATATAACAATGATTGTACACAGGTCTGACAAGCAGCTCTATACAATCTTTTTCACAGAATTTAACCCAAAGCCATAACCGTGCTACGCCCTCTGTCAGGTGACTGTATTTGTAGATATAGCCTGACTGAACTCACCATGTGTCTCTCGACAAGGAGACTGGTACAATTCCTTTCACAAGTCCTCTTAAACCTCTCAAAGCGAGGCTTCAAAACTGATAGAAAATTGGTGATAAAAACACAGCAAGTGCTGCCTTTATTCTTTTTCTGAAATTGTGACTTTAACGAGTGCACTTTCTTGTGGTGAAAACAAAGTGTAATAAATAGCACCTAAATCTACCAAGGAAATTTCGCTTTCCCCACACCACTTAAAAGTCGGGGTATTGCAAACATCAAAGTAATCATATGGAACAAATAAGTTATAACAACATAAATGCATCAAAATGCACATTTTCTGACATTCATTCTACACTCTCCTGAAATATTCAGACATACAGCATCGACACTCATAATCAAAGACCCTTAACTTACCAGGATCTTAAGGCTGTTGTTTAAATATATTCTTCACTGCCTGCTGCCCTGTAGGTGGACAACAAGCAATCCACCCATACGAACAAGTAAAAGTTTGATTTTTTAAAAAGGGTAGTACTTTCTCAAACATGAATTCTATTACCATTTTAATTTATAGCTTGTTCACTTTAGTCCGTCTGCATTAAAAAAAATTCTAGCTCATTTTTATTATTAATTTGCCAATACACATATAGCCATGCATGTTACTCCTGAAGGCCAGCAGCCAAACAAAAAAATTTTTCAGAAAAATCTTTGTTTCTGATGGTCATCCAACTTTTCAACTGGTGTGCAAGGACCTGAGAAGATTAATCAGAGCAATTTGTTTTTATCCCATTTTAACAGTGAACAAAAAAAAGTGAGCAAGCTATAGTGCTAGTTTCTTGTTTATTGACATATCCTGACAATGCACCTAAAAACACATGAATCAATTTGAAAGGCTGTTTTTGCATGAGTGCAACATAAGAGCTAATAGACAATTGCAAGTAAAAAGTAGTAAACAACAAAATACATTTAGATACTTGGAAAATTACATGGTCAACCACTCTTGATTTACTTTTTCTGGAGTGGAAATAAAAACAGCAATGATGTGTAGTGTAATGATTTGCTGAAAAATGCAACTGCAAAAATCCTTTTAAAGTATGCACAGTTCAAAACATTCTTTGATAGACATGAAAATACGACAAGGATAACGAAAGAGTAGCAAATATTTTACATCCTCTTTTTTCAACTCCACATCACTACCAGTCTCTGTTGCTGTCCATAGGATAATATTTTCTCCAAAATAACTGATTGTTTTTTAAACCACAATTGTTCTTTTGTAAATGTAATTCCACCACTTTAAAAAAAAAGAACTGTTTTCTTCATACTGTTTTCAGAACATCTAAAAAAGATCTTGAATACAGTTTTCGAGCACACAAACAAACACCTGTGAGCAATACGCACTCCATATATTATATAAACACACTATACCACCACACAACATACAAAAATGGTTCCAGTGTCACTCAATTCACACCCAGCTACACAAATTTTTAAAATTTTGATAGTGCATATTCCACTCGGGCGCATAAGCATACATGTTCTCATTCTTTTTCACCAGCCTTGACACAGCCATCATTATTTTGCCCCATTGTACTCAATGCAACAAATGTATTACAATAGATAAACGAGGAATCTTTCTTTGCAACACTGACAAAATTACAAATGCAACCAACCATGGTGCACAGAAATAAGATCCATGAGACCTTCAGATAACACACTGTATGCAAGAGAAAGGAACAAGACTGCGTATAATATACTGTATATGGAAGTTTCCTTCTTACAAGGTGGGACAAAATGAAGACAGGTGATTATATGCCACACAATTTGATGTTCCCTAATAAAGGTTCTTCATTTAAAGACTGTGTCCAAATTAGAGAAAAAAAAGAAGTTGGAACTTTAGAACACTTTGTGACCACATTTCATCCATTTACATTATCAGCTAAACCACAGTACTCAATCCAAATGTGAAAAAGACTCAATCCCATAACAATACAAAAATGGAGAAAAAAACAACAAACAACAAACCCCAGTCAAAGGCAGCAATACATGGGTTACACTTATCATGATCTACCTTACTGTATTAGTTTTGTCATTTGCATTTCCACTGGGTTCCGAGAAGAAGAATGTGGCTCTGTCTACAGATATGCACTTGATTCAAATCTCCACTTGTTGGGTTACATTTACAAAGAAAATAAAGAGTATTTCATGCCAGTTTTTTATTAAACACACGGTAATTGGAATTTCAAGCAATAAGAAGACAGACTTATCACAAACTATCTGAACCGGTACCCTTTTAATATGAATGAACTTTACACTTATGACAAAGTCACAGTTCTTTGTTCCAACAGACCTCATTATCTCCAAAGTCTTATAATTGGTATGGGTCTCAAGCTCAACTCATTAATGGCAAATATGTATAAAACATTTCATCAGATCAAAACACGAAGAATACAAAGGCAAACTATTGGAAAAAAAAACCATTCAGCTGACACACACCTTTCACAAACCTTTTCCAGCTCATGCTACATCACTCATTTGAACGACTACTAAAATGTACAAAGGAAAGGTTGAGGAATGAAAAAAATACAAATACAGAAAAAGACAAACAAACAAAGAAATGCCATCTACAATCCAGTCATAATCATCATTTACGCTTGCTGCTTGAGGAGGGCTTGGCTTTCACAGCTTTCTTTGCAGCTGCACCGCCAGAGAAAAAGTTGGACAATAGCTCCGCCGGGTCAGGCATGTTCGGTCTGTTGTTGAGAGCATTCATCTGGGTCTGCATTTCCTGTTATCGAATAAACAAAAGCATAAATTAAATAAAATCATCAATAGACTTCCAGGAAAATAAAATGATTAACAAGGATGATCTGTTTGTCACAAAGAAAAGGGATATAATGTCAACTAATCAAATTGAAAGATGCAACAGAGCATTACTGTATTGTGCATTTCATTGTTTGACTAAACAAATTTTTAAAAATAAATTGAACATCAACAAAAAAATCATCCATTTTTATTCAGGATGTGATGTACACAACTCAAGTACAGAACATCCTTTTTGTTTCTCCTGTTGCAGTTAACAGTAATAGCTAATTCATTTTATACAAGGCATTGATCATTCATCAATCTTCAATTAACAATAATCTTGACTATAAAATACGATAGCAGAGCTAGTTCAACGTTTACTGTTGAAATTATTTAATCATTTCAAATTCACAGGGATCATGATTTTATTCTCAAAATTCAAGTGCAAAAATAATTTTCTTCAGTACTCTATCTCTCAGCTCAGTATATAAACACATGAACTTTTTCAAAAAGTATGACCTTATTTGGCCTAAATGTAATCCAAAGGGTGATCACCATCCCATGGCTAAGCTTATTTTGGCTACCCTCGCCCACATCAATAAAAATCCCCATGGCAACTTGGCTGAAAAACACTGTTCTTTTCTTATTGAGACGTACAGATCCCATGAATGTCTGTGGAAGTCCAAAGACTACAGTAACAGAGGGTGTACGAATAACTTACGCCATTTTGCAAACATTTTAATCAAGATGGAACCAGAGACTTTTGAAATTTACAAAAGTAGGCCTTAACAATCTCAGAACAACATTTGAGAAAGAACTGAATAAAGCTATTGGGCAGAAATCAGATGAATGTAGGCCAATAAATATTCCACTTAAAAAGCCAGTCTTAAATCCAAATAAACCTCTTTTCCTTTCTTTTTTAAAGTAACAGCATCCTGATGGCAAGCAAAAGACTGTCATTCCAGAGACACGACAGCTCTGTGACACAAGGAGAAGAAATCTCACCAATAGTAAGAGTATTAGACAATAGATTAAAAATCATTGAAATGTGTGAACAGACTACTCAGTTTGACGAAACAAACAGTTCTTGTATACAACAAATCTGACAATTTATAATTGTGTGTAACCAAGGTTTTACTCAATGCCTTGTGGTGCGACATTCCCTTCAGTTTTGAGAGAAGGGGAAGTAATGAACATGATAACTGCAATGTGACGTCACGCACACCGGCTCCTCTTACTGCTTCATTGAGTAACTATGTAGGCATATTAATATTGCACGTTGATTGGCTTTACATATATATATTTGTATATTAAATATCACCCGTGTCAACACTGCTGTGCTAAACAACCGACAATAAATATGAAAATAAAACAATTCAATGCAGCAGTCGCAAACGTGCAGCTTGGGTGTTAAGACAAACTTATACTCAAGTGTATTTATGTTTGAGCTGAACACAACATAACAGTTTGCTTTTAAGAAATTATGTAAACAAGAAGAGGTGATGGACCTGAGAAAGAGGTTCAACACAACCGAAGATCAACACAAGCAACTTCAACAGAAGTGAAGTCGACTGTATGGATTTTAACCTATATCAAAGGAGATAAACAAAGTTGGACATTTGGTCAAAATTTTACATAATATAAATGATAACCCCTATGCCACAGTCAGCAGATTTTTTTTTTTTAACTTTTATTTTTTAATCCATCTCTGTAAGGATCAGCCATTTTTCTTCGACCAAGAAGTGTTTCAACATCTTTTCACCATCAAGGACCACTCTCTCCTTCAACTTCAACTTGACCTAATTTTGCAAAACACCTGCGAACTGTACATAGTGAGTTATCTCTTTTAAACAAGAAGAGCGTAGAGACACCTGGCAAAAATGCCAGACATGGTCTACATTTTTTCACGTGACTGCAGACTCCCCTCATGCAACTGAACTGTGCATAAGAGATTTTTCACTGAACACCTCTTTAACACATGCCATGATATGCAATAAATGTGTTCTTGGCCTACACTACTGCCCTCAGTTCTATAAAGAGATGTCATTGGCCTAAATCCACCATGCCCCCCCACCATGATTACTTCGATTTATAATATTTGAGGTCATGTTTCATTAGATCTACCCCCACAGGCGCCAGTTGTTTTTTTTCGCCATGTACAAATTGTTTATGCTATGTGTGTGTTTAAAAAACAAAGAACAAACGTGTGTGTGTGTTTATGTAAAAGGCAAAAATCGGTTTGAAATTTGCGAATTCCACTATGAGCATGCTAGACTGTAAACCATAAATAAATAAATTCCATACTCATTATTAGTTAGTACCAAAACTAAATAAAAGTTACATTGTTGTCTTTTTTCTTAAAAAAGGCAAAACATTTAAGCCCACCTTCTGAGTATCAGCATCTGCTGCATTCATCAATTTGGGCAAAACCATAATTAGAAGAAGAGGAACAATCATCGTCAACACCTGAGGAAAAGAATCGAAAGGAACAAGTGGATTATGTACTAGCTCATACAGCATGACATGGAACAAAGTCTTAATCACCTTGATATAAAATTTCTTATGATCTTTAAATCATGCAATACTCCCATGTTAAGGACGTTGCATTGGCTTCCAGTGTCAGCTAGAATGTCATTTAAATTGCAATATATTAAGTCATAAATGTGTCAATAACAAAGCTCCCTCACATCTTAGTGATCTCATCCAGATTTATGTTCCATCTAGGTCACTAAGATCAGGCGATCAGTATCTATTGAGAATTCCTAGAAAAAGGGGTAAAAAATTAGCTGATAGATCATTCGCCCACCTTGCTCCATCAGTTTGGAACTCTCTTCCCCAACCCTTGAGACATACAACATGAGTCTAAATTTTAAAAATCTTTAAAAACATATTTTATGACATCCTATTTATGTCAGTAGATTCATGTTCAATACAATGTTATGTAAATGACTATGTATCCATTTATGTATTTTGTGAATTGCATTGTGTATATTATTTTATGCTCATTTCATGACGATGTGTAAGCGTGCACGTGTGATAAGCAAGTAGATGTGTGTGTGTGCGTGTGTGTGTGTATGAGTGTGTGTATTTTTGTGTTTCTGTTGCGTGCGTGAATATTGTTCGTACATGCATTTATGTAAAGCGCCTAGAGCTGTGTTTACACGGGACTGGGCGCTATAGAAATGATCTTCACTATTATTATTATTATTTATTTATGCAATATCAGAATACCATTGAGCTACAATCAGAAGACTCACTGAGTACATATATTCTAGCTTAACACTATTAATGTTTTTTAAATAATTATCATAATTACTGTTCATTCATATTATATTACCATGCATGTGACTGATAGCCTGTTTGAGAGTGCAAGCATACTTTTGTATTATTAGGGTTAAGTGCACAGATGTGAGTGGAAGAAAGGATATGTGAGGGCAGAGTGTGCGTACATGGGAGTGCACATGCACGTGCATATGCATATTCATGTGTGTGTGTGTGTGTGTGTGTGTGTGTGTGTGTGTGTGTGTGTGTGTGTGGTGAAACACCAAACCAATATGCCAGGATCAGGACAATAAAGAGATATCTTATCTTCTTATCTTAAAGTCTGGAAACCAAATTTTTTTTAAACCCCCCAAAAAACAACCTGAAAGCAAAAAGGCGAGGGAGGAAAAAAACAAAAACAACTTCACTTTACCCCCACACCCCCAAGATTCTCTTTGACAAAGAAAGAGTGTAGTGTTGATTATGAACATGTCATTGCCACAACCATCTGAACATGAAAAGAAAAGAAAAAAATAACCCAAAAAAAACCCAAACACAAAAAACTAAAACATTGAAAAAGACCAATAATCCTCAACAACAGCACTCTTCACAGACAATCAAAAAGCAGCAAACCTAAAGTATACATTTCTCTCACCAACTTAAAAGATAAGTACTGCAATAATCACCAGCATTTAAACTTACCATGGGATTGAATAAAAAGTCTGTAAGTCTCCACTGTTCTCTTTTCTGGAAATAAACTGGTTTTCCTCTCTCTCTGAACTCTAGGGGATATGACACAGTTTTCACCAAGTTTGGTTGCAGAAAATTTACCCTGCGAGCCCGCATCTTGCCTTTTGACGTTATGTCAACACGGAGAGCTTCAAACAGAGCATTTGGATTTGCGATTTCCACAATGTAGGAACCTGATGGCACTCCATTTACTACAAAGGTTCCATCCGTTCTGAAAAAGAGAATACAGTGCTTTCTGGTCAACATAACTGTGAGCGGGAAAAAAGGTAAACATCATGAAACAGCAATGACTGTGTGAATAAAATACCCTGGCAAATGAATGAGTTATAAGAAATGTTAAGTGGTCAGATGATGAGATCAGATTGGGTGAAGTACCATTTACGGTCTTGGGCATAGCACACTGTCGCTATAGCAAGCCAACATCTACATTGCATTGGCCTGGAAGTCCACCAGATCCTATCCATCACATTCAGCTTGCAAAACAAAAAATTCCTGACCCTCCAATTGTATGTGACATGCACTATCCGTGAGATAGGCTGTTTTCATCACACTGGACCTGATTGAGATTGTCACCAAGAAAATGACGAAAATATTTGGGTTTTTTATCAAGCTTATCTCAACTGTGTCCATATCAAATATGGATTTGACGGCACTTTCCGCAGTGTGCACAAGGTATCGGAGGAGGGTAGTGGTGATTAGAAGGGGCATTATTAGTGAAATTTGGAAGGCACACTGGGAAAGGGGGAAGGGGATGACAAGAACAAAATAAAAGGTAGTTCAAAATCAAAATTTTGCCCCGTGTGCAGGCATCAGGGTAGTCTGGACTAAAATAAAAAGTAGACGCAGTTGGTGATAAACAATTCAGTAGACTTCTAAAAAGAGTAGACTAGAGGTACTATTCGTCATTCGTTATATAAAATTGTACACTATGCTTCATGGTCTATTTGAAAAATTACTGAAATTCTGGAGCTGGACATTGACCAACCTGAAATATTTTAAAATAAAAGAATATAATACAATAGTAACAGATAGTAAAAGTAAAGTTGTTCCTGTATCCGATCCGGACATTGGGGATTGCCCTGTTAGTGAGACAACTTCCTGGGCCTTCGGCATATTGTGGTAGAGTGGTCAGTTCCTTTCCACTCCGCCTTTACTTCCCCAACTCGGAGTCAGGTACCCATTACTGCTGGGTGGACAGGAGGGGGCGAAAAAAATCTGTGCCCGAACTGAGGCTCAAACCCGGACTTTTTGCTTCAGAGACGAGCGCACTAACCGCTCCGCCACCACACAGACTAAAAGTTTGAAATCTGCTTTCAGGTATTCTCAACCCGTGTAAAGTGTAGGTCTCTCTATATCATTAGTAAGCAGGATCTACCTTTCAAGGCAAAACTGTTAAATAAAAAACAGTCAAGGATGTACTGGTGTCTGCTACAACAAGAAAAAATGTTTATAGTTTGTGTGTGATACTTCAGTGACAGACAAAGACAAAAGACTTTCCCCAGTAAATTGATAGACTATAGGGGGTGGCGTACACCAACTGAACACTGCACTGTGGCAGTCAGCGATGGCATGTCAGTGAAATTGTTCTGTATTGGTTTGATAAGTCGCATTGAAAATGTGATTTATTTATTCATTTTTTAAACACTATTTAAAAGGTAAATGGACAATAACTAGATCTAGATCTATAACTATAACAGAGTCAGTAAGGCTTCCATTTGTTTAAATTCAAACTCCCAAGAAATTGACAGCGTAAGACCAATATCAAAAAAAGAAAAGTGTTTACTCATAGAACGGAGGGTATAATATTTTTTTTTTTAAAAAGAATTAGGTTATAGATTAGTACACAATCTAATTTAGAATTTATTTACATCACAATACTGGTAAGGAGGCCATTTCATTCTAGATCTAGTATAATTGTATAGCGATATTAATATTAGGCCTACCTCTTCTCTCGCCTGCCAAGTGTTAGATTCAATGTTGGCCACCTTTATTCTCACAGAAAATCCCATGTCTCGCTATTCTCACCCCGGGTGAGAATAACCTATGTCTCGCTATTCTCACCCCCCCCCCCCCTTCCCCCTGTGAGAATAGCTCCCACCCCGGTGTGGCCATGAGGTGAGGCTGGGTGAGAAAACCACTTCCTTCAATATTCAATGTTAGCGGTACACATGTTGAATGTTAATGATAATAAAAATGAACAAAATTTCTGCAGGACAGTTTTGACCTTTATTGTCATCTCTCCAACTACAAATTACAAATCAGTAAGTTCAGGTGGCCAGGTTCAGACTTCAGATGATATGATACAATTAGCCTATATATGTAGATCTACTAAGATTAAATTAGATCTAGTCTAATTTATTTAGGAGGCCCTATCTATTGACTTGCACTTGAGCATTTGCCAAAAAGGTGGGATACAAATGAGGTCCAAAATCAACTTTATGTAATAATTCTTTAATCATCCATATTATATAGCCTAATGATTGCTCTTTCAGGTTCAGTAACTGCCAAAGCTGTACATGCAATGGTCTTGGTGTAATTCTGACTTGAATGACGGAAATAGCAAAAAGTTCGTTCATAACAATGATGACACAAATTTATGAATACTCAAAGTTCCCTTTTTCAGCTAGGCTGAGGTTATATTTTGAGACATAGCGAACAACTTCCAAAAATACATAGAATTGATAGTTTATAAAAATCTCTATTAATTTTTGATAAAATTACTTTTATGTTCATAATAGTTATGAACAAACAATAAGTGACCAAAAAACTATTATGTCAAGTTTCATGGACTACAATTGTCTAAAATAACACTCTGGTCTAATTATAGTCAAGCGATAAATGAAAGACCATTTAACAGCTATTTTTAAACGCAGACTGGTCATAGGGCATGTTATTCATAAATTTAAAGTTCGTTCATAACCATTATGACTAATATGACACACTGTTTTGCTCTTAACTATTTATGACAAATTTTACTTTGGGCCCCACATTTAACTTATTGTTCCCTCTTTCACATAAAATGGTTTTTTATTTATGAGACTTTCCTTAAAATATGATAGATTCCTCTATGTAGGAAGAATTCAAAGTTTATTTACTGAAAAACCCTTAGAATACCTTTAAAATGGTTCATTCATAACTATTATGACAAACTTCAATTTTGACCTAAAAATTAATACATTTTGATCTGTCATTCATTTTCAAAAACTTTTATTAAATGAAACTCTCCTCATATGTATCTCTGTACATGTTTTTTAAAGTTTATTAACACTGAAAAGCCCTTGATTAAATGGACAATAAATAGTTCGTTCATAACCATTACTACAAAAGTATAATACTGACTAAAATCCACACCCATACACTTATGATAAAAATCAAAATATCAGAATGTATGCAAGGTCTATTACTTACGTCCTTTGAGTAAAATTAAAAATACATCCCAAAACAACTGTAAATTACATGGAATAAGGTTTTGTTCATAACCGTTATGACACACGGTTTCGTTCATAACTATTATGACAAATTTTACTTTGGGCCCAAAAAATTAACTTATTGTGCTGTCATTCACATAAAATTGTTTTGATTTATGAGACTCTCCTCAAAATAAGCATATATGTAGGAAGAATTCAAAGTTTAATCACTGAAAAACCCTTAGAATAGCTTTAATGGTTCGTTCATAACAATTAAGACAAACTTCAGTTTTGACCTAAAAATTAATATTTTGACCTGTCATTTACTTTAAATATTTATTTTTGAATGAAAGTTCCCTCATAATATGCATCTGTGTACATGTTTTTAATGTTTATCAACACTTGAAAGCCCTAAGAGTACATTATGTAGTTCGTTCATAACAATTACTACAAAAGAAAAATTGATTAAAATGCAAGTGGCTATTCTCCGGCGTCGCGCCAGTCAATAGACCAGAAGCTATTCTCCGACGTTACACCGCCAATCTATTTACTAATGAATTATTTGTCGGCTCAGATTTGCAAATACCTCTCTCATCTGTTTGTCTTGGGGAAAAAATTCCCGTAACTTCACCACTTCGAGCCACTTCCATTGATACAGACGATATATATGTTTTCAGACACAAACTACCTCAATTCCTCCAATTCAGAATTATCTGTCCCCATCATTTATGCAAGACAAATTTTGAAATTATGCAAACTGAGCCCAAAAATGTGAAATTATGCGACTGTTAATTTCAACAAAGAATGATAACAGATACGACAAGAAAGCACTGAGGTCGTGAAATATCATCGAAAATTACAATAACAAGAAATAAGTTAAACATCAAGCTATGTGCCTAGACAGGATTTTAGACACAAAATCAATTTTGTTTGTTTAAATTTAAAGAAGCAAAATCACTATTTTAAAATAAGCAAATGGACAACCCAAATAAATGAATAGAGTTACGTTAGATAATTATCGTTGATAAAATATAATGAAAGGTAGACTTACTCCGCCTAGTTCTCAAAATCTGCGCCGACAAATACATTGTAATTCATTAGTAATAGACCGGCGGCGTGACGCTGGAGAATGCCTTCCGATCTATTGACCGGCACGATGCCGGAGAATAGCCACTCGCGATTAAAATACATACCCAAACACTTATATATATAAATAATAAAAATAAAAATATCAGAATGTAAGCAAGGTCTAATACATCCTTAAGTTGGGTTAAAATTAAAAATACATTCCAAAACAACTGCAAATTACATGGAATAAGGTGTCGTTCATAACCATTATGACACACTGTCACGTTCATAACATGATGACAATCCATTGTGACAAGCATATTTTTGCCTCTTCTTCGCTTCTCTTTTGAGTCATCAGCACGCTACTCTTCCATGTTTTGCCACCATGTAAAAGGATGTTGTGAAACAGTGGGAAGTCCCTCACATGATATTTTGCAGATATATATCTTAAAGTGTTTGTTCATAACATCATGACAAACCTGGATTATCTCAATCAAAGTCAAAAGCAAAACCATGCGAAGGAGGGGAAAAATACCCTTCTGATGGATCAATGTCAAACCAATGTTTAATACTGGTCATTCCAGGGGATGATGTTTTTAAAATGATTTGGGTTTTCTAGACCTTGGAAAGTCTGATGATGTAATTATGACAAGAGTTATGAACAAACTTAAAAATTTTACTCAGCAACAACATCACTAATGTAAAAAAATAAAACCTTTTAATAAATGGACCCACGGTGTTATGATGGCGTATATACAAAATATTTTAAAGGTTTGATTGCACTACTGTTTGATAGTTTAAGATTAACAATATTCTGTATTTAACATGGTAGTGTCAATTGCCACCGAGTGACGCGGTGGCAACAATTTTTGTCAATTGCCACCGAGTAAATTGGAGCTCTTTTGCGTTGGTGGGTAGATCTAGCTTATTGTGCTTGAGTGCTCGGTGTTGTGCGTTCGCCTCTCTGTCCCTCTGTGTGTGCGTGTGTTTGTGTGTGTGTCTTTTCCTGACCTCCGTCCCCCGATTTATGTTCCCTGATATAACGTGAATTTCTGCTTGAGTTTGTGTGCGTTTGTGACTTACTTCTAGAATTGCCTGTGTGGGTTCTACACAAAAGTGTAGGCTAAGGCTAGCCTAGATCTAGGCCTACGTCTCACTGAAAACACGCCAAGTTCGTACCGTAGCTCTGGACTAGATGAATGCTCGTCCTATGAAATTAGTCGAGAAAAATTGACACGCCCATTAGACACACATAAATATAAGGGCCGCACTATTTCTCCAAACGTTCGGGAAAATAAAGCTGGGCACTATTTCTCCGAACGTTCGGGAAAATAAAGCTGGGCACTATTTCTCCGAACGTTCGGGAAAATAAAGCTGGGCACTATTTCTCCAAACACTCTGAAATCACATCCTTTCCAGCAAATTTAGGATATTATATAGATCTATAATTATAGTATAGGCCTACCAAAGATTGTTCGTATACAATATAGTTCAATCGGTCCAAAAAATGTCCGCAGTAAATATTTATATAAAGAATGCTACAATTCCAAACAGTTTTTCGCTACAGATATGACGTGTTGCCTATGAAGGGTGCTAGGCTGCTCTTAAACGTAATGTGTTGTGTTCACTCGTGTGCTGTCTAGATCGAGATCTAGATCTACGGAGGGTTATTGATAACGACACATAGAACTGGCATCTGCGGTGGTCACTGCCGCGACCAATAATGTACTGACACTGGCAGGCCCCTTAATGTGTGTGATTCCAAAATTTACATGTAATATCCTGTACTTTTTTTAAAAAATTACACACATTTAGGGTTAAAACAGCAAATCTTCTTCGGACAGGTGGACACACGCCCTTATTTGTTAATGTTTGTTGTTTATCATGGGCTGTTCTAATTTTGATTTCATTCTGTTGTGAAACCTTTCCTTTTCACGTTTTTTCACTCATCTAAAAATCTCTAGACTAGCTCTTGAAAATTGAAATAGATATATAGACCCAAAAATTTGCTCCTGTGTGTGTGTGTGTGTGTGTGTGTGTGTGTGTGTGTGTGTATGTGTGTGTATGTGCATGTGTGAGTGTATCTATGTGTGGTAGTAAGTGTGTAAGTGGAGAGTGAGGAGTGTGTGTTTGTTTTTCGGGCTTTATTTCAGCCTTCATTCAGTAACAGTTCAAAGTATACAAAAATAGAAAACAGGATCCATTCACTCCACGGCTCATGAGTCGTTCCTCTCTTTCAGTTTCACTCATTCATTCAATTCCTGTGTTCTCTCCCGCAGCTCATCCCCGTCCGCATGATTTTCACACCCCACCCCCTCCCTCCAGGCACACACAAAGAAAATCTCACTCATTCCCTTGCACCCTGCAAACCATGGACAATAATATAGGCAACACACTGCCTGAGCTGCATTACTTTCATTTGTGAGGTGTGGACCAGGCCAGGGGGGTCAGTGTCGTCGTCTTGTAGTTGTAGTTGCTGTCGCCTGAGGATACACTCGCATTCTTCCTTTCACCCGCTCTTTCACTCACACTGTCTCTCCATCCACAGCTCAGCTCGTCATACGTTCAAAAGTTGTCCACTGGTCATGTTTAGTTAGTGTGTGAATAAGTTTGTGTGTGTACATATGTGCATGATGGTGGTGGGAGTGTGGTGGGTGTTACTGAAGGTTGTTTGTAGGCGGGCTTGCCATGCGGTGTTCCTTCCCAGACCAGAGGCAGAATGAAAGTTGGTGCCGCACTCTCACAATAAATAGACTTGACACCGCTTCACTCGGTGGCAATTGACAAAAAGTCAATTTTTGTCAATTGCCACCGCGTCACTCGGTGGCAATTGACGCTATCATTTAACATACAATTACGTGTGCACTCAGGATGAGTAAAAAATGCCCTATTTTTATTACTATTATTATCTTTCTATGAAGAGATACAAGATGCACACATCAATCTACTTGCTCATGCAGGAAGGACTTCCGTAACGAGCGACCACCCCAGCCTACGCAATAAAGAAGGGACTTTTGAGTGGGATATGTAAAAGATAGGGTTTAGTATTTGGTTGGGCAATAAAGAAAGTAAAGAAAGTAAACTCAATTTGTGTTACTTTGTATTCTCCTATTGCCTTCCTTTGTCTCTTCACCTGGAATGGGTATTATTAGTGACATGTTAACATCTCAAAGCATACACAATAAATATGACATGATTAGAAAAATCAGTGGCGTGAATCGAACCTGTGAGTGAGGGAAGTAAACATGATTAGTAGTCCAGCAGCATAACCACTATGCCAAACAGCTGGTGTTACCAATGAGTGAAAAAAAGTTCT